ACTGAGGCAGTCCTTGAAGGAAGTTATTTATATTTTTGACATGCAGAAGAATGATTTGGTGGGTTTTATTCCACTGTTTGATAATGAAAACATACATTTCTTTTGTGCAGCGACTGCATATTTAGGCAGCTCATCAACATCACACCCTTACATAAGACACTTACTTTGCAATTGGCCTTGTTTTGATTCCGCCTCTCATTTCTTTCTTTTCATTCCAGAATCAGTTTCCTTTTATCCCTCCATCATTTCTCCTGTAGTTTCACAATAATAACATCAAACTTAACCGCAAGATTTCCTCTTTTGTGTTGTGTATCCTGTCTTCCTGGCAGCCTCGCCGAGGAGATAAGATGCGAGGATCGGAGCCGACTGTTTCTATAATTACCCATATAGGCTCATAGCTGCAGCTCATCACTGTCTCACAGGCTCAGCGTGTCATTTGAGCCATCTCACGTACACACACACACACACACACACACACACACACACATGGGCTCTCATTACTTTGCAAGATAACAAGCTCTTACTTGCAGTATCGCTGTTTCCACTCAACACCGTTGATTCACACTTCCTTGTGTCTTTATGCAGCATTGTGGGTATTATAAAAGCAATGGTTAATGCAGTATGCCCTACAACGCAAGCTGTTGGTATACAGTAATTGGCCTCAGTGGGTTTATGTAACATATTCACAAAGAGATTCAACTGTGCTATCAATGAGAGTACAATAGGCAACGTTTCCTCTCTGTTACAATGCGGTGTTGCTTTTTTTGTTGCACTGAAATCAGGTCAAGTGCTGCAGTACTGCTGTTGTATACTCAAGTTAAATAATATCACGGTGTGTGTGTGTGTGTTTTTTTGTGTTTGTGTGTGTGTGTGTGTGTGTGTGTGTGTGTGTGTGTGTGTGTGTGTGTGTGTGTGTGTGTGTGTGTGTGTGTGTGTGTGTTTTTCAGTTTGCCCGGGTTAAGGAGAGGATGAGTGTGCAGGAGGAGCTGGACATGCTGCTGTTCCTGGTGTCAGACCAGTCTCTGTCTCTGCTGCCTGAATACCACCAGAGGATCAAGGTTTGAATCAGACATTTGACTCACTGTCTCGACCTGTTTCTGTCAGGGAGATTTTTTTTTTTAGAATAGAAAAAGGTCAATTCAGTCCTGCAGAGTTAAGTTTATATATTTAAATTGAAATCTCTGACCTTATTCTGATGTCTGAGATGATTATTTATAATTTTTGTTATTTTTAAAGCATTTACATTTAGGCCTAATAGCTTATCCTTTTAAAGCAGGGACCATCTACCCCTCCCCCCAGCCCTCGACACAATGTCAAGAATATAATATAATCCAGCCTGCAAGATGATTATTTAATTTATTTCTTTCTTATCAATTTAACCTTCCCCTTCATCATTCTAACAACAATTCTTGCTTTCAGGTGATTATTATACACTAATGAAACACAAATTTTTTCTAAATGTTATATGCTTGACCTTTTAATGCACATTACAATGATAGAAGTTGTACATCAGTTTCTTAAACCTTCATATTGGGATTCCAGATGCAGTTAATTCATTGTCATTATTTATTAACCTTGCAATCATTTTTTTGACTAATTGATCAGGCAATAAAATAATAAATGAAAATTCTGAAAACTTCCCATCACAGTGTCCCTGTGGTTCAGGGTTTAAGGGCGGACCGGACATGCCAGCATGCTAACATGTGCTTATTAATCCAGATAAAAGTACAGTTGAGGATGTTGGGGATGTTATTATGTTTTTGGACAACTGAAATATTTGACCTTTTGATGGCGCTAGATGAAACAAAATATTTAGAAATTGCGTTCTAGATCATCAGTATTCCAATAATTTGTAATATTTACTCCATTAATTAAAGCTTGACTATATTTTTGTGATAGAAATTGTTGTTGTTTGTGACCTCTATTGATCCTGAGCAAACACCGGTCTGCCTCAGGTGCTGCAGTCCCTGTCGTATGTCGATAGCAGCGGGGCGGTACAGCTGAAAGGCCGCGTCGCTTGTCAGATCAGCAGCCACGAGCTGCTGCTGACCGAGCTGCTGTTTGAGAACGTCCTGAGCCCGCTGGCGCCCGAGGAGAGCGCCGCCCTGCTGTCCTGCTTGGTCTTCACACAGAACACGCAGGTGGAGCCGCACATTACCAACACACTGCAGGAGGTAAGAAGGAAGTGAGATTTTTGTTTAGAAGGTGAATTCTTGTTGTATCTCATGAAAAGTTATTAAAGCGACAGGATGTGTGTGTACTGACATACTGTACAAACTCCAGGGGTGACTCACACACACACACACACACACACACACACAGTCACTCTCATGTTTTATTACACTGTGCTTGCGCTGATTTGATGTGTAACTTCCTCGCCCTGCAGAAAAGACAACAAGGACACTTCACCCGACTCACCCCAGTCACTCACTCACTTATTCATTCATTCCGTCTCTGTCAAATTCGCCTTTGCCGTGTCCGTGTGACCTGCCTCTGATACATGAAAGTGCTTTACGAGCGACTAAATTAGTGATGACCCAAGCTCCGTAGACCTACAATAGGAGAGCAGACACGCCAAAGTACAGTTTGTGAAACAGATTTCTGGAACGTAAATGACAAGGTCACCCTGTTAACAACAAGAGGCAAGAGAGAGCGATGCATTTAAGGGCCACTTGTAAAACTAAAATGTCTGTCGTCCAGGCTTAACTTACTCTTTCCCTCCTGTTTTCCACATCTCTCTGCTGTGTGTGTGTGTGTGTGTGTGTGTGTGTGTGTGTGTGTGTGTGTGTGTGTGTGTGTGTGTGTGTGTGTGTGTGTGTGTGTGTGTGTGTGTGTGTGTGTGTGTCTTCTTTCAGGGCATCGATCGGGTGCTGTCAGTGGCCAAGCGTATCGGAGAGCTGCAGAGGGATTGTGGGATACCACAGACAGCTGAGGAGTTTGTTGGCCAGTTCAAGTTTGGCCTGACAGAGGTGGTGTACTGCTGGGCCAGAGGCATGGTGAGGTTTTACTCTTAAATCGTTGCACTTGATTTAAACCTGGTATTAACATGCAATCTGTGTCCAGATTAGTGTGTTAAATGGGATCTCAACTGCTCTTACTTATCAAGGTCAGTTTACTCGTTATGGGGAACCACTCTGCAAATGTAAACAGTCTGTACGTACTCACAAAGATGCCACTGACATTGTACGAGTACGTCTTGGATGCAGGTGTAAATACATGCATAATGCATTGCAACTGCAATGCTGTCGAATCAACATGCTTCTGTCAGATCAGAGTTCATTATTAAGATAACGTATTAAGATTAAAGCTGCAGCTAACAAGTACTTTAATCATCATGTAATTGGCCGATTCTTTTATTGATTTATAGCAAAAAAAATGTTGATCCCAATTTCCAGAAGAAGTTGATTTCAGTTAACAAAAAGTCTGAAACCCAAAGTTATTCAGTTTACTATAATAGAAGACAAGAAGAAAACAAGCAAATGAATGAATGAAATGATTAGTCAGTTATCAAATTGTTGCAAACTATTAACTAATAAGATAAGCCAACTAATAATTTTAGCTATAATTAAGATTATATGACACCAGGTGTAAATGTGTAAAGTCAGAGTTACTATAAGGTATTTCTTAATTTATTTTTCTAATGGAATCAGCACTACAGTTGCATAATTCATTCCCTTCAACCTCACATTACAATCATTGCACTAAAAGACCTTTTTCCCAGCAGCCATTTTGATGTGAAACAGTAGGGAAAACACAGGTGTTACTAATGATACTAATTAAGGTTCTGTACCATTCAGGCCCAACAGAGCATGTTGTCTCTCTGGAAAGGCTCTGCTACACTAATTGGAACAGGACCTAGAGAACAAAGACTAAACCGGTGATTTAGGAGAATAAATGACTCGTATGTGTCACTCAAGAATGAATCTGTCCCTGGCTCTTGCATGACTTTTTTAGTTTCCTGTAGCAGAAGCACGATTTGTCTCCCTTTCCTGTTAATCGTCTCGAGGCCTGTCAGGTTTATCTTGTGGCCCTATACTCAGCCACACAGTATTCAGTTCTCATTTGCCACACTGTGCGAGATCTCAAAGCTTGAATGTAGGCTAGTTTTGTCTGCCTAATGATGTATTCATTACAAGCTTAAATGGTTTTATTGTTTGAAATACTTTGCCCGCTTGTGTTCCACCATATCTCACCTCCCCCTGGTGCCATCCCTCCCCTGTCTCACCCCTGCCGTCCCCATCACAGCCGTTCGCAGAGATCGCCCTGCTGACAGACGTCCAAGAGGGCACGGTGGTCCGCTGCATCCAGCGCCTGGACGAGGTGCTGAAGGAGGTGCGACAGGCCGCCCGCATCGTGGGAGACTCCGTCCTGGGGAGCAAGATGGAGAAGGCGTCCCTGGCCATCCGCAGGGACATCGTCTTCACCGCCTCCCTCTACACCCACTGAGAGACGGAGGGCGAATGATGCTGAGATTGCCTGCAGCCAAGTGCTTCTTTGTGTGAAAGGTGTGAGAAAGATGGAGATATATGGGGGAGGTAAAGAGATGCTGTATGTTAACAAATGCTGTATGTGCCTACAAAACATTGCTGATGTTTACATGAAAAATTCCTGACTGTGAAGAAGGGAATGATTTTAACCAATAGACCAAAATACAGACTGTGTGCGAATGAGCATTAAAATCTGCATTGTAATTTATTGTACAGTAATAAAACCCTGTATTCCAAAAACATAATGCAATGTCCTTTTATTTTATTAAACATTTCTATTATTTAAAATTATAAGAGATAAAATAAAATGTTTTGCTTTTCTCCTGACTTTCTGACACCCTGTTAACAAACTCCTGCAGAAGAAAATCATCCGAGGACAACATGCATGAGAGGACAAAACTGAGGTGGTTAAAAAATGCCACGCAAGGAGAGAAAATGCGTGGTTTCTTTTGTGGAGCTGTAATGGGATGTTCCAGCACAGTGCATGTGCATTCCCCCCCCTTCTAGTCTGGGCTGTCGCTTTAAGACAACGATAGCTTTGTGTCTGATTAATTCAATGTACGGCGACGCGTTAGTGGAGAAACCTTATTAGACTTTCAGCCACACAGAGAGACAGAGGAGGAAAATACAGCACAGACCTGCGCGCTGGAAAGATAACTGGGCTTTACCTTGATTTAAAATATAATAAATAAAAAAAAACACCCTAAGTTATTATCATAAATAAACAGGGGGTGATTTTTTTTTTAAAAAAAGATGAAGACATCTTGAGGATGGGTTGCACGCGTTTGGAGTAAAAGTCTGCATCATCGCGCACGGAAAGGAGCGATTTTCACCACCAGCTGGAGTTGAAACATCCGATCAGAGGAGGAGGACAGAAGATGTCGTCGGAAAAACACGGTGAGATGTTTTAATTAAAACGTTTCGTGATTTTTTTTTTTTTTGGGGGGGGATCTAATTGGCAGCCTAATTGAGCCACTTCTTAACAACCCCCACCGAGATGTAAGAATTTTAGTTATTATTACATACGGACATCCGTCAGTTTGATGCGCGGATTCATATCAGGCTGACGGGGATCTTTTTTTTCCCCCTGTCATCTGCATCTCCATCCGCTGTTTATCTGCACAGCGCTGTTTCTATAGGATGATGCACCGCTGTGTGGGTGCAGCCTAGTGGGGGCAAAAAAACCCACCATAGGGCCTCTTTATTACATCCATTGTGCTCAATAGAGAGTTTAAAGTGACATAATCAGACTTTATGTGGTTATATATCTAATTAAAGTCGTGTGTTTTGTCAGGATTTTATTTATTTTCCTGCTTAATAATTGAAAGCACTTCCTGTGATGTTTGTATAAGAGGCTACTTTACGGTTTATGGTGGATTTATTGTTATTTTTCTCTCTCTGTGTGTGTCTCATTACCATTACGCACAGGCCTACGTACATCTCTCCTGACTATAGACATTAGTGTGGGTGTCCTCTGCGCGTGCACGCCTTCGAGTGCGCGCGTTTAACAGCCTTAATTAATAATCCTCAATGTCTGCTGCACTAAAAATACACATTTCTGTCTCGTTTTTTTTTTTTTTTTTTGTTAGCTCAGTGTAGCTTTCCAGTGTTGAAATATGAAAGAATAAAAGGTCATAATGAAACCCCAGAAAGTTGCCACTGATACTGTACAGGAGACCGCGGGTTTGAGCTGTAAACGTGACTGCTGTCTCGTGTTTTAATGAAGTGTGTGTGGCTCCATTATCCGGAGATGAACGACAGCGGTCCTGTAATGTTATTTATGAGGATGCAGAAGCATTGATGTTGCAAATGCACTGAGTGGGAATTATTCTGGTTCATGTAAATTCAGCAATGTTCAGTTGAAATTATATTCTTATTATTTTAAAGCCATTGTGGGAGAGGAAACCAGCTGTATTAATTATCCCCTAAAGGCCCTTTTATGTCTAAATACAGGCACTACTTCATCATTTTGTCACACTAACTGTTCTGCCAGGAACAGATAATTTAAATATTATATAAAACGTTTTTATACAAGTTACTTATCATCAACAAAATGTCTCCAATCCTGTTCTTCATCATGTAATTGTTACTAATAATTAGGTGACTCACTCCTACTCTTCACAGCTGGATTGAGACAACAGGCCTTTGAGGCAAATTTTGGCCACAGGGTTGTGAATAAAACTGACTGGACTTGTCAAACACATGAGCAGTGGTGGGAGAAGTACTCTTCTTTTATTTTAAAGATTTGTTTTGCTGGGCTTTTATTGCCTTTAATCAACAGTGACAGCTGAGGAGTGACAGGAGATTGGGAGGATGAGACCAGGTGAGCTACCAGGGTGCCTCATCACAGTCTGTACTCTAAGTAATTAAGTATTAAGTAAGTAAGATTACGAATACCACACACAAACCTTACTTAAAATTATTATCAGCAAAATGTACTCAAAGTAATCCTATTAAAAGTAAAAGTACTTATTATGCAGTGAAATAGTCACTGTCAGGGTTTTACTATGATATCTGATGTGTTTGGATTAATATTACTGCTGCATTAATGTTGCATTTTACTGTTGTTTGAAGTTGATAGATAACTACTTCATGTACTGTTGGGTAATCTAATCTCCAATAATTAAGATTAAGATTAATTGTCATATTTGTGGCATCGCTGTCCTGTGAGAAGCACGTATCTCCAAAAAGTAAACTTTTTACAAGAAAAGCAGCCCTGTTGTTTTCAGCTTTGTGACAATGCAAATCCAAGAGGGTTTTAAAATAGTTTATTTATCTTCAGAAGTAGAAGGATTTCCTCAAACTATAAAGGAACATTTCATCCTTCAGTTCAAGAAAAACATTCAAAATCACCAAATAAGGGCAACTCTGGTAGCTCACCTGACAGAGCTGGCACCCTATGAATCCAAGCTGCTCCCATCGTTTGGAGTCTGACTTGTGGACCTCAAATTCGAACTTAAGTACAGTACTTGAGTAAATGTACTTAATTACATTGCACCCCTGCACACGTGTACATAATAACCTTCATAGGACTACATTACTTGTAGGTGAGGCTACAGTATTGTGCACTCTGGCTAACTGGATGTAACGTTAGCAGAACAATGAATTAATGTTATTAGTTACACCTGAGCTTTTCCTGTTACTATAACTCATAATGTCTATAGTTGCTTTTTAAAACCAAACAAGAAAAGTAGTTTTTCTTCGTTTTGGTTGATGTCAATGGTTAATATGTAATTACATTATGGCTAGACTTGGATCAATAGTGACTATTAGCTCGCTTCTTAACAGTGAGTTCACAAGTAGTGAAAAATGTGTAAAGTTAAAGTAAAAAATTAAAGTGAGGAGCAGAAAGCAAGTGTTTAATTACCTCTAAAAACATACACAAATACAATAAATCATTTTACTACTTAATAATGAGACCTGATATCTGTTAGTGAGTTAATAACTACTTTGATCTATCCATCCATTTAACACTGGCAGCAATGAGGTATTTTTTGTATATTTGGTGCCAAAGAAGTCCACCACTCTGTAGTTTTTCTTCTGTTCAGTCCTATCTTGACAGATTTTGGAGTCAGCAGAATTCAAATAGAGAAACACCACCGTGTATTTTTCTTGCTGCCAAGCTGCTCGTCACTTCACGCTGTGACCTTTTAAAGGTGTCCCTTCCCTCGTTCTCGCTCCTCTCCCCTCTGTCTGTTTCTGGTCCAGTTCCTACTTGTGACAGAGTTTGGGGTCTGTTACGTAAAGCCGCTCCCGGAGCACAAGTCGTCATCCCTCATCACTCACACTGCTCTGCTCTCTGACTGCCTCCTGCTCTCCTTCTTCTATCCTATCAAAACCCTTACTCCTCCATCTTCACCTCCATCCATCTCCATCTCTCTTCCTCGTGTCCCTGTCAAAATGGATTACTGCGCCCTCCCCGCTGTGAAGACACAACACCCTATCAGTCATTTTCAATGTTAAGCAAACTCAAAGGGAGCAGAGGTGTGAGCATAAAATATTCCAACGTCCAAAAGCAGACGGATGCTTCAGACGGACAGACCATCAGATGAAGTTCTGCATCTTAGAAATGCCACATTTCTAACCGATAATAAAACGTCTTCTTTGAAAGGAGAAGGAGAGAAAAAGGTCTTTCTTCTCACGGAGGTGAAAATGTCAATCACTGTCATCATTAGCAAACAGGCTGCACAGGTTTCCTCTCTGAGTGGATGCTTGTTGAGGAGCTGTGGTCTGTGTAATTGCCCCCCCCGTCAGTGAGATAAGACATATTCACCATGCAGACAAATGTGCTGTAACAGTGCATGGGTTAGATAACATGCCCTCAGTCTTACATCTGTTTCTTTTATTGTTCTTCCTCTGCTTTTTTCTATTTGTGATTCCTCTCCTACCTGCTTTCTTCTAATATTTCCTCCCTCTTTTTTCTTCCTTCTTCGTCTCTCAGGTCTCGATGACTCTGGCCGTCAGACCATGCAGCCTCCTCCATACCTCCCAGGCCCGCAAGACCCTAATGTACCCCAGCACCCCAACATGCAGCCTGCGCCGGGCACCCAACCCAACTACCCTCCTCCACCTCCTCCTCCGGGTTCAGATGGATATCTTCAAGAAACCCAGTTCCACTGCGGCCCGCTGGGTCCGCAGGGGGCCCCACAGGGCTACACAGTCCAGACCCAGGGCCCCGGAGGCGCTATGACTCACGCCCCTGTCGGCTACCTCCACCCGGGCTACCCGCTTCAGCTGCAGCCTTGCACAGCTTACGTACCCGTCTACCCCATGGCATCGGTGAGTCAGAGATGAGATTTCACAGGTCTGACATCAGGCTGCTGCAGAATTACACCAGACTCTGGTTCAATATATTGTATATTTCTTTCCGCCTCGTATCACAGATTGTAGTTGTTATGTTTTTTCATCCTACATTTACAGATTTGATGGATGAAAGTGAATTTTGTTAACACTTTTACAGGTGAAAGTAAAATAATTTACTGCCACGTTTCTTGGAAAGAACTATGTAATTAAAGGGAGAAGACAAACAGTGTTCTGTGTTGATTTGTATAAATTTGAAGGTCAGGTTTCCTTAAAATAAAAGTAATTTAAGTAAATAAAATGTCCACTAATTAGCCTGCATTGTGGCAACTGCTGGATATTTTTACCAATCAAACTCTCTTTTCTCTATAACTAGTACAAAATAATACATACAAAACTAGCGTACATGCTTTCCAGGAAATGTACGAGAAAAAATAACAGACCCATAAAATATAGTGTTACGTGGTGTATGTCTACTAAATTATAAATTTGCATATCAACAATTTTAGGCAACTTTTAGATTTATTTTTTTTTATCATTAAAATTACGTTAAAGAGAGAAAATGTCTGAAACAGCTCCCTTGGTTGACTGGCTTTTATGTATTTATTCAGTTATTTTGGGACAGAGGGATTTATAAGCATACACAGTAGAACCGTCACTGAATAGATTAACACCACATATCATTGCATTTTTAGCCTAAGCTAAATTCCAATTCCTGAATGGGTTTTTATTTTTAAAAAAAGTACATTTACATTGCATTAAAAATATGTCCGAGCCTCAGGCTTTTTGATGAGTCTAAATGGCACTGCATTGCTTCATTGGGTTTGCAGTTTTCTGGCTGGTAACAGGAAATAGGAAAATACAGAATCTGACATGAATTAAATTTGCTGACTGCAACCTGAAGCCTGCTCAGCTGCTAAAAGGATATTAATAAGTTTAATCATTTTCAGTGAGTAGAGTTAATGTCCTTGAGCGTTTGGTGTGCCTTGGTGGTCTAGAGTAGCGGTTCCCAACCAACGAGGGGTTTACCAGACCTTGGTGTTGCGAGGCTTTTCTTGATTTTAAGGAGTGTAAGAAGAACTTTAAAAAACATACACTAGGTTCGGATCTCAGCATTTCATTCATGTCTGTTAAGAAAACTAAATGAAATTGTGACATCAAATCTGACAGGATAAGGGCCCGGTGAAGACTTGAACACAAGCTATATTCAGACTTTGTTCTGCATTAGAAAAGTAAGCAACCGATGAGCGAATAGTATGATGGCCAAGCCTCAGGGAGAAAACACTGCATTTGTCAAAAAATGAGCCTATTAAGATGTATGTTTGTTAAAAATGAAAAGAAATACATAATACAGGCAGAGAATTGTGTAAAATAAAAAAAAAACCTCTGATCAATATTCACAGGAAATAATCTGCTCAAATTTCACCCAAATCGCTCATTTTACAAAAAAATAGTTCACTATTTGAATTCTTTGTACAGTTTATCAATTGTTCTGTACTGTTATTGTTATGCGTTTAATATAATGTGAAATATTCATAATATATGTCACTTAGTCAGAGGTCGTCAGTTTACTCAATGATAGGAAAGGGCTCCCTTAAGGAAAAAGGTTGGAAACCACTGAACTAGAATCACCTCTTCACATCCGACTGTGGACATCTGTCTCATGTCATTCCCCCATCTCTCCCCTCATTTCCTCTCCATCTCTCTACTTTTAGTTAGCTATTAAAGGCATACAATTCCCATAACAATGATGAAAAGATCAAGAAGGCCTGATTGGTCTTTGGTTCATAGAAATAATAACTGTTGGGGTTGTGAGCAGGCATTGTTTTGTTGTAAACAAGCAGGTTGTGAACCAATGCCCAATACAATTTGTATCCTTATTTTATTCTTTTTGTACAATATAATTGTAATTTTTGAATTCTAGCTACATATGTTTACACAATAGTAGATGAAACCATCCACACTAGACCCTGAAGTAAACTAAAAGTGGTGAAATAAGCCCCAAAATGTGATTGTGAGTCATCAAGTAACTGCAACTGCTTTTGTGATACCACAAATCTCACCACCATGTGTACTGAACTGTAAACCATTACTGAGGTTTATCATCAGTCTCTTTTAATAAAATAAATACTTAAAGAATATATTTATGTTTGTGTGCATACATTATTGTGTACAGGACTACAGGAGTGGAAAATATGCACTGTAGCAGCTCATTCTTGCCCACTCGCTGCAGTCTCACAAATGAATAATAGTTGTTTTTTTTTAGACATTTCCTGCCACGCTGCTGATAAATCTTAGATATGCATGACTCTTTAATGCATGCAGATGTAATACTGTCCTCCTCTTTGACTGTGTCACCTTGTTCCCGTGTGTTTTGGGTGGAAAGTGCTTTGTAAGCTGCTCTACAACAGCTCTAGTACTTACTCTCTGTCTTCTTCTTGTCCTCTGCTCAGGGTCAACCTTACATGCCAGCCGGGGGAGGCCACCCAGGGATCCCACCGGGCCAGATTCATCCCATGCAAATGCCACCCAGCATCACCCTAATGGACCGTCGACCGCCACACGACTACCTGCCCATCGCCGTGCTCACCACCGTCTGCTGCTTCTGGCCAACAGGCATCATTGCGATCATCAAAGCAGTGCAGGTTAATGGCACTTTATAACATCTTTTGATCTTTGAGTTTTATTAACATAATGTCGTCTTCACCAGGGACTTTGTCATGTAAATGCATCCAAAAGTCATTTTATATTCAGAACTGTATTTGCCTTTTAGAATGACATTATGATAACACATTTGCAGTATGCTGAAAAGGAAAATACTATAAATCACACTTATTTTAGTCACATTAAGAGAGTCTTTGCAGAAAAAACCTTGTGGTCACTAGGGGTGGCGCTAGGGATGGTTCGGTCCACCACTTTGCTCCAGACTGTATGTCCCCCTCAGGATGAATTGTAAAGATTCATTCATTCATAAACCCTAACCCTGCCCACCAAGCTGCTGCTAACGATAGCTCAGCTTGTTTCTCTGATAACTTAAGACGTCAGATGGATAAATTCCTTCATTCATTTAACATATATAGTTAAAAATTACCAAAAAATGTGACCTAAAATTGGATAAAAAGTCAGTTTATGACAGTAATGCTCAAAAGGGATATGACGCCATTGACAGGCGAGCGGTAAAACACAATGTTACCCAAATAAAATTACAGATTTGAACATTGTTGGATACATTGGGGATAGTGTAAGTGCACAACTCAACAAAATATATACCATAGATCTACTGTTCATAGGCATTTTACTGCGGAAATGTTACATCTTCAAAAGTTTGCTCTTTTACAAGCCCTTCACTGATGCTAATTTAACACACAAGTTAAATTGAGTGTGATGTTAGAAATGTAAAGGCTCAGTCTGGTGGCTCTTGTTTGCCTCTGTAACACCAGACTGTGCTGACCAACATGCACACAACAGTCCACATTACGTAACTGCACCATTGTCGGTGCAACGGGATAGAATGGATTTTTTCCTCTGGGCCTGCTCAGCTGGCTTTGAGTTGAGTTGAGCTGACAAGGCATGGACCCACCGGTCTGAGCTGTATATGTTGTTATGGTGTGTTAATGTTGTGTGGAGTGGCCTCTTTCTGCACATTCAGGCTGCGCTGCAGTGAAATCGATCCATTCATGGTGTTTTAGACTCTCTCCTGCTCCCACCCGTGCATCTTCTTGTTACATAAGTTTTATTCTGATTTCTCCTCTCTCCCACACACCCATCCCCTCCCTCTTGCATCACTTAGGTGCGTACGGCAATAGCCAGAGGGGACATGGTGACGGCGGAAATAGCCTCCCGTGAGGCACGCAACTTCTCCTTCATCAGCCTGGCTGTTGGCATCGCCTCCATTGTGCTGTGCACCATCCTCACCGTGGTAGTCATCATCGCCTCGCAGCACCACGACGACGACTGGGAGCCGTAACTCCGCGCAGTGTCAGACAGATGGGAAATCATGGCATATATTAGCTAGCTAACTACTCTCAATCGTTTGGAGGAAATAGGAGCACTGAACATGCACACAAACTGCTACTGCATTGCTGGCCCTCTGTGTACAGCTACACACACAGCTCTGACCTAACCTGCTGCCATCAAACATACACCGACGACCAAAAAATCAACCAATCGCAGCTGATGTTCAAACGCCAAATACGAGCAGCTGTCAAATGAGGTCCAGTATTGCTGTTAGCACAGCGACCACTTAATATTTACACTGAGATATGAGCTGCAAGAGGGAAACAAAGCTCCTTGCATTAACAATTCATTTGACGCTGATTAATTCATACGGAGGATGTAGTTAGATGAGAGGATGGGTCACTGTGTGTTTCAGTTTTACATATTCCAACAACAAAACCTACTAAAAGTTCATTTTTAGGATAGTTTAATGCACATTTTAGTCTTAAAAGTACAAGTATTTATGTGTTTTCTTCTTTAAAAACAAAAAAAAAGTGCCATGTTGAAAACAGTGTTGATTTACAGAGTGCTATTATTGCTGATACACTTAGACAAGAGACTGTCAAACTGATTTAAAGTGTTAGAGGGGGTGATCAATACACATTTAACACACCAAATGGAGACTGGAGTGACAGAGGGTCTAATGTAACCAAACACAGTATTTATTTGAGATTGGTTGTTTGTATGTTACATGGACATTTAAGCTGGATGAGATGATACATAATTTATGAATTATATGTTTGTTAATTTATTTAAAATGTGTTATTTATTAATTTATTCAATATCTACCCATGCATTGACGGAGTCTGCTATAATTTACAGTATATCACTAGTTTATTGCAGCTATCTGACACTTTAAAATTGGCTTAAATTTGATATCTGATGATGATGATATTGCACTTTTTAGTGACCAGATGAGATGACGCAGCTGCTTGCATTCATAGTTCTTGTAGTGCATGATCAATATAAATTCAATGGGCTAATGGGCGTCTAGTGCAAAAATAGCTTGTCTCCCAGCTGTTGGTGGGAATATCTCCTAAAATGTCTAGAAGTGTGTGGTGCAGTATTTTTCAAAATGTCAAACAAGCTACTGTCAAAACAAGAAAAGGAGACAATTTAAGATAAGTATTTGAATATTAATTTAGCAAATATTGTTTATTCGCAAGTATTTTACAAGCGTATTGGCCTATTTTGTGTTGCACATCTCTTAGCTATTTAACCAAGCAGACACTGTATATGAAACTTAAGTGCAACGTTAGACTTACGAGGCAACAGAACCCTGCATGTCATCCTCAGTTTGTTTCCATTTGTCTTAAATATTGCGGCTGTGAGCTCCTGTAACGTTGTTTAACCATTGTAACACAATGAGTCAGGGTTCACCCCACATGGTTTCTATAATGTAGCGTAGCTCTGAGCAGCAGGTGTGCTGTTGTTTTTGTAAGAGCCGTAACATTACAGTATGAACTATTGTGTGAGGTTGCTGGAGTTATGGGAGGACTGAAAATGAATGTTTCCAATAGGAGAGAGGGAAAATGTCAATGCCTACACTGTATTGTAGCACTTTTCCGCTCTATGATATCTTTCCTTTGGTCCCCTTTCTTTTTGTCTTTTCTCCTGTCCACGTGAGCTATTGGACCTATTAATATATCCCCTCTGCTCCTCTGTTGGTCTCTCTGATGATGCTATTTTTAAAACAATAATACAGAGATATTAAAAATTATGAAAATTGTGTTTGTTGACAATGAACACGAATAGAGGCAGTATAAATACAGTTTATTCTGTAGTTTATATATTATTAATAATATTGCTTTGGATTATCACTAATGTATAATAGTATGTACATTGAACACATCTGGGCCTGTATTTATCAAACATCTAGAAGCCAACTTAATAGTTAAAGTGTGAAGAATAAGTGATATATATATATATATATTTATTTATTTATTTATTTATTTATTAACATATTAAATCTGGATTTGGATGAACAGCTTACAAGAAAGCAGTAGCTATAAATAATAGGCTGACAGGCTATCTAAATTTTGATAGTTATTATTCTTAAAGCAACAGACTTAGACTTCCATGAAAAGATCGATACCGCTCTCCAGTATGATTTAGTTTAACTCTCAGGAAGAAAGCATAAATAAGCATATTTTCCAAAATGCAACGATTGTAAAAGTACAAGTACTGATATTTTTGTACAACACTGAGTACAGATATGAGCACTAAATAATGCCATTACAATTCCAACAATGACTTTGAAAGCATGTTTTATTTTTGCTCACTTTCTGACTGTAACCAATTAAATATTTGACTTGTAAAACGAGTATGTGAGGTCAGTATCGGTGCATCCCTACTGTTTGGATAAATACAGGCCCTGTCCTTACATGATTAACACAGTGATATGTCAGTGTTAAATGAGTAAATGAAGCACAGTGCTGTTTAGTATTATTATTGTACAGAAGGCTCTGGCAGTGAGTGTGTGTCTACTGAATAGAGTCACTCCTAGCATATCTAGTTCATAGCAGAGTTTATAGGCTGCATCTCCCTGCGTGCTTTCTGATAGGACTCTTCTGTTCTCAGCAACATGAACCGTAGCTGTTTACTACATAGCTGGGAGATGTGTTCCTCATTTTATTTTCATTTCTTGTTTTCTTTTCAGTTTATTTTTCGAGCTTGTAAATGCGACGGGTTGCTTGTTCAAAGAGCCAAAAATTACCTGTGTACATGTGGTTCTCTTGGGGTTTATTACTATAATTATGTTCATGGCTGTGTTGCACATGCATTGGTTGTTTTCTGACTTCAGTTGTTTGAGTAATGAATAAAAGAATAATTTCGGGTTGTGAAAGATATATGTTGGTGAAGGCGGCGTCTCATTCTGCGGCTCGTTTTTCACCTCTCAGTCTCTCTCCATCCTCTCAGTCTCTCAGTGGCCTTCCCTCTCTCCCCTCATCAGTAAGGTGCTATTTATAGTTGCCCCGGTTTTCTCCCTCTCCGTCTCTCTTTTTCCTCTATGTCAGAACATGAACTACAGTATCTCTCACTATCACTATCCTGTGCTTAATCACATAAGGTCTTGCAGGTTTGTGTTTTACGTTATGGTGGCGACTTCTTTTGTGCCTCATCTGTACCACATAAAGATTATCATGCCTTCCCATCCAGACAGCTTAAATTGTACAAATTTAAGCATACTACAGCATTTTGCATTGACATTCATAGCAGGGGCGGAGCCGAACGCAGTAAGCAATCGGGGTTTAGCCCAAACCTAAAGGGGTGCGGGGGCATGGTCCACCGGGGAGATTTTTTCCCCATTTGATGCAGCAATATTCATTATTTTACAAGCCAGTTGTGATGATAGAATGCCTAAAAATCTGTGCATCGTTTGGGAAAAAAACACAATAGTTGCCCAGGAAAGAAATCATTATCAGTGTCTGCAGCATCCGGTCCAGGGCAGTACGGCTGAGCTAACTAGCTACATTTTGCATCAAGAAACTCTGTAAATCACAGAGAGTTGAGGCAGAGCAGCCGGAGGACATCAGAGGGAAATGCAGAAAACATCTCCATAAAATATGAACCAGTCTCAGTGATATAGTTGGTGGTGTGTGACTTAGTGCCACTATGTTCACCAGTTAGTCTTTATTTGGTGCTGAGCAGGTGGTGTACAGTGTGGATTTTGGAGGTTTTTCACTGAAAATTCACACCATGAGAGCGGTGAGAGTGAACCAAAACAGTGAAGCTGCAGGCTGGATAGCTAAACAATGATCTGAAACTCACCATAAATCTCTGTAAAGCAAAGGGCAGCTGCAGATTCACATTGTTTTCACATTAACTGATGCATTGTTATTATATAAAATATCTATTATCACTGCTTTAAGTAATACATGTTAAACGGTGAAGTATGGGCCAAACAGGCCAATGGAAAACAGGTTGGAGAGAGAAACTAAAGGTGGGATCAGAGCCAGCCTGTGTGTGCAGGATCACAGATGGCCCTTTAGCCTCCTGAGGAGACCCAGCATCTCTGAGATCATTTAACTTGGCCTCACGCTGCACGCCACTCTCCTCCATCACACAGTCCCAGCTTCCCCTGGGTCGGCCATGCTGACTGTCTCGCTGTGTGTGTTTGTGTCATCCTGCAGCTCTCTCGCTGGGCTGTCATCTCAGCCCCAGCATCAGGACTGATGGGTAATGGCTGGTAATATGTAATAATGCTGGGAAGTAAAACCCAGCCTCCTGCAAACACAAATGCATAGATAACTAATCCACCTACACACATAGAACCAAAGGTGTGAGAACAACAACAAACGCTTCAGCTGCTGCTGACATTTGAGATAATATAGCCTGGAAACTAAAGTCAATGATTCGTGTTAACCCTCTTTCAGCCTCATTACAAACATGCATCAAGGGGAATCTCTTTCTTTCCCTGCGTGCTTCCACTGTGTTTCTCTACACGCCACTTGTCAAACCCCCAATCCGTTACTTAAAGGATGAGTGTGTAGGATTTAGTGGCATCTAGCGATGAAGTTTCAGATTGCAACTAAATGAATACAGCTCAGCCTTCCAAGAATGTAGGTGAAACTACGGAGCCAGGAAATTTGGAGACTTTTATTTGAAAAGTAACTCAAAACTATAACTGTCAGAGAAATATAGTAGAGTGTAAAGTACAATATTTTCCTCTGCAAAGTAGCTGAGTAGAAGTATAAAGTAGCGCAAAATGGAAATACTCTAGTAAAGTACAAGTACCTCAAAATTGTACCTAAGTACAGAACTTGGAATGTACTCAGTTACTCTCCACCGCTGCCTTCAGTTCATCCACGAACACAAACACTGTAGCAATTATTCAAATTCAATCAAAACACAAGAATCAATATTTATTGTTTGTGCAAATAATTTAAACAGCAGTAACTAAGGCCTTGACTGTGTACAACAGTACAAATATTGTTTTACAGCAGCTGGAATAGACCTCAGTGTGTTCTCAGTGTAACAGCATTTGGCAGGGTGCAGAGATCGCTGGGACCAAATGGACCAGGAGGTGCAAACACGGAGCCGGTGTGAAAACAGCAGCAGAGGTACAGTAGCCTGCAGGCTGGAGAAACAGCCTTAAAAACACATAAATCAGGAGCGTGAAGCTCCAAACACGTCCTTTCAAAATGTCCTTGAACATGTAACCTAATCCATGTGTGCTTCTACATGTCAGTTTGTCTGTTCAAGACTGTGTGCAAAGCAAAAGTCTTTTTTAAGTGTAGTCCACCAGTTCCATGTACAGGTGTCCTGGTCTGACAGCTCTCTTATCGAAGGATCTTCTTTTTGATGTACTGGCAGAGGCAGAAAGGGGCGGTGGTACAGTGATTCCTCCGGGGACGTAGGCGGTGGTGTGATGGTCCAGACAGCCTCTCAGACACGAGCAGCTTCACATACGCTGCACTGTAAGTCATCAGAAGCTGGTAGGCTTTAGCCTGAAAAACAAGAACAATAACACTTAGAAGTTAGCAATATTACCTGTATGGAGAATAATACAGTAAAGATCGGTGGTGGTACTGGAACCATCTAGAGTTTTGATCTTGAAGAATGTTCTGAATGACTCTCCCCTATCTGCCTGAAGATTATCTTTATCTGCATATTTTCTTATCACTTTATAAGATAAGATAATAATGAATTGGTTAATTGTGTTTTGTATAAATCAACTCAAGGCAATATGATAGCTGGAGTTTCTTCTCTCGAATGAAAAAGGTAGGTTGGTTATTTTTTCCTAATGCAAAACATTTAAAGTCTAATTTCAGAGGTCTTTTTGTGCCCAAAGGTGCTCAAAAATATGAAATATAAACGATAAATACCTGCTATTTCAAAATATATTTTAAAATACTGAATAGCAGAAAATAAACTACTCTTCTCACTGGCTTTTTAAATGTCTGGACCAGTCAAAGGTCACTAAAAATAGAGTTTTTGAGTAAATAAAACTACTTAAACATATTATATATATATATAATTGTCATTAAATCTCAAACAGTGATTTTTTTCTTTTCTATTCTCATAAAGTCACTTTTATAGATATTTTGTTTCTGATGTTCTTTTTTCATTTCCCCCCCATATTGTGTTTAGTAAAGTTCCTAACTAACAAACTAACTATTAAAAAAACTCACCAACTAACTAAACTGAATTATTCTAAAGAACAGCATTAAGAAAACGAAGGTCTATAAACCATAAAACACATTTATTGATGCAGTTTACAGGCACTAAAAGGTCTTTTACATGTTTTTACATGTTAATTCTGATGTATCTATAATAAAATAATACTACTGATATACTGATCAGGCTCTAAAATAAATCCCCTCAGCATGGGAACTAAAGAGTCTCTTTACCTGAGCAGGTAAGGATGCATCAGGGATGAGGCTGTAGTTCTTGGTGACTTTGGCATCCTCCCGCTGGCTGGATGAGGTACTGCAGACCGTGTCCTCATTTCCCAGCAGTGGCCTCTGTTCATCTGAGCTCTGCTCCACATCTGACTCACCGACTTCGGGATCAACAGCCGTGACCTCGGCCACGAGGACAAGGTGGGACATTTTCCTCTTCAGTTTGTTCTGGGGAAAGTGTGACATTGACTGGGATCACTTCAACTTCCTCTGGCTATGACATGTGACGCTGTTCTTCAAAGACTAAACTTCTGTTTACCCAAAGTCCAGAAATAAATGTTCTCTCAACAGCAACTAGAATTATGTTTCTATTGATTCTGAGGGAGGACTAACATGGGAGCATGAGAAAAAAATCGATAAAGCACCACAAGAACAAACAGAGCGACAGATGTACTCGACTCACTCACCTGGGTGTCATTTGCCACAAAGCTGCGCTCCTCTAAAGTTTCAGTCAGTGCCCTCAGACAACGGGACATGTCCCAATACACAAAGTACAGCTGCAGAGAAACAAATACAAGAGCATTAGAGGCTGCAAAAGCAAAATTATTGAATTTGTTGTTCATTACTGATGTACTAGTTTTGTTCCAGACCACTAAATCACCACCCACGTCTTAGATTTTGGCAAGTTTTATTACAAGAACCTTTGTATTGATCACATAAAGCTCTTTACTCCTACATGATTAGTGGAGATGCACTCTAGTACGAGCCATGTATGGTATCATCATCCCTCAGGAGCAGATTTGTTATTTTAGCATTTCTTTCAGTGTGCAAATTACTCTCTTTATTGATTTTTCTTTACTGAACTCTAAATGTTCCTATGAAAAGGAATTTTATTTTGCATATATAGCCAACTACTACTGCTTTTTATGTCATCTTGCAAGTAAAATAGAACAATTCCCTCAATTGCTGACAGATCTTGAAAATGAATTTTGTGCGAGCGAGCCCACAGAGTTCTAGCTTTTTCTTGTTGTAAGCCCCTTTGGTCAATAAAACTGACTCCACTGCTCTTCACACACTTATGTTGTGCAGACAGGCATTATTCAAACACACACAACTTTTATTTTACATTCTAGTAGAGATCTCAAACTTTGAAAAGATACAAAACATGTTAGAATAAACTTTGGGACTTTTTGATGTATGCCATAAAGCCATATTGAATTTGAATACTTTACTACTTTCCACTGTTTCGTAGACCCAGTACACAGCTACTAGTGTGTATTTGCTTGGTCACTGTGGTGTTGTCATGGCTGCTGATATGTTGTTTTAACTGTCACCCTACTGTGTCATTAACCACATGGTTTTGTTGTATCATTCTTCTTTTCGTATCTTCTTACTTTTTGCGTCATAAAGTTGTCACCATAAATTTGTAATTTTTGTGTTGCTTTCCCACAACATTAAAAGATGAAACTAAGACAACAGCAGGGCTCACTAACAGCTATTTATCAGCCTAAACGGTTGGTGCACACATGGAGTCTCATACTCTCACAGTTTCAGTAGTTTTTAGAAGAACAACCTGCATGTTTCCAGTGCAGCTCTGCACCCAGTCGGCCACGGCCACCAGCAGCTTGTGTTTCACCATCCTCTCATTCACCTGGATTAACCGAACGTCTAAATTCATGTTGATCTGACACAAGAACACAAAAAGAAACACAATTTTTTCACATTACCCTTCTTGTACAAATACTGTAGGAATATTCAAATAAATCCTCTTCAAAAGAAGCCAAACTTAAATGTGAGATGAACATTTTTATGGTAAGAGACCTTCTTACCTCTTTGTTACTGTAGTGGAGGATGAAGATGATGGCAGTGGTGAGGAAGATGGAGACCAGGCTGACAGAGAGACAAAGGACCCAGTAGTCACTGACAGTGATGTAGAGGTGGAGGGTGGAGAACACAGCGCACCACACCACCACATACAGCACCTGGTGGAGACAGAGGAAACGCTGTTAATATTAACCAGGATAGCAAAAATATTAAATATTCAGCTGGGAGCTATTCAAAAAACAGTTTTGGGAATTTTTGGCTTTCTTGCCAAGAGTTATATGAGAAGATTGATATGAATCTTATATCTGTCCATTAACTCCAGAGCAGGAGTAAGTTAGCTTATATTAAAAAGTGAAAGCAAAGGGGAAACGACTATCCTGGCTCTGTATACCAGCACCTCTAAAGCTCTAGGCAAGTGTTTTAAGGTGTTTTTTACCCCTGTCTTCCTGTCTCGTAACTCAAAAGTGGTGCAAATGGCACAAGTTAAGCAATTTCAGCAAAGATCATAATGAGCAAAAAGCTCTCCCCTGATTTTACATACTGAGTTCAGTTTACGGATCATGTGGTGTACTACCCAGCTTTATAAAAATAATTATAAATTTATAATATCTAAGTTTTTGAGAAAATAACCCCCTGATAATATCATTAGAACTATCTTGGTTTAGGTTTAAAGACTTAAATTATTTAACAGAAAGCCTGCTTTACAAACGGGGCTCATGGAGTTTTAAAGACGTAGGAAGAGCTGTAGACAAGAAGAGTGTTATGTAAGATACTGTGCACTTCTGCTGTGGTAATTGTAGCAATTTTGCAGATTGACTCAAACTTGGGAATCCAAAATGATGGATAATCGTGGGCTTCCTGTGATCTGCCTCTTGCAAGTTCCCAAACTTTATGGAAGTAAAAAATCATAAGAGTAAATGAAAGAAAAGCGGGGAGCGAGTTAATACTGAAGAGAGAGGGATATGTTCAGAGTAAATAGTTTAGTTTAGAAGAGCTGGAGGATCATACCGGTGCCAATATAAAATGGAAGAGAGCTGAGTTGAAAACCATGTATCTCCTCACTGAGGGAACGTCCAGAGCTGTCTTGAGTGGAGCCTCCATGTCTCTGAATGGAATCTAACAGGAAATAAACACAGATTAACATAAAGATATCTGAATTTTTGCAGCATGCCACAGTAGGCCATTTGAATGCGTGTATGTGTGCTGACCTGGAAGCCATAGTTCTCCAGTTTGGCACGGCACAGAGATAGATCAAAGCTGGGGTTTAACGCTGAACAGCTCGGGACTGCCAGAACACACTGACCTGAGATCGAGAGAGAGCAATCCATGACAGGATCATCATTACATAAACACCGAAACTAAGAAGAAAATTGAGGTATAAAATATGAACTAAAAGCAACAGTGTGGTGCGTGGCAGCAGTGAAAAGCTGCTGTGCTGTCAAACACATTGAAAAAGAAAGTAAAAACAACGCAGAAACCCTCAGGGCAATCAAATATGAATAACCACTCAAATGTCACTGACCTACAGAGGGCCAGTCAGCACAAACTCATGCTGTTCAAAGGTTTCATTTATTACAAGTATGTTAAGCTTTATCTAAGAACTGCATATAAAATAACACATTTGATGGACCAGTGTTTTGGATTTAAACATTTCAATCACTGTAAACATTATATAACTTTAATGAACAAAGCTCATACAGAAGGTATATGATACTGCCAGACAGTGTGGAATAAGATGATTGCTCCAATCTTAAAGTTACTTAAGTGGAAATAATGCATGTTTATAAGTTAAACAATGTCTCATTCACATCTTTACATGTCTGTTCACTGGGATCTAAAGCATGTGAGTGTGACTATGTGGTGACTATGTGGTGATAATCCTTCTTTAATGCTGTAGAAGAATGGGAAGGTAGAGTAGGGTCGGTCATGACGAAATCTAAAGTAAGAGCACTGATCTGTTATACTTTAGTGACATAAAGAAAAGTGTAACTTGGATTTTGAGTAGTTACACTTGGGCACAAATGGAACCCCATATGAATATTATACATTTAAATACAAAAATATGTAGGGTATGTATTATCACTGGTAATCAAAATATCCAAATTCAAGGAAACAAGCCCCTCCTGATCAAGTCATAAGACACATAAAAACAAATAAGGAAGCAGCTATTACCATTTGACCAGCTGGGTCTGTTGTTGTTGGCCTGTGGCTGAGCTTTGGTTTGTCTGATTTGAACGTCCGCCTCACTGTCCACCATCACATGACCAAGTCCGTCATCCTCCATCATCTCAGAGATATCTATGTCTTTAAGAAGAAACAGAGCTGTTAGATAACAGAAAATAACTCTACTAACCGCTGCTATTAGGAACAGAAAGTTTTAAAGTGGGCTTAACGAGGACATTTTATAATTTCTTATTAAGAATTTCTGAGAAAAACTGAAACTTCAGAAGTTCCTAAGATCCTGAAACCTGTCTTAAACATCCATGAAACTTTAAGAACAGAACAAAAAGAGGATCCAGGTTCTCATGTGACAGCAGACGTGCATTACTCAGCAATTATATTAGAAACAGTTGAGTCACAAATTGGGACATGACCTAATGCCTGTAGGTGTTAGAAGTCTTAATAGCATTATTAACTCAGTCGTTCTATTCATGTGACTGTGGCTGATACAGGAAGCTAACACACTGATTATTCGATAGTGGTGCTGTTTTGTGCAAATTGGGAGGAGCACACCCCATCATTTGAAATATATGATATATATATATATATATATATATATATATATATATATATATATATGAAGTATATTTCTCCGGAAGTTGTTCTTTTTCAGATTAACACAATGAATCCCAACCAGGGGTAGCCTACACCTCAAGGGGTATTCTGCTGTTACCATGTTGAGGGTGGGTGTATGCGGGAAGCTCGACTAATAATAATAATAACTAATAGCAAATTAGCAACCTGAGTCAGTTGTAACATATTAAAATCATGTGTTGCAATCAGGAGTGTGTGAAAAGTAGTTAGCAAATGAGCAGAGAAGTTTAAATAGTTAGCCAAAAGATAATGGATAAATGGTTAGAGTTTAAATAATGAGGCTAAAAGTAATGAAAAGTTGAAACAGCTAATAGAATAAACAGCTGAAATGGTTAAAACAATGGAAAAACAGTTAAACTAGCTGTTTGTTAGTTAAAAGTTAATGGATACACTGTTTCAAAGTTTATAAAAGCAACCTAATGAATACATATTTAAATATTTAAAGTTAAAAATAATGGATGAACAGTTGAAATAGTCAGCGAACAGTGATGATGCTCAAAGTGTGAAGTAACATCCAGTTTATAATCCATTCATAAGACCATGGCAGAGGAAGAGTACGGCTATTTGAGCTCATTTGATGAGGGGCAGGTCAGGAACCACTGTCCTAACAGATAAACAACGGTTAAACATGTCACACAAGAAGAAGCGGAACATTCATATCAGATGAGTTCTTGAAAGGCCTTCAGATACTGTAAGCCACAGCCTTTATCTCTGATAAACATGTTCACACAGTTTATTTTTAAGTGAACAATGAGAGTCGAAAAAGTCTCAAAACCTGCAGAAACCAGATCACTTCTGCTTTCAGCTGGGGTGGAAGAAGTGTTCAGAACAGTACTGTAGAAATACCATAGTCTAAAAGTACAAAAGTGTAAAAGCATGAAAACTAACAGTATTTATTAGACAGAAACAATTCTTTCTTTTAAATAATACATTCACAATACATTATATTATATTATGTTGTAGCATAATTTGTTTATGTGTTGCAAATTTTAGGTAATAGTTTAATAGTAAAATATATTTATAAGCTCATAGGTTTTTGCATGTAAACTCTTAATCTGAAACATAATACCTACAGATGTTATATGAATGTAACTAATAATGTGTAATATTTCTCTCTGAAATGTTGTAGAAATATAAAGTAGCATGAAATACCTCAAAATGATGCTTAAAAACGGGGCTACTTATGGCTCAGGTTCGATTCCAGCCCTGGCCCTTCGCTGCATGTCATCCCCCCCCTCTCTCTCTCCGGCCTTTGCTGTCTCTCTCCTGCTGTCACTATCTAAATAAAGCAGAAATGCCATTAAAAAAAGTGTACCTAATTATGGTGTTTGAGTAAATGCCATTACTTTCCACCACTGGCTTTGAGGGCTGTTGGCCTTCACTGCAGTGGTGTGGTGCTGGTGTTATTGGATGAATTCAGTTTAGAGGAGTAAATTTAATTGAATTTACATGTTTTTGATGTGCCTTCAGAGTATCTCTATAGGCTACTGTAAGTAAAATGTCTTATCATGTTTTATCATGGCAGTGTAGCTCAGTCTGTCACTGTGACAGAGGATTAGAGGTACTTGTGCAGCTCAACAGGGACCTCCACCAGCACGAAGACAAAGAAAGAAACAGATAAAAACTGAATAAATTCTACTTTTAGACAACGCCAGCTCTTTCTTTCCAGCTCACACTCTTGCCTGCATGCCTGTGATGGAGCCACATTTTAGCACAGAAGTGTGAAAACTCGTTGCTGCGGTCGTAATGTCAGTTTATCCCCACAGTCTTACCTCTTTCTCAGCCCTCTCTTTTTACACACACTCTCTCTCTGCTGCTATCTTACTCTCTCGTTTTCACTTCCTTGCCTTTAAATAAAGTCAAGCAGACTCTGGGACCAATTTATCATTTCCTGCTTACACTGCACCTGCTCAAGAAAAAAATAAAACTGTTCACAAAGCAGAAGGGTGCACGCAAACACAGGCTGCATCTTCAGTGTTTCACAACTACAGTAGATAGAGGAAACAGCAGTTATCTCGAGCTCATCAGTAAAGACTCAACACAGTCTCTTATCTTTGAATTGCACCTCGTCTGTTTTCATGTACATGTGAGTTGTGTTGAGCACTCCTGAACCTAATTTGTTAAAGTTATTTGGATTTCTCCTCCAGGTTGTGTCAATTTCAGAAGCTATATTTCTGTTTTTCTTTTGTTTTTGCATTTATAAGCTCTCGTTTTATATAAGGGTGAGGGTAAAAGTTAATTTAAAAAGTTTGTATTCTTTCCGTGGCTATGAAGCCAAACCAAAACCAAAATAAATGACCCAGAAAGTCCATATAATTTACATAATCAAACACATCTTACCTGTATTTTAGGTGAAAGTCCATCTTGTCAACAAAGCTGTGGTGGTTGTATTCCCCTCTTGCTCTTAGTGTAACATTTGTTCCCACAGTAGATCCCTTGAAAGCAGCAATACATGTGTTACTGCGCATACACCTTTAACACTCAACTGTATCTAAGCAGAGTTTCTTTCCTGCTTCTCTCTGTCTTGGTTTCTCTCTCTCTCTCTCTCTTTCTCTCTCTAAGCGTGTGACTCAGATCAGCCCAGCCTCATGACTACAGGAATGTGGTCTGTGCACATGGTTCTCAGCTCAGACAACACTAGAAAGCGAGTTTTTACATGTAGAGGTTAATTAAGTCAATTCAAGCCTTATTTTGATATGAGACTTTTATTGTCTCATATTTTTGTGATTTTGTGCGACAGACTAAAGTTGTCCTGTTGGTGCAGTGGAAATGTTTTATGATTTTAGATGTTATCTTACTGGCATTTAGGGAGAAGAGTTTGTTTTTGTTGGTATGGATTTACTGGAACTGTCACACATTAACTTATAAAGGTTGTAGATCGGTTGGGGTCATGTAAGAGACACAACATTATATTCTGAGACCAATTCATAGATAAATAGACAACAAATGAACCTGAACTTCACAAAAACACCTACATTTACTTAGTTTTATTGCTGTTTGCTGCTTAACTTGATTACAATTAAATTCAAGTTAGAATTAATTGACATTTTTATATATATCATAAATGTAATTAATAAGACATTTTGCTTAATATGAAATGTTACTTTAATATTGGTTTTATTCTACGACTAAAGTGACTCACAGTAGAATAATACTCAGTCAGGCCCTGAAAGCAGCACCATAATACTATCTAACTGTACAGGACTTTATACAATTAACATTGCGAGTGGCTGGTGTTATTTCAGGAAAACTTTGCCCCCATGTGGATCAAAGTTGTAAGTGTATTTAGCAAATGCTCTTAGGATAAATAAGAATCAGGACTAGGAAATTAAATGCATTAAAAATGCAAAATAATGATTAATTCAAATTGAATAAAACATAGTTTACAGTGAATTTGTCTGCTGACAGCATGTATTCACGATTACAGTAAAAAGTAAAACACAGCGGAAAAGTTTTTTTTTCCTCAGCTGATCTTGGCCCGATCATTAAAATGTGATCACAATATATGTTATTGTTATTGTTCTTTAGTTTATGTCTATATGTATATTCATTGTTTTTTTTATTGAAATTAAAACAACATTTAAACATCATTCAGCAGCTGCTTAAGGTACAGTATACATGTTAGGTACATTTCCATACAAACATATATTTTATAAAATTGCAAATGTAATAGCAAAAGTAATTTAATAACTTCAATTAATGAACGTGTATTAAAATATATATACAAATATAAATATAAATAGCCGTAAAAATCTAATCTTATAAAATAAAAAAAATACACGCAAAGGACAAGAGCAGTAAAGGAGAAAAACAATAAAATAATATATTTTTTTAAAAACACAATAACTTAAAAAAGACAAATAGCAAAATAAAATTTAATTTATATCGATCCATTGTGTATATACTATTTTTGTTTTACGATGATAAAATACTGTCTTTTATTTTGGCGTATGAGGGAGGTCATGTGACCGCCCACCTGAGTCATATGACCGACTAGAGTTTTTGGTCGCAGTGTGGATGAGCTGGAGAGAGCATTTCCGCCTTTAGCTCTGTGTCTGTTTTTGTTTTTATCGATTTACTTCGAGGCTCCACTTTAAACCTCGGTGTTAACTCTCTCTCTGTCGGAGGAAAGCAGAAGTTTTCAGGACTTGAATCAAACATGGAAACAGGAAGCCGGCTCGCTGCACTGTCGTTACTTCTCTCCGCTGTGTTGTCTCTCTGTGTTTGTGGCAATATCCCTGAACCGGTACAGTAAACTGTCAAACAATATCAATATCAGTATAGAAATAGGTTATAAATCCAAACATTAGCTCTGCTGTGGGTGCACATGTTGGAAAGTGTTTGTTCAGATGGATTTCTGGGATCAAAACTGTCTTTTTTTGTGGATTTAAGATGTTTATGTTGTTTTGCATGCCTTCATGTGTTGTTACAGTGAGAATAAATAAGCTTTTGCAGCCTTGTGATTGGGATTTATGAATAAATATCATAAATATGCTTCCTAAAGTGAAAGTATGATCACCTGGTTTGCGTAACCGGACACTAGATGCAGATGCCCAAACCGGTTTTGCCAGCATATATCTCTTTCCTTTTGCCAGCTCATCTTCTCCCTTTCCTAATTTTTCTGTCTTTGCTGTCCAGATTAACCCTTTGGTGTACGAGGAGCAGCTGCTGTGGGTGAGCGGAGCCCAGGGGCAGGTGAACACCTACAGGATCCCCCTGCTCACCTTCACCCCCAAAGGAAGCCTGCTGGCCTTCGCAGAGGGCAGGAAGTCTTCGGCCAGCGACGTGGGAGCAAAGGTCATCGCAATGCGGCGGTCCACAGACAAAGGCACGAAGACCACCAGACAGTCAGAAACAGTTAGATATACACACACAAAAACACACAGCCTGTACACACACACACACACACACACACACAGACACACACACACACACACACACACACACACACACACTAACAGAGTGGTTGTATGTATTCAAAAACAATATCAATCAATCAATTAATCACCTTTCATACAACTTAGTGCAGCTTCAAAGTGCTTCACAGATGACTGATAAGTCGATAATAAGACAGAATGGAATAAAGGTAAAAATGACAATAAAATAAAATAGATTTAACAAGTATAACAAAATAAAAACTATACGAGAAACTAGATCAGATTTTTATTACATTGTTACAGAAGTTGGTTATCATCAAATGTATCAGAAAACATCACAAGAAACACAAAAGTAAAGAAACAACTGCAGAAAATCTTTTCACAAGGTCCAGTTGTTTGATTTGCAGGCACATCCTGTGGCCTTCATCATTATGTAGACAGTAAGTGGACCTTGTGATAAGATTTCTTTTAATCAAACCAAGAATGAAGCTCTAAGCTCAACATACAGAATCTCTAGCTAAACTTTCAAGCTTCCTTAAAGACGACAGATCAATTGTACAGACTACGAAATTTCAGTACTATTAGAATTAGATAACCATTTAATAAGCAGTTATTGTATTGGGTACCTTACTCTGGGGGGATATAAACACAAATAATACAAAATAAATGTTCTCATTTAACAGTTGAAGTTCTTAAATGGTAAAAGTGTTTAAAGCTCTAATAGAAGAACTTTAATAAAATACAGCCTAAAATGATCAAAACTGATTTAAGTGAGTATAAAACTTAAAAGACTAAAGACAAAAATATAAAATATTTACATTTTGTAGTAACTGTCCAAAGTGATTATATAATGTGTATAAAATGAATGGGTGCATTATTCTAGTGGCATTACTGAAAGGATTTATTTGAATCTCAACACAATAAAGTAATAAAAACTGCTTGAGACAAACTCTGGCTGAATATATACGATTGAATTAAGAACTTGTGTTGTCTTTAAGGGGAAAAAGCCCCCAAAAACCTTGAAATAATAGAATAAAAAATAGTGTCTGAATCCTCTTGTGCTCCTCCTCCATCCCTCCAGGAGCCACCTGGTCCCCGACCACCTTTATCGTCGACGATGGTTTGCAGCCGGACGGCCTGAACCTGGGCTCGGTGGTGGTGGACGAGGAGGTGGGCTCGGTGATTCTGATCTACAGCATCTGCTTCCACCTCTACCTCTGCCATCCGGCCAGCACCATGATGGTAGAGAGCATTGACGACGGTCTGAGCTGGAGCAAGCCAAGAAACCTCTCGGTCCAGCTCGGAGTCAAAAACTTTGCTGCCGGGCCGGGCTTCGGCATCCAGGTGAGAGGATGACGCAGAATGTTTTCTAGTATTAAAGTGAGATACAAAATTAAGCTAAATGACCTTTGTGCTGTGTTCAGGAAATGTTGGTTTTACTGTGACTATAAGCTGCTGATTCAGCTCTTACTTATTCAGGTCACATACTGGTGGTAATTACAGGTGTTTAAAGTGAGATTTTAAAGGCAGAAATCTACTCACTTTATTACAGGGTGGTAAAAATCTGAGTTCATACGCCTTTGCCACGAGGAAACGTTGGATATGATTTATGAACAAATGCATTTTTAAATGGCTTTTTTTTTTCATACTTCATGAAAAGAGGAAGTGTGTTTTGTACATTAAACATTATTCCCTTCAAATTAAGAAGTTGGAACTAACTTAGTTCTTGTTTCAAGCGCACCACTTTTTTTTCATTTAAAACTGATCATTATTATACCTCCCCGGCCTTCAGTGTCACTGTCAATAAAACAAAATGCCCCAAAACCCCAAAACAGCTTAAAGTATAGTGAAAATAATGTTAACACCTCATGAACTGTTTGTTGAAAAAATCTAATTTAATTGATTGAAATGTAAAGTCTTCAGTAATTTAATCATCAGTCAGAAACTGCTACAAACTACTACGGTGCATTTATGGTGTTTGTTTGAGGCCAGGACACAAAATTATCTAATAATTACACTGTTTGCAAATTTCATCTAACACAAACTTGCAAAATATGCCGACCTCAGACAATGGGTATCCCCTGGATAGAGGAACAGCAGTCACAAGTTGAGACTAAACCACAGGGACATGATGATGTTGTTAAAAAACATAAATGCTATGAAAATACTATTAAATTCCAAATGAAAATACTATGAGATAGCTGAAATGTAATTTAAAATAAGTTTTGCATTCTCTGTAATATTTAGTTTCAATATCCAGGTGGTGGATCTAGAGAAATATTTATGGGGTAGCAGAAATATATGGTAATTTAATTGCAAACAATCACATATATCAATGTTTGCTTGGAAAAGCCCCCAGATTAATATATTTTAACTCAAAAACATCACATCATTGTGGCACATTGATAAAAGATTGAATAGAAATACCTAAAGGTGGCATTAAAAGTCAATAAATTGATTTATTTCCAGCCCATTTTCCATCAGGTTAGCTCTGTTTTTTTTTAACTGGTTCCATTCAGGATTCAACAACAATCAACAATAAATAATCTAATTAGAAGGAATAAACCTGCCTCCTGCATAGCTGAATAGAGTCAGTCTACGCTACTGTATTTTAACACGGGTCATAATGGTGGAATTTGGAGAGCCTAATATTTTCTGACCATTCATATGATATGATGATAAAAATTTGGAAAAAAAAACTGTGGGTGTGCCTTGTTAAATTAAATCATATTGGTAGAATACATTGGACATGTGCCTTTATTGTTGCACACTGAATGCATTACACGTTACACAGTAGTGCGTTTGAAATGTGTGCAGCAGCAGAATCGTTATGTAATTGGAGGGGAGTTGTAATTGTGCAAATTAGTTGATTATCCCTCATGAATGAGTTAAAATTGATGCCAGTTTTTAGGACACTAAACCCTCAGTTGGATTGCAGCAGATGAGCCACTCTGGATAATTGTTCGGATTTGTTTCATGAGATATTGATGTCTTTGTAGCTGGCACATTGCTTTTAACTAATTATAAGAATTATGTATTATCTTTTTTTATGTTTTCTGTGTTGTTATTTTTTGATCTTCACTTATACATACACCGTTTTTTCAGAATTAGATGTAGTTTCTCTTTATAATCAAATTTTCCCTTTCTTAGTCCACATCTTTTTGTGTCTTTGTACAACAGAAGCGCTACAACCCAGCTAAGGGGAGGCTGGTGGTGTGCGGTCATGGTACAATCGAGGGAGATGGAGTTTTCTGCATCTTGAGTGACGACCATGGACTTAACTGGTACAACGGTGCCGCACTGAAAAGCATCCCTTACAACCAGCAGAAGAGACCACAGGACTTCAACCCTGACGAGTGCCAGGTACGTTTGTGGAAATGTGTTGTTAACCCCCTTGTGACGATCACATCTACACCACACTGTATCCTGCAATAGCAGGAGGTAAAATTGGACTCCTTTCTCCTCTGCAAAGATGAAACTTAACATAAATGGTGGTTACAACTTCTTACAACAGGAGCAAATCAAACCGCAGTCTTTAGCGCTGTGAGGAAAAACATCAGTGACTGAAAAGCAAAATGAACTTTATTTCTGGTGCCCTTTCTGGTGTTGTGTTATGTCCTTATTGGAGACATTTCAACTGTAAATGCAGACCGTTCAAGTCATTTAATTAAAGCTCCATTTATAGATATGTTTTTATATTAACAATAAGTCAAATGTCTTTGTTTACTGTGAAACCCAGAGCGAATTATCACCCAACTTTGCGGCTCTACTGAAGTTTTTTTTGCTTTGGTCTTGGTGGTCTCATCGGGTTTCCAGTGAAGTTGCCAGGCATTTTATAAATATCAAAAACTCTGCCTGTCACCAAACAGCAGAGAAAATAAACTTAGCGACTAGTTGTTGAAGAAAGTCCAATTTCTTGCGGAGGAGGAGAGGAGCAGGCATTCGTGGTTAAAGAAAAAAAACAAAGCTTAAAGGAGATTTAATATTACACATAAATTTGTCAGTTTATTATGAATGCTAAAGGTGCATTGTGTCTAATGGATGTGTGACTGGGCAATCACTACCTGACATATTCGCCTTAACAACTTTATCAGAGTGTTTATCTGTCAGCTTGTTGTGGAGTGACTCTGCCCTCTAATGGCCAAACAAAATGCAACTGTAAAATGACCTTTGTGTGATGCCTTCATTGCAATGATTTGAAAAAAGCATCATATTTAATCAAATACACCTTTTTTTTTTTTTTTACATCAAAATGCATTAGACACTGTCAAAGCTAAACCCCTCCCTACCCCTCTGCAGCCGTTTGAGATGACTGACGGCAGCATCGTCATCAACGTGCGGAACCAGAACCACTACCACTGTCGGTGTCGCGTGGTGGTACGAAGCTATGACGGTGGATTGTCCCTGCCCTTGGAAGATCTGTACTTTGACTATGAGCTGGTGGATTCTGCAGTAGCAGCTGGAGCTCTGCAGAAAGACGACGTCCTCTACTTCACCAACCCGTCCAATGATTACAACAGTAAGAGCCGCTGACACTAAAGATCTCTTCTTCCTTTCTAACTTTTGTCACTGATGCTCAGTGGTGGAAATAGCAGTAGGAATACTATTCTGTTAAAATATAAATAACAGTCCTGCTTTCTAAACTTTACTACTATATATTATCAGTAAATTATACTTAATTTATCAAAAGTAAAAGTATCTGTTGGTAGAATTATTGGAAAATCATTACTATTATATTAATATAGCATTTTATTGTCTCAGCTGGTTGAGGTGAAATGTATTTAAATTTTATATATAACAATGCATCATATTTTGTAACTTGATCGTGTGTTTTTTATGTGACATCTTAAAAAGTAACTGTAAAGTAACTAGTAACTATATCTATATAATAAATGTAGTGGAGTAAAATGGAAATATAGTGGAGCAGAAGTACACAATAGCTTTAAAATGGAAATACCTCAAAACAGTACTCAGAAAATGTACTTAGTAACTTGCTTTCCTTCACATCAAAACAATCTATCAGTTTAATTTACCTCAGACTTAAAGGTCCAGTGTGTAGGATTGTGTGTAGTTGCAGATTGAAACTCCCTCGCTTCACCCTCCCCTTCCAAGTGCAAAGGATAAACTACGGTGGCAGCAAAAAACTGAAATAGTCCTGTCTAGTGTCAGTGTTTAGTTTGTCCATTTTGGGCTACTCTAGAAACATGGCAGCCTCCACGGGAGGCAACCCACGACATCTATAGATATAAAAGGATCATTCTAAGGTGTATGTATAGGTATATCCCATTTCTGCCAATAGATCCCACTACAAGGAGTTTTTAACTGGTTATGAAACAGTCTGAATTTAAAACTGTTGCTACTATAGGAGATACATGAATAAACAAGACCATCAGTTAGAATCTGATTCCCCTTGAAATGAAACAAGGTGGTAGAAACACTATGGTAGTTTGTCCGCCAGAATCAAGATAAGATAAGATGTACCTTTATTGATCCCCCGTAGGAGAAATTCAACAAAAAATAAAAGTTCCTTGTTGCTGCTTTGAGGGAACGTGTTAAGAAACAATCGGTGAATGAGCAAACTAACATCTTGTATCGTCCCCCTCAGGAGTTAACCTGACCTTACGTTGGTCGGTGACTCATGGGAAATCTTGGGAGAACAAAGCTATGCAGATATGGGCGGGGCCAAGCGGCTACTCCTGTATGACATCACTGAACAGCGGCTCCCCAGAGGACCAGAAGTACATCTTTGTCATCTACGAGAAGGGCCACAAGGTCTATGACGAAACCGTCTCGTTCGTCAAGATCCACCTGTACGGTGGCCGGTAGAGCATGTGAGAGAGAGGTAAGCACGAAGCATGAAAAAACTGGTTTGTTTGCGATTAGTTTGAAAAACATATCTGAGCGTGACTCCTGTTTTTAATTTCACCTTGTGTTTGTCTCGTAGATTCAAATGTTGGAGGAAAAAAGGGAAACAGGAAGATGTCAGACTCCCACGGCTTTCTCAGGATGAACATAAAAGACTTTTTAAACTCACTCTACGCTATGAAATATGGGGAAAATGAGAGGCTCAGCACCACGAATGTCCGACAGTTTGTGTTCAGCCTGTGATGAACCAATCCAAAAAATATATGCCGGATAAGTCCGATGTGTCCGGATAAATGTGTTTTTGTTAGAAAATTTGCACAGCCCCAATATTTTATTACTTCCCTGTTCTTACATAAAAGAAGATATGACCGAGATAAATGTTGAGGATTATTTAGTACACTAGTTTCCAAGCAACTTCCTGTCATCTATGAACTATAATCTGTAAGCAATGATGATGATACCATACTAAAGTATGGCCGATCAATTATCACCAATTCACCTCACAAACTGTCAGATTCACTGTATACTTGGCGCTGGTGTGAAATTTCTTCTTTTGGCTCGGACACTTGCTGAACGGGGCATACTTCCAAATGGAATTATGAGTTTTGCCTTTATTAAGATGTGAATATTCCATGAATACATGCTGATTGAAATTGGTTCTGCCTTTGTAAACCCAGAAATTATGTAAAATAATGTTAATAACCTTTTTTTGTTATGAGACTGCCCTTAAATGCTATTTCCAATTGAGTGGTATGAGAAAAACAATAGATGTACTTAAATAAAAAAGAGGTGTGTGTGTGTGTGATTGGATGTGAGAGTGAAGAGGTAAATACGTAATGTAGCCAAAGTACTCTGGTATTTTGTAATCAATCTGAACTCCTCAGATTTTGATGTTTTATTTTGAAGAGTGGCCATTTATGCTCCATATTACCAGCACAGAGATACATTGTTTCCCTGCAGGACTTTATCTGATCTGTACTATCTGCAGAGTAAATATGTGATTTCTAACAATTGTACACCCTTTAATTTGTCAGGCACTGAGCTGATTTCCAACGCAGTTCATGATTCATAAAGAAATATCAGAGATTTACAGTTGACAAATCTACATTGACTTTCTATAAATATCACTCTTTATAAATGTCAGCTGAAGGTTTTCCTGTGAAGAAGAGTTTCTTTCTTTTTTTTTTATTTACCCACTTGTTTTACTTGAAATATTGTTTTGGGACTCCTTACAAAATAAACAATTAAACTTCATGTGATGATTATTCCAAAACAAACTGGATATTAGTTATGTTCATATATGAAAACCCATGAATTTTGGATAAAAGTAAGGGAAGGTTGTTTTTTTTTTATTTTACAGTTAACTTTCAACTCTCAGCCATGCAAAAAAAACCAAACAACATTAATTGTCTTGCACATCAACAAGTAAAGAAAATCATATGTGTGACCTGAAGTACCCTCCATGCTCTTTCTTTTGTACATACATTTCTCTGCAGCCTTTGAGTCAGAGCTTTGATTCTCTGCCTGAACCCAAAATACCTGCCTTAGGTCAGGCGAGGACAGGATTTATATATATATATTTTTTATTCATAACGCATGCAATTGTAATTAATGAGTGAGTTTGTAATGTAATAGTTTTGTTAATTTACACTAAATCAGACACAATGTAGTTTACTTCAGCTTGCAATAAACTAGTTAAATTATTCTAAGTTTAAGGGTTGATTTTTTTTTTTTTGGGTGCCTGATCAAAAAGCTCTAATTCGATCAAGTTTTTCTTTGCTTGCCCAAACATAAAGTTAAAGTTTGCAAAGCATCTTTCACCTTCACTCCTCATTATGTTAATCCCTAATTATGACACCTCTCACTGGCACATGCCAACGACAGCGGATAAATTACCATTTCCAGTTAAAACAACCCCCCCCATTAGCGAACAGACACCACTCTATAATCTGTCATTTCACTGGATGTCTCACCCTGATAAAAACAAAATAAGAGTCGCGTTTTTTTTTTTTTCCTCCTTACCGTAAAAGTCCCAAACGGCTTCCATCTCACAAAATCACCCAGTAGCCGTTGACGGCTCTTTAGGTGACGGATCGAGTCCCGACTATTACAATTTTCTTTTCCCCCCCTTTTTTTAATTTATTTTTTTGAAAAACAAAAACAAAAACAAAAAAATAAAACAAACAAGAAAAAAGGAGCGCAAGTAAGACGAATACCTTCTTTTATCCCAAAATACAGCACTCGTTTCTAAAACACCGTCTGCGGTTCGAGTATGCGGGAGGATAACGTTGCTTAGCTAGCTGGGTCACTCGCTTAGAAAGCTAACGCGATAGCAGCGAAGCTAACCTCATTCTGCGATACAACCTCGAGACAAGTCGGGACAAGACCAGGTCAGTGTCCGGAAACATCGTGCCTGTTTTCTGCAAACACCAGTTTAGTTGTTATTGTATGGAGCAGGGGGGATTGTCGGCATATCACCGCTGGACACGGAAGTTGGTTTCCCCGGAGAAGATGTTTTTTTTTGTGAAGGGGCAAGTCTTTATGTTTTTGGAAAAGAGGCACAGTGCCTTGGTTGTTGTTGCTAGCTGGCTAGCTACGGTGGAGCTCGGTAGCCTAGCTTCGCTAAGTTGGTAGCCAGGGTTTGCCACATGATAAAGATGGAGTGTAATAGTTTTTTTTTTTGTGGATAGACCACACACATACACATATGTATTAGTTTTTAAAGTTATAACGAGTGCCAGATTGGCGTGTTGTTTTGAATGTGTCATAACGTTTGGCTTGCTAACGAGCTAAGCTAATGTTAGCGGATCAACGTTAGCGCAGGTTGGACTACACCGGGAAGCTTTAGCTACTACACTTTATGATACACTGGTGGTAGTGTAACAGATCGATATATTGATGTGTTTTTTGCCTTTATTATCAGAGCTTTTTTTTTTTAAATATGAGCGTGTATAGTCAGTTTTACTTCGCTACAGCTAACAGTTAATGCTACACAGCCGGTTAATATGCACCGGGCCTGTCTCCACCGCCATTTTGTTTTGTTCTCCGTATAAAATCTCTTTTTTTTTTTTTTTTTTTGGTTGTTTGTCCTGCGTTGTCCTGTGCCTCCAGCGAACGGCAGATATGCAACATCGTTTTAATGAAAACACCCAGCTGCGGTGTCAGTGTGCGGGGGGGGTCAGCTCCACGGTGTCGAAGAGCGATAAAAGCTAATGTTACCGCAAGGTGTTGAAAATTCATTATGAAACATCAACGCAGTCCCCCTCCCAACGCGATCCCTCAGGCCCCGTGTTTAGCCTGTTAACGTTACCTACCACTACAATACAGTTATCCTAAGCATCGGAAGCTTCACTAGTTTTTGTGGTTTGTACATTTGATGTTTATTATTACTGCTGCTGTCGACGCCACCAGTTTATTTTTGCCCAAAAGTGAACGTGTAGCAACAATAATGTGGTTAGTGCCTATCGTTAGCTTTTAGCTTCACAAGGCCCCTTTTGTGGTGTACGTTGCTGCAGTTATGGCTTGGTAGTGTAGCTGCTGGCCCCCGTTAATCCCCCCCATACAACATGTAGTTGACCAGCCATCCCACGACCTAATTTTCTAATCTCATCTGGCTGTTTGAGGCTCGGTGCAATGCCGCTGCTCTGTAGTCATTCTGCGAAACCGCTTGTTGTTTCGTTTATTTGTTTTCTTTCTTTAGTGGTGTGTGTATTGCAGACATCGTGCGTTTTGTCATTATTAGGATTGTCAGTGCGCAGTATTGGGGGGTTTATATTTGAGTACCTTTAAACCTGTTTGTTTTTTAAGCGTTATTTTGATTGTGGCTTCACATTCATCCCTGTTTTGAATCTGTTGGTTTGGCTAAATATAGTTACACCTCTGTAGTTTAATATATTGCTGGTATGAGCCTTGTTGCATTCAGGTATACTGAAGACTGATGGAGCTGTCATGTCTTGGGATTTGGGGATGGGACTATATACAATATTATAGTGATTAAAAAACTCTTAACAATTTGCACATAGATTTGTTATGGCGAATTTGCTTTAATGGGATAATCACAGGCTGTGTGGGAAAATGTGAGAGAACTTGGAAATTTAGAGGCTAGTTTTCCAGGAGTGGAAATTGATTAAAATGACCCCAAATTCTGGGAAAATTTTCTGTTGTCCTGAGTGTTACGCAAAAATACTATCAAAATATTTGATAGTATTTTTGCCTAACACTGGCCTACATAAACCTGAGTGTGTATTTAGTTTTAAACTTGACTGTTGGTAGCATAATCTGGATTTAAATGTGTAAATATTAAGCTTATACTGGTAAATTATATGCAAATCCTGTCCTGTATTGTCAAAAATAACTCTAGAAATGTCCTGGTCCCTGGATTTCTTAAAAAGAGCGGGAATCCTGTCACAAAAAAAGTTAAACCGAATGTGTGGAAATGGTAGAGTCCAAAATAAAGAACAGGGAGATGAGGCCTATCTGTGATGTAATACTAATACTAATGTGTTTCTAAACCAAATGTAAGGTAAAGTGATTTTAGTAATATAATAAGTATATTTTTATTATCATGATAACGTGCATCACAATTATTTTGGCCTAGATAATCATGACATGAAATTTTCTTATCGTCCCATGTCTGTACTGAAGGCTGATGGGCCTGTCGTGGGAGTCTATTATTTAACCATTCAGTTACTGAAATATACACTTGCCACTATTATACAGAACAATATAGGCTCTTTGTTAGCCTAGCTGTTGATTGAAGTCTTTGTTTAGCTCTTAAATTGTTCTTCTGGTCATGGACCATTTGGATTGGCTCACATCATTTCACCACCATATTCAAAGCAAGTGAATGGAGTAATGTTATGTGTAGCATAATAATCTTAAGAGAATCAAATGCTCTCTGTAATTGTTCCTAATAGGAGTTGGGTGGAGTGGGGGCAGCAGTTTAACCTGCTGGATACAGTCAAATTATTCTCACTTGGACAGATGTCAGTGCAGTGTGTTTTATTGATGTGCAGTAAAATGAGTTCAAGCTAAAGGCCTGTCAGTTGCCATGGAGCCAACCCTTTCTCAAGGCAAGGCATAGAAGAATATAATTTATAATGTGTTGCCATAGAAACCATGTTTCAGCTTTTTTCCCCCTCTCTTTTGTACAGTGTTTCCTGTGATGAGGTGTTTAGTCATGTATTGTTTTAAGTCGGTTCACATTAAACTGTCTTTGTGCTGGAATAATGGTGAATCTGCCTTAGCATAATATACCTTTTTTTTTTTTTTTTTATAAAAAAGGATACCCAAGTTATCCCAGTACTGAACAACCTGCCCACCTCCCAAAAGCTGGGGCAGAAACAGAATTTATTAAGTGGAAAGCTGCACAGATGTTGGTGCAACTGCCACAATAACCCCTTACACACCAAACTAAGGCTTCGTTCCCACAGGGTTTGGTTTTTTTTTACTCATCTGTGACTCAGATCTGTCTTTTTTATGACTGTGTGAACAGCGCAAATCACATGAGAAATTGTCTTTTCAGTTGGGATTTGGGCCACTTTCCTATGTGGTCCAAGTCCGATACAATTTATGATATCTTTGCAATCTGACCTCAGTGTGAACAGGTCACTCTAGATGGACATTTGTCATGCACTTCAGAACCGTGACCTGTTCACGTTATTTGTTTGGTCTGGTCCGTATCAGATTCCAGTGTGAACAGTCAAACGCGGAAAAAAAAAATCTCCAAATACCAAAATTGCCTTTAGGTAGTTTTGGACTGGGCCTAGCAGAACCCTTGTGTTTTGGTATATATAGTTTCAGTTGTTTCGTTGTTATTGTGGATCATGCACCTTCGTCTCTGTGGTGCAAATAAATAAATGTGCCCGTCCATGTGACAGAGCCCTGTGGAAAAGCCTGCTGTAGGCAACCTTTAAATAAAGGCACAACAACACATCTGACTTGCAACACATTACATTCATTTGAACCTTTGCTGATATTTTGTCATAACCATGTGATGCTGTACCAAATATTTTATATATATTTTTTGATATATGGATTGGTTGATTTAAAACATGCATATCTAATATTTTCTGTCAAAAATACATGATGAAACGTTATTTAAACCTAGAGATACTAGGCCAGCAAAAATGTCTTTCCTAAACTGGCAAATATTGCATACTACACTTGGTCTTTAAAATATCCTAAAATAAGTTTATTGGTAATGTTTTAAATATCCTGCCAATAAATTGTAGCTTTTATTCTTCCATTTAACTTGTAAATGTGCACAATGTATAGAAACAGCAAACTGCCTATGTAAGAGAAATGTAAAAAACAAAAAACAGTGTTATGTATTGCCCAGGGTGGGATATTAACATTTTAAAAATGTTAACATGTACCAGTCGCTGACTGATAAATCTTTCATTCACCAGCCATTCAATAGTAAATCATTATTTTGTGTCTGAAATCTACCAGCCACTATTTTACAGCTATTTAGCTGGTGGCTAATACTGATTTCCCACCCTATATGTCTCTCATTGGGTTGTGGATGGATTATTTGTTGAAATGGATCTGTTCGTCAGAAAAGCTTCAAAGAAAAGAGTTGGTATGTCTGTGAAAAGAAAGGCTGCCACACCTGAGTATTAGCAGGAAAGTATAAACACATTGACTGTGACGTATTATGAATGATTGTGTTGCAGTATATCGTATTTCACAGAGCTGCCTGTGCTGTGATGCTGGTGTTTTAATGGGTAACATATTTTCGACACTGTTCTACTCGAAGTTACTCGAAGTGCTTAATCATCCAGCATCCACTGCTGTCAAATCCCTTATTTGAAAGTGTAAAGCCACAGCACTATGTTTCGATTATTTTGAAGTGTGAGACAGTTTCTTTTTTGCTAGTCGTTTTTAAGGTACGCTTGTACAATCAGCACTTTTTTACTCAAACTTTCTATGCCTATCTGGTGTTAAATCTCTCCCTCTCTCTCTCTCCACCAGTCTCAGGGCTCACCATACTCAATGAGCGGACAGCGCAATGTCAGAGCGCTCTGGGCAAACTGCAAAGGGGAAGGAAGGCAAAACCAAGTATGCGTCTCTCAACCTGTTTGATACATACAAAGGAAAGAGCCTTGAAACACAAAAGCCTGTTGGTGAGTATCATGGTTCTCTCATTGTCACAACATACATCCAGTGTAATAGATTGACCTTTCTTGTCTTTCTACCCGGGCTATTAATTTTCTAATTCTGCCAGACAGTTTTGTTACACGACGTAAGGATGTAAGATTTGTTTTGTAATTGATCCGATCTTGCATAAAGAAACAGATCTGATACGTCACAGTTTGATTTACCCGTTGGTGTTGTGATTAAAGGTGCCTGGCTGTGCTGTTTTGTCTCTCAACTCCAAGTACCGCAACTTTGATGCATTAGCCTACTGTCTCCCTAATAGCTCTTGTCCTGATTTCCAATGCAGGAAGTGGATGATAGGATGCATCTCTCAACTGCCTGCCAGCCTGTTAATATTATTCAGGGATATTTACTACCCTTTTTATAGGCCTGTACATCTGTCTCTGAGTGGGGAAACAAATGTATATTAGGATGTGTCATGACTGTAGCCACATAGAAAGAAATTATCCTTTGCCTGGAGGGTGACTGGTTCCAGAGCCTTGGTATGTCAGCTGAGCCTTGGAGCCACCGAGCCTGACCTGAGACAGAGGCTTACTTGTGGACACTGTTTGACTTCTGTGCTGAGTCCCCAGTCTATGTTTTATTCAGAAGCTCCCCACTAGATCTAAGCAGCTGCCCCTGTTTCCAAACTACAGACATCCCCCTCCTACATAGCGAAACCGTGCACTGCTGTGGTTTCTCAGAGCCTAAAGGAAATAAATGAGGGATTGATATTCAGCATAGCTTCACTTTTCAGAATCGGAAGGCTTTTCCATGCTTCTGTGAGCATCAATATCCTAGTACTTCTCCATAAACTGTAATTGAAGTGGGTTTGCTGAAGGTTTTTAATAACATCTAGAAGCTTTTTTTCCTAATCCATATTCATCAGAATCATCTGACTGAAACTACCAAACCTCTAGCTTCAGCATCCTAATTGTGTATTCAGCAAAGTAAGCAGCAAACGCCATCCCTGTCATCAGTCTTTTGCTTGCGCCCTGTAGATTTAATTGGTGTCAGGTTTCAGTGGTCCATCTGTGCTAATGACCTCTTTCTCTTCCCCATATCAGTTCCCCCCCGCCATGGCCTGCAGTCTCTTGGTAAAGTTGCCTCCGCACGGCGTATGCCACCCCCTGCCAACCTGCCCAGTCTGAAGGCGGAGAACAAAGGCAACGATCCCAACGTCTCGCTCGTTCCCAAAGACGGCACAGGATGGGCAAGCAAACAGGAACAAGCAGACCCAAAGAGGTAAGTAACCCCTTCTTTTTTCCACTCATTTATCACACCAATTTTAGTTAGACTTTTAGTTGTTAAAGTTACATTAAACAGAAAGAAAGTCACTTATTTTCAATTGATGAGGCTCTTGTCTAGCATCTTCCTTGTAAATGACTTTTCTTTTAAATTTCTCTTAGTACCGATGCATTGTCAGCACCGCAGCCGGAATCGCAGCAGCCTGTGGCTTCACCGACACCTGCCCCGACCCGCCCGAGAACCCCGCCAGCTTCAGAGGTACTGACAGTCACAAAAGTTATGCTCTTAGTAAATGTGCATGGAGATTTATAGCAGCCATAGCTGACGTGTAATATGGTTCTCTTTTCCAGGCTCAGGCCCCAGCTTCAACCCAGGCCGTAGGGGCAAGGTCCTGGGCACAGGCCAGTGTTACACATGGAACACAAGGGGATGGTAAGTCTTCCTATTTGTATCTCTCATACATTTCTCTGGAATAAACTTTCAGCTGAGCCCCTTTCTTAAAAAAAACAAAAACATTCTTCTCTCGTCTTCCCTTTGTGCAGGTGGAAAGGGATCAAACCAACCGTCGCCATTCTCTCGCGAGGAATTTCCCACCCTGCAGGCGGCTGGCGACCAGGACAAAGCTGGCAAAGAACAGGGCACTGCAGATCAGTGGTATGGGCCCGGACCAAGCCTCCGCCCCCAGAGTGAGTAATGTTCACTTAACCTTCAATAATTAATTAATAAGTCATTTAATTAAGGTAGTTGAAGGTGAGAAGACTTCTCTCAAGAGATTGAGTGCTTTTTGTAGTACAGTATTTATTATGTTACAGACTTCAGATCTTGGCTAGTGGTTCAGTTGATAACAAAGGGCATAATGATGAATGAGAAAGTACATAATGTGTGTTTATTATTGTTTTCTTTATGCTTTGGTTGGTGTTGCTATCTGCTTGCCAACACCAAATTTAATTAGGCAAAATAAAAAAATGGTTTCCCATTTCACTTAAAATTATATGAAAAGGCTTTAATATCAATCCATTGTGAAATACTGCAGACATGGATCTTTTGTTGAAAGGATGTGTATTTCCAAAGTAATGGCTTTGTATGTCTGGTCTTATTCCATTAAAGCTCATAAACCATACTGACCACTGTGTCCTCTCTTGTGTCCTCAGACGTTACAAGTTGGCGGGACGGTGGGGGCCGAGCCCTGGCGCCCACCCTGTCTGGGGAGGGGGCAGTGGAGGGTGGCGCTGGCGGGGCTCTGGTGATGGATGGGGCAGCTGGGGTCCCCCCTCCAAACTCTCAGTCCCACGGGCCACCTAGGAACCCTCCCGCAGGCAGCCCCGCCTTGCCCCTGCCCCAGCCCCCCGTGGGGCCTGGGTTCCCCCAATACCGAGGGATCATGCCTCCCTTCGTAAGTTTTTCTTTCTTTTCTTTTCATTTGATCTGAGGCAAATATTTTACTGTTTATTTTCTGCTATTATATGTTGTGCATTGTGCATTTTCAGGGCCCATTTAAGTTAGTGGTCGACCAATATCGGTCTTTTCACTTGCCAATGCCTAAAGACATATTTTGTCAAATGGGGCTTATGAGCGCAGACATTATCCACAGCCAAGTATCTCAAAATGCCTGATAATATTCCCGGTTAATCTGTCTGTCACTAATTTAAATGTTGTAACATTTGTGTGCAGAATTACCCAGTGCAACATTTTTTTTTTATTTGACTGTGCTTTTTGTATAAATTAAAGACAACCACAGCTACTCTTAAGACAGCACTCCTAATTATAAAGAATTTGTATCTGATCTATATCTTTTCTGTTTTTAGATGTATCCTCCCTACCTGCCCTTCCCGGCTCCCTATGGCCCTCAGGGGCCCTACAGGTACCCAGCACCTGGGGAAGGGCCTGTTCCAAGGTATGTTCCGTGTCAAAATCCCTTGTAAAGCTGGTATTGTCTTACTTTATTCACCTGTGAAAAAATGTGAGTAGGCAGAAAACTCACATTTTTATATCTTCAACATATCTCTTACAACGCACTTACTCCCCTCTTTCAGGTTCTCTCGTGGGCAGGGTGGTCCTGACCACAGGCCTCAGGGTGGCCCACGAGATGCAGGTGGAGAGGTGGTGAAGCGACCCTCTATCCTAAAGCAGGATGACCTGAAGGAGCTAGACGAGCTGGACCACGACGGAGATGAGGGCTGGGCAGGTAAAAAAATTACTGATATATTACTAACATGTAAATAGGGGTTGCTTATGAAGAACCTGTTCTGGTTTGGAACACAATCAAAATGTATAAAAAACAGTGGTCTTTGGAAAGTTACAAATGTGTCATAATAAAAGCTCTGGACAACAAATCTAGCATCACAAAGAAAAATATAGAAATGGGATGTTTGTTTTTCAATATATGTGCCATTTTAGATGGAGCAAAAATTGTATTCCTACTTGTGATTAATTTTCAATTAATTCAGAGTACAGCTATAGTGAACTAGCACTGCAGAGGCTTTCATTTTTGTTCTTGTACATGGGAAGGTCCAGCCCTATTAAGTTTTGACATTACAGTATCCCAAAGTATTGCATGTCATGCTGCTAAATGATTAAGGAGGCACCGGTGTGGTAGTGGGTGAGATTGATGCTATCTAACATTGAAGATGTTTCTGCATATCATATTTCCTGCTGATCCAAGCAAAGGTGTTCCAGTCACTACAATCAGCTCAGAGGAGGAAAGTGATTATCAAAGTGAAGGATGATGATGAATAACATGCAAACGCACTGAATGGGTGGTCTGGTACAAACATGGTGCTGATGTTTTCTTTTGGTTTTTGTTTTAACAGGGGCTCATGAGGAGATTGATTACTCTGCCAAGTTGAAGTTTAGTGATGATGAAGGAGAGGAAGAGGGGGAAGAGGAGAGAACCGAGAGCAACAATGACTCGCGGTATGTGACGAAGTACATTCAATGTGTGATAACTTCAAATTATGTTAAAGTTTAGAATATAACTATACTATACACGGTATACTACAATTTGTTTAAAACAACGTGCATGTTTTTCTTCTGTCCTCAGTGAGCAGCAGAGGTCCCCGGATGCCCCCCCTGCAACCTCTCGCTCTCGAGCCTCGGACAGCGGCGGAGACACCCGCCACACCCCTCCCTCTAATGCTGACAATGGCCCCCAACCCCCCTCCAGCAAGCCAGGATGGGCCGAGGAGGGAGGCAGTGGCTGGAACGGCCAGGGAACACCACCCAACTACCAGGTAGAGTGCTAAACAGCAGTAGCAAGGTGTTGCTACAACGGCCATACTCCAGCTGTGGAAAAGTCCAAATTTACAACACAAGACTTATTTGTGGGCAGAGTGCGTGTGTGTGTTTGTCAGTGTAGATAATTGTGGTAGAGCATGGCTAACTGTGTCTGCCTGTATACAGGGGCGCAGGCCTGGATTGGGTGGTCCCCGGGAGCAGCCCTCCCCCCCACCTGGGCCGCTCCTTGGACAAGGGCCATACTCCTTTTACCGCCAGGTAGACATCCGGACAGGGCCTCCATAGACAAATCATTTCTATCATTATCTCATCCACCGCCCACAGGTCTTATGGATAAGTCATCTTTAGTTTTTTAGTTCGCTTTTTGTCTCTTTGAGTTTTATTACAGTCGATGTAATCATTCGTGAAACATTTTTCTCAACAAGATTGCAGTGATGTCATCCAGAGAGCTGAAATCTGCATAATAGAGCATCATATATGTTCTAATTGTTCAGGACCGGCCTCTCAACCAGGGTGCCTCTGTGGGCCCAGGGAAACCTGTCCCCACCCAGCATCCGCCAGCAGCAGGAGGGCCTACTCCTCCTCCCCAGCCAGGCCTGCTGGTCCATGGGGCCCAGGGTGATGATGAGGATGAGACTTGGCGTCAGCGCAGGAAGCAGTCCTCCACCGAGATCTCTGCTGCTGTGGAGAGAGCCCGTCGCCGCCGTGAGGAGGAAGAACGTAGGATGGAGGAGGAGAGACGTGCAGCCTGCGCAGAAAAGCTAAAGAGGCTGGATGAGAAGCAGCAACAGCAGCAGGGCAGCAACATAGGAGGTGGTGGTAGCAGCAGTAAAACTCCCAGCCTTGATGGAAACTCTACAGCTGCCACAGCAGGGAGCCCTAGTCCATCTATTTCAGCCTCATCTCCCAACATCAGCCAGCCCCCATCACCGTGTGTTGACCCTGAGGAGCCTCCAGTTCTGGTTGTCCCACCAGGGACCAGTCCTGGAGTCAGTGACCGACAGCGAGCTAGCAGCAACAGCAGCTATGACTCGGGTGCAGGTGAGTTTCACATATATCAAGTACACATGATCACTAAGGACTGTTATGTAACATTTGGAGCACTAATGTGTGATTGGGTTTTTTTCCACACATGGTGTGTTTGATTGGGCAGTTCAAATAAAGCTTCCACCTCCTGATTATGGCCCTTGATTCAAGCGTGCAACCTACTTTCCTGTTTCAGAAGCCCAACAGTGTCCCCAGCCTGCTGTACCACAGCCACAGCCGCCCACAGTGGATGTACCTTTACCAGGAGAAAATAAGGAAGAGACCATGGGCAGTGCTCACATTCGTGCAGGAAGTGGAGGTGAAAGAGTCGACCCAGTGAAGATTGAGAATATCGGAGGGGGAGCAGGTCGTCAAGCCGGTGGTCCTCCTGGCCAGGGTTACTCAAAATACCAGAAGTCTCTTCCACCTCGATTTCAGAGGCAGCAGCAGGTTAGTATTTGTACTTGTTTGTTGTCTCAAGTACATGTATTGCTTGAATGGTTGTTGCATTCTACAAAGACAAAAATAACTGCCAGATTTTCCAAAGAGAATTATGTTTTTGGCAACCTATACTGGCCTATACAGATATGTGTAATATTTCTGTTCTTAAACATCCTGTGCTATTTTTTCTGTTTCACATTTATTCTTCTTCAGGAGCAGCTCCTAAAGCAGCAGCAGCAGTGGCAGCAGCAACAACAACAGCAGCAGCACAGCCAGGCCTCGCAAAGCCAGCTATCCCCCCAGCCCCAGGCTCCACAGGGTCCTTCACCAGGTTCAACACCCCAACCGGGGCCTGGACCTAAGCAGGGTGGACCACTGTACCAACCCAGCAATATGGTTCGACCCCCACCCCTGCCAATGAATTTTGACCCACGCTGGATGATGATGCCCTACATGGACCCTCGTATGATGCAGGGCCGTCCTACACCCATGGATTACTATTCAGCTGCTGGCATGCACCCGTCAGGTGAGTGGCTGTGACATTATTAGTGAGATCAGTCACTGTCATCATTCATCAAATAATCCAGTACTGCCATGTTTCAGAATATAGTTCAGATGTTGATGTATGCCAGAGCAGCGATATTTATTTTATTTTTTTGATTCTTCACTGCCACAGGACTTATTGGGCGTGAGCGGTCTGATTCTGGAGGATCTGGTTCAGACCCCTTTGACAGGCAGCAACAGCATCCAGGGCACCCTCACCGTGGGACCCCCCCTATGGATCCTAAGCTTGCCTGGGGGCCAGAGGTATTTCCTGGCGGAGGGGAGGGCCGTGGGCTAGCATCCCCCCACAGGCAGAAGCAGGTTTTGGAGGATGATGACGGGGCCAAAGGACCCAGGTATGAATACACAAATCAGTCAGATTTAAGTTGGTATCATAGTTAAGGTGAATAAAATAACTGGAACCTCAACTCAGCATAGTTATGCTGTAAAGTTTTACATTCTCTTGTCTATGTTTTCCTGACTTAAAGTCTTTACTGCAATTTCTATTATATGTACTGAGAATAATGTTTTACATTTTTAAAGGTAGTATTTGTTTTTTGGGCTGTTTAATTGGATTGCTTTCAAATATGTGTTCAACCTCTATATAGTGTATATGCTCCTAATACTCAAATTGCATGGGGAAAAAGTTTGTTTTGTAATACAGGTGAAATTACCCTTTAAATTTAATAGTTTTAGTATTTTGTGTTTTTCTTACAGGAGCGACACTCCTCCACACCGCATGCGAGAAGGTGGATTGGGACCCATCCAGCAACCCAACCCCAGCTCTGGGTCATCCAATCAGACTCCACCTCCAGTTGGCAGTCAAGTTGCGGCCCAGGGAGGCAGCCACCACCCTCATCACTACATGAGTGGGCGGGGCAACTATAGCAACTTCCCTGACCAGGGTGGGAGGATGCTTCCCCACCAGCAGCAGCAACAGCAGAGGGCGGGTGAGAGGGGAAACCAGCCGCATAGTTTCACCCACCAGGATGAAGGGCCTCCCCGAGGATCTCAGCAGGGCCAGATATGGGGTGCCCCACACCCTCACTACGATCGCAATGGTCGAGCCGATCACCCCGCTGTTGAGAACAACTCCCATCTCCACCACCATCACAGCCACCACCCTCAGCAGACTCACTTCCCTCTCCACCCCCATAAGCCAGAGAACAGCCGTGACAGGGTAATTGAGGCCCCTGCTAAGAAGACAGACTCTTCTCCCCCAATCCACCAACCTTCCATCTCATCTTCTTGCTCTTCCTCCTCCTCCTCTTCTGCTAGAGAAGATGGGAATGTCAAAGTTGCCCTGCATCATCACCCAGCCCAGAGAGAAAGTGAAGCTGGTATCGGGCACAGTCTTGGTGAAAGAGGCAACAGTGGCAGTGCCGGCAGTAGCAGTCATGTGAAACAGGAGAAAACCGGCCCGGCGTATGCTCCTCATTCCACCATGACCTCTAGCCCACCTCCCTCTCAACATGGCAGTCATTCTCAGCCTCAGCAGCAGCAGCAGCAGCAGCAGCATCCCCATCCTAAATCAAACCAAAGAGGGGGACGGGAGCACAAGACAGAGACCCAGTGGGGCCCACGGCCTGGCAGCAGCAACACAGGTGGGGGGTCCTCTCATGGTAGAAGGGCCAACAATGCAGGAGGTGGGAACAACTCCCGTGGAGGGGAGGACTCCAACACTCCAATGGACCACAAACCCTCCAACCAGACAGGAGGCAGCAATGCCAACAAGAGGGCTGGCCCCATAAAGAAGCCAGTGCTGAAGGAGATGAAGAGAGACGGAGGGGATGTTGATGGAGGAGAAAAAACAAGCGTAGGCTTTGGGAAAGACAAAGAGCAAGATGGCGGTCAACCCACTTCCATGAAGCAGGATGCCTCCTCCATCTCCCAGAATACATCAGCTCCATCTAAAGAAGAGTCAGCCCAGTCAGCCAAACCCAGGAATGGAGGAAAAGAACGATCCTCAGGAGGAGGTGGGGGAGGGTCTGGTAGAGGGCCCAAAGATGTAGACACCACTTCTTCAGGATTTTCAGGGTCCTCCAGAAGGGACAGGGACCGCTCCTTTGAGAGAGGAGGCAACGCCTCCCACCATCATGGAGTCCCTGCCAAAGGCAGTAGAGCCAGCCGCGGACGAGGGGGTGAGTTCTTCGGCCGTGGTCGTGGTTACCGTGGCACCTATACGGCTGCTGCTGGGCCCAGTGGTGGAAATCGGGGCAGAATGGGCGGCAGGAGCGGCAGAGACTACCGCTCATCTGTTGCCGGTGGCCACCACCATGAGTCCAAGGGCGAGGGGGGAAGTGGCAGGCACGCTCAAGATCGGTCCCAGCATAACCCAGCCAGGGCCAGGAACCGAAGTGAAACCCGCAGTGAGGGATCAGAGTATGAGGAAATCCCCAAGAGAAGGAGGGAGAGGGGTTCAGAGACTGGCAGTGAGAGTGGTGCAAGTGACCTCGGTCACTCAGACAAGGATGACAACCAGAAACCCAACACCAAGAATGGCTCTGATCATGCCAACGCCACTGGCAGCGGCACCATGTCATCTGCACCACCCAGAGGTTCCCAGGCCCGGGTCTTTACCCCTAGGGGTGTGCCCTCTCGGAGGGGCAGGGGTGGAGGTAGTGGAGGAGGAAACATGTACAGGGGCAGTGGAAATGTTGGAGGAGCACCTGGAGGACACCGGGTTGGACCCAACTCCGCCTCTCACGGTGGGTCCTCCAAGTCATCAGCCTCGGGCCGAAAGCAGCAAGGCCCACCACAAACCTCTGGGCCCAAAGACTTGGGCAGAGGAGGAAATGGAGGAGAGAAGAAAGACAAGATAGCTGATGCTAGTCAAGCTCAAACTCAGGGGTCCAATCCCCCTCAGCCATCTTTGCCTGCTGCAACTCCTGCCCCTCTAGGTTCCACTGAAAATGGAGGAGTTGTGACCCAGCAAGCTCCAACCAACCCACCGTCAAACTCTGGAGGGCCAAATGCGCTCCCTCCTCCCACTAGCCGTGGGTTCCCTCCCAGTGGGTTTGAGCGACCACCTAGACGTCGCCGTCACGGGCGTTCCCAGCATCAGCAGGACAAGCCTCCACGCTTCCGGAGGCTGAAGGAGCGAGAGAATGCCGCACGAATCAACGGCGGAGTGGGGGTCATCGGGGGAGGACGGCCCTCCTCTCCCTCCCTGAATTCAGTTCAGGACAGTAACGGAGCCCCCATCTCTGCTCCCATGACAGGCAATGCCCAAAATGCTAACCACAACACCACAGTAACAACCAACAATAACAGTGGTGGCGGGCATCTTAGCAATGCAAACAGCCACCACCATCACCACTACAACCAGGGCAACGCTGGGCCGACCCACCCCCAGCACCACCACAGCCATGGAGCAAAGTCCCCGGACTTCACCAACCAGAACTCCGATCAAGCCAACGAGGAGTGGGAGACCGCCTCTGAGAGCAGCGACTTCACAGAGTTCAGAGACAGGGAAGGAGGAGGAGGGGGAGGCGGCGGCGGAGGAGGAGGAGGAGGAGGAGGGGGAGGCGGCGGCAAGTCATATTCTTCTCACCATCCACACCACCTGGGAAGGGGAGGAGGTGGCGGCGGAGGTGTGGTCGAGCGTGATATGGCGGGAAAAGAGCCCTCAGCCAATAAAAGAAGCTTCTCAAGCCAGCGACCTGGCATGGAGCGACAGAACCGCAGGGTCAACGCTGGAGGAGGTGGAGGCGGAGGGGGAGGAAGAGGCCCACGAGGCCCGCCTGGTGGTGGCTCCGGCGGACCTGGCAACGGAGGTGGCAACCGCGGGGAGAAGCGTGGCAACTGGCCCTCCCCGAAAAATAGGAAGTGATGGAATAATTCAAAACATTTAAGATGAAACCCCACCGACATTAAAACCACCCTCTTACATCTTAATCCCTTTTTGATAATTATTTCATGGCTTATCTGTTGGCATCCCTAAACATATTAGTGTATTGTACAGTATATGGAGATGGTATTCACATTCACTTTAAGCCCCCCCCCCACGGTCACCTCTTTCCCTTTGCATCAATCTACTATCTACCGTCCGTTATTGTAAATTTCTCCGTTTGTTCCGTCTTGCTCTCCGTTCAGTTGTGCCCCTCCCTCCCTCCCTCCCTCCCTCTCTTTAACCTCCCCTCAAGAATCTCACCCCAGTTGGATTTGACAAGCATGTGGTTCTGCAATGGAGGTGCACGTGGTTTTGACAGAAGACATTCACACAGAGCTCCACACACACTCGCATATACAAGCACAAATATGACATCTTTACAAATACATGGAACACATGCAGTCGTGTGGGTGCAAAAATGAAAATGTGGGATTAAATTGGCAAAAATGTTTGGATTGGGCTAATTTTTATATTTATGTACCTGTGTATATTTCTACCACACTTTGGCCTTGGGTGGTATTCAGTAGTGCAGTTCTGCATTACTTCCCTCGCAAAGGGAAAGAGTGCAGCTTCATCTTTTAATGAGAACAATGTAACATAAGATGTTTTGTTTCTCTGTGTCTTTTTTTTTTGTTTTCGCTGCGTGTCAGTTAAGTTTCAGCCTCTGGGAATTGTTAGGGGTGTGTGTTTTTTCTTCTAAAAAGCAGGTCATTAAAATACCTTTTTACTAAATTCCCCAATTCCTCCTTACGCTGACTTTTTGGTCTCCTGCAAAGTATGTCTCTGATTACTGTGATTCAGACCCATTGAAGTACTGCTGCTCAGTGCTCACCTACACTTGCATTGATTTGTCTTTAATATCAATGTTTCTGCTGCTTGTTCAGATAGATGGTGTGATGATTTTTTTTTCTCCCCCAGTTAGTTGACCTGCTCTGACATTTCATTAGCTATTGGTTGGTCCTTTTTTTTTATTATTATTTTTTAGGAAAGGCTTTTTCAGCCTCATCATAGTATCTTCTTCACCTGCAAAAATCTAAATCAAAGTTTCCCCTGGCTGGACAATAGTTTTATTCTCTCATTCTTGAATTTTGTTTACCCTCTGAAGACTGTATTGATAGCTTGATGGCTTTATTTTAACAACCATCATTTCCTCAGTGACTTCCATTTTATGGAAGGAAAATGTAGGTCATGATGGAATAAAGAAAAACATGTTTCATAAAATTGTTTATGCTTCAATAGGTAATTGAATATGTTCTAATAAGCACTCCTTGTAGTATAACAAAAGTCCATGGTTGCTGTTTTTTTTTCTTGTTTTTTTCTTTTCTTTCTCTTCTTTGTGTTTGTTTTTGGGCAAGTTACTTGTGACACAACAGGACAGGTACTCTGTCTGGGCCCAGAGTACAGGCTGAGTATTGTACTATCATCCCCCCCCCTTCTGTGCTCTTGTGGAGACTCCTCACACCAAGAAGGACTACTACCAAAAGCTCCTTGTCTGAGGAAGTATTTTTCAAAGTGTGTGTTATGGGGATGGCTGTTTCAGTACGTGGTGGCAACCAGTAGCCCACACTAATTGAATTCAGGACAATGCTGAAAGGGTGACAGTCGGGTCCCCTTCTACAGTTCGCACGGTTTCCAAGATTTCACTCGTAAAACAAATAATGGCGACCTGGAGCGTTGAGGAAATATTACACTTGTAAACATAGTTTGTATCATACATAAAAGACATAAAATGGCACACAGCTTGAAAAATGACCGGAGACAACATCCAGTGTGAACTAAATCGATTTTACATCTGCATCAATTCTGTCACTGCTGTAAGTTGGGGTTTGTTTGTTTACTGACAACAGTTTGAAGGTCGTCTCTGGGATGTTACGAGTTGGGCATTTGATGATTTGTGTATGTGCGTGCGTGCTTGTGTGTATGTGTGTGGCATGTGCGCGTTTCCTGGTGTCTGTGTAATAACTCGGGAAGGGGTGGGGACCAGAGGGTTAACATGAATGGCAAGCACTTTCTGCCTTGTTTGCCCACACTTGATTTAACCGATATTATTAAGACAATTCTACTGTTTCTTAAATACATCCACATATATACATCCAGCTGTGTGTATATGTTGTTCATCCAAATGAAGAACATACAGTGGAAAACTTCACCAGGTTATTTTTTTGTGTAATTTAAGCATACATTCTTCAGCAGGCAAGTGAAGTTGGACATATTTTATTTTTCACTGACTTCTTCTAAGCATGTACACACACCCATGGGTGCAGCTTGCCTTGCCTGATACTGGTTTATACATTGATAGCTGTACACTTAACACTGGCTCAAAGAGTCCTTCATCCCTCCTTAACTCTTAATGTTGATGTGCGCATTATTTTATGTACCCATGTTTAAAGAAAACAATAGTGTATTCCAGAAGAAAAAAATACTCAAAGATTGTACTGTGTCCAGCATTACCAAGGTACCTGGAGTGGTTCAAACTGTTTTTAGCATTTATGGTTTTAGTAATGGAACCATAATATACACACATGTATGTATATTGGTATGTATCTAAGTTTTGTCTACCCCAACTTACATTCCCACAAACAAATGTTGCCATTTTTAGTTCAAGGGAGCAATGTACAAGCAGAGAAGTGTCTTATTATAATAAAGTTATACAGAGAAGGCAAAATTAAATAAACTACTTTTGATTTAATGGAAACTGTAATTGCATGTCTCATTCTTCTTATATATGATAAGTGGAACATTCAGTTTCAGGGCACATGTTTCGACAGGGCATAGCAGGAAAATCAGGTTTAATTAATGACAATGGCGGTTTAATGAAATGTAGGTGTGACGCACCTAAATGGAATGCGGCCTTTATTATTACTTAATCGGTGAACAAAACGTTCTTCATGAAAGGAACATACTTTGTCCCAACATTAATTTAAATACAATCCTGCGGACACAGTCATCATTACTTATTATAATGTAAGATTACCACACCACATCAGAAATATTACAAAGTCAACATTTAGTAAAAAGCTAGAAGATGTGGCGAATATAAAGTATGTTTTACATAGTAATATATAGTTTTAGGTATGTTATCTTCACAAAGAAAAGAGATGTATTATCTTCATGAAGTGCTTGTAATATAGTGAAGAGGAACCAAAACTTGTAAATTTTTGGTTTACTATGGTTGAAGAAGTGAAATGAAATCATGATCACAGCCACAAACTAGAGAGCGAGGGCATCCAGAGGAAACACTGATTCCTTTCCATATTTTAGTTCTACAAAAACTGTAGGTTAGGCTGAGATTGAAAGGAAGTTTAAGTTCCCCCCATGTTGAAGCTAATTCTGGCACTGCTGGGTAAAGGATAGAACATCAGGTGCTAAACCAGGGGTCTCAAACTCAAAAATATACAATCTGGCCCACAAGATTATTATTATTTTTAATATTTTTTTCTAGTTGCTCCATATCAGTTCAAACTACCCCTTCATATGCAATTAAAATAAAAAATACAATTCTATTTTAAAGGACCAGTATGTAGCGGTGTAGTTGCAAATTGCACAAAAACATATATTCCTATATTGAGGTGATTATACACTAATGAAAACATAGCCATTCATATTATATTCCATTTCTGCCGATAGATCCTCCTAAATGTTACACACTGGACCTTTAAAAAATGTATATTGTTTGGTGCAAAATAGTGGCAAAGGTCAGAGGTGCCTGCAAATGTATGCAAAGGGTTGATAAGAAGAGAGCAGGTTTTGGGCCTTCATTTAATGATCCTATGAGACGACACTACCAGCGGTGACCCCGAGGCCAATTTGAGTTTGAGACACCTGCTGTAAACCTAGGGGGCGCCAGAGATTCACAGGGGGTCGCGAGGCCTTCTTGATTTTCAGGGGAGTAAGAAAACTTGAAAAATGTACACAGTATGCCTATATGTCAGCATTTCGTCTGGTTACGTGAAAAACAACTACATTTAATAACTGTTTAAATATTAGAACATAATTTAAGATCTAAACTTTTAAGACCTGAACACAAGCTATATTCACAGAGCCTTCACTCTCTGATACAAAGCCTTGTCCTGCAGTAGAAAAGTATGCAGATAAAACAGTCAAAGAGCTAACCGAACAATGACCAAGCGTCAGGGGAAATTAAGTCTAAGTATGTATGATTGTTAAAAGAATCTATTAAAAAAAACATGATATAGACAGAGAATTGTATAAAAAGTTCCTAAAAATATCAGGACGACCCCTCTCTGATCAATATTCACAGGAAATAATCTGCTCAAATTCATCCACCAACTTCCTGCAGTTATTGTGTTTTATTTGGGTTCATTGTGTAGCTCATAAGTTGTTCTGTACTGTTTGTTCTTACGCATTAAGTATAACATGAAATGTCCATAAAATATGTCACTTTACTCCATGATAGAAAAGGGGGGGGATAGAAAACAGTGTTGGGACGTGTAAACATGTAATACCCTAAATAAACAGTGGGTGGCAGCAGTGCATTATGGCCACTGTGCGCTGCCTTCGCCTCACGGGAGGAAGAGGAAGAGGAAGAACGTAACCTACAGGGTGAAGTGGGAGGCGGTGTCCATCTTATTTACACCGGTGAGCTTGCTAAATTTTTCATCTGTCGGATTTTTCAAGAGTGTAAAAGTGCAAACGCCGGGTAAGTTCGCGGAATGACTCGCGTTACGCTATCGGGAGGTGTAAACCCGGAGCCAGGGGGAGCTCCCAAAAGAGCTTATCTTTGTCATGAGGCCCGTTTTCTGACGATGCGCCATATTGAATTTCATTTTTGGGGTCCTAGCCGCTAGCGGGGTTAGCATGGCGAGCTAACGTTGGCTACATGGACAGTTTGTCGTTGCGTGTGGCCGCACCGCACGTTTAATGTCGGGGTTTATCACTAATAATATAACGTTGTTGACGGATTAAAGAAAAAAAAAAAAACTTGTACTGCAACTGCAAGCTTGGGAAAATAGATTTAGAAGTGGTAGTGATGGCTAGCCAGTTAGCCTAGCCTTTATCAGGCAGTAACTATTGCTTCATAGAGATAGTTTAAGTTACTCTGTTATCATGATGTCACAGTCTCATTTTAGGACAAACGCCAACATTTAATAGTCCATGAGGAATAATTTAAATCCCTTAAAGGTGCGAGCTTGACTCTAGAAGCTGTAAGTGTAGTTAGCGTTAGTGTTATAGTGTGAATCAGTGTTGATGTGATTGATCGATTAATGCATCGAGTATTTTTACCTCTCTCTTTGTAGGTCTTCAGAGATGAGCAGTTCAGAGGAAGTGTCATGGATCTCCTGGTTCTGTGGACTGAGGGGGAATGAGTTTTTCTGTGAGGTGAGTTGTTGTCTCTTCTTAACGTGAATGTATTTACTGTTGCCATCCATGCATCGAAGTCTCGATATTAAGTTCAAATAATTGGCAGAATATTAAATGTGTGCACTGAACACACATAGGGACACTAACCGAGGACTAGGACTGAAAACTATGTACCAGGTCTTGTATGAATATCCTCCAGATTCTTTCATTAAACTTGTTATAGGAAGAATGTGAATGGTAATAAAACAAACTTACTTGGTAGCAGGAGAAAGTCTTAATGGTTTATAAGTTGGAGAAAAAATATCCTCAAGCAACTGTAAAATAACAATTATTAAAGTTAATACAAGCAAGGAAGCAGTCATGTTACATTCTTGAGTTTACATGCTCTGACTTAAAAAAAAAAAGACCTTTCTGTGTCTGAATAAATCATGTTTTTTGTCAACATAGACTTGCTTGACATTGTTTTTCCAAACCTGTGCGTTTGTATTTTCAGCATACTTCCAGTAACCCTCAGCCTCATCATTCTCTAACTACTTGGTCATTAAGAAATAGTTTCATAACTTTTCAAGTTAAGCTTAAAACAGTACTGCCACATGTACATTCAAGGAGTTATTGATCACTGTAATCATTAGTCCAGTTCATACTGGCCCTGAAGAGATTACTCCAGTTTGTGACTATGTTATGTCACATATTGGTATCACATTTAGAAGGGATCTCGTCATGTGTATGTACAGGTGGATTTATTATAGATACTAGTAACTCTTTCTATTTACCTTTTGGCATCGGCTTTATCTGTAATACAAAATGGTTAGTTCTTAACAAATAATCCGTTTTCTCATCTGGTTTCTCCAACTAAAGGTGGATGAAGACTACATCCAGGACAAGTTCAACCTGACAGGACTCAATGAGCAGGTTCCTCACTACCGCCAGGCCCTGGACATGATCCTGGACCTTGAACCAGGTCTGTATAATATGTTCATTAGTTTTTTATTGTACTGGTTGAGGAAGAATATTTACTTTATTAATCCACAATGGGGAAATAAATGTTTTTAACAGCAGCCATTTAGACATGAAATAGTAGAGTAAACACAGGTGTTATCAATGATATTAGTTATGGTTCTGTTCCATTAAGGTCAAACAGAGTCAAGAGACTGTAACTGTGCATGTTGGCTCACTAGAAAGGCTCTGCTACACTAAATTGAACAGACCCCTGATTGCCGTAGTATCACTGGTACACCTGTGATTACCCTACGATTTCATGTCAGAGAGGTCTATTATTTTGTTCACTAAAATGTTTACACTCATGTGGCCAAAATACAATCACACACATTCAGGGTGCCCTGCTAGGGCTTCTGTGCCTTGCTCAAGGGCACCCAAACAGTGCCCAGGAGGTACCTCTTTAGCTACCAGTCAACACTGCATACTGTTCCAAAGCCAAGTCCCTGCTGACTGAACTTTTGCCGCCCCATGGGTAACTGTCTGGAAAGAGAGAGAACTTTCCCAAAACATCAGCAGAAGAATGTTTAAACAGCTTCAGACTGAATTGTGAGACTAAATGTCGATCTTCATTCACCAGCTAACATGTGTAACAGAGATCAAGAGGAAAGAGTAAAGGAGTTGCCGGTGTTTCATTCAGGAGACTTTCATTAGTGATCCTGACTGGAACGTGTGCTGCTCTTTTTAATCTTGTATCATGTGGAGCTCTGTTGCACATGACGTCTAATAATAAATAAAGATGAGAATGAACATTTGATCAGCATTCTCTTGTTCAACCTGCTCAGCTGCTGCACAGGTTGCTTCCCTCCTGTTCAGATGATTACACATACTATGAAATGCAGTACGGTTCCTTTTTTTTATCCCCTGAATCATTGTACATTTTCACAGCATCCATGAAACCATCAGAGTTGATTCAGCAGCGCTTCAGTCTCCCTCAGATCTTTGTTTATTCCCTTTTCAAAGATTTCAAAATGATTTTTTTCTTATATTTAATAAGAGCCCTGTTGTATTGATGATATTCCCTGTCCCTGAAAAATCTGTATGCAACTCTATAAAGACATGTGGACACCAACAATGTTCTCTTTCCTTGTGTGTTCAGATGAGGAGCTGGAGGACAATCCCAACCAGAGTGACCTGATCGAGCAGGCAGCTGAGATGCTGTACGGCCTCATCCACGCACGCTACATCCTCACTAACCGAGGCATCGCACAGATGGTAGGCGCCAGCAAAATCCGCCACTGTCTGCATTAGGAAAGCTGTTTCTCCATCACGTTTTACTTGACAGCGTGAAAAATACTTACATGTCAGTTTAGACACTGCTGCTGACTTTATATATTCAGTAAAAGGGGTGATAATGCTGGTTATGTGACCTGGGTTATTTTCATCATTAATAAAACTGCTGATTATTTTCATGATTTATTTATTTAGTCTATAAAATGATTGACAATTGTGAACATTTTCACTTTTAAGGAGCTGGAAGCAGCAAATTCTTGGTGTTTCTGCTATAAAAGAAAATGAAACGATGTAGAGCTAAAATGATGATAAATTAGTTTAAAATTAACTAAACAGCACCTATTCTGATAATAGATTAGGGCTGCACGATATGGTAAGAACATCATATTGCATTTATTTTAACATGTGATATGATTCGTGTTCAGTGTGGTAATGATAATGTTTGTGTCTTATTACACAACTATTAATCCAGAATATTTTGAGATTTTGTGGAAATATGCTGACTCTTGGCAGGAAAGCAAATACATCCCAAAATGTTGAATTATTCCTTTAAGTGTCTTAAGTTTTTAGTGCTTGTTGGATTGTTACTTTGGTCAAAGTACCAGGATCTCTGTGTCATCAAACATAGGTGGACAAACTAACAGAAACAATGTTGTATTTACATCTTTACAGTATTCATACACTGAACTCACAAAGTTTGAACATTATCAGGGTGCATTTTTCTTGCTCTAAATTTTAAAATGCAGCACAGAAGATGGACTAGCAGTTTTGCTAGTCGTTAAAAGGATGTGTAAATGACCTGAGTTGCAGCCTTTGTAAACTCCCTTTTTAAATGAGCTGTAAAATAAGAACTCTTTGCTACCTATAATTCTTTATTATTGACTCTTTATCTCTTGATTTATAACTTGCAGTTGGAGAAGTATCAACAGGGAGATTTTGGTTACTGCCCCCGGGTCTATTGTGAGAATCAGCCTATGCTTCCTATCGGTAAGTAAAAAGATTAAATGCATCGTATATATGTTTTACACAAGTGTTTTAGCACAAGACAGGATTAATGCAGACTTTTGGAGCCATCAAATCTGTCTTCCTGTGTCAGACTTCGAAATCCACTCCAAACCATTTGTTTCTATTCATCAATAGTCTTGGTTATAGGAAATGTAATTGAGTTCATAGCTAAGGCAGTTTCTTCCTTCTTCTGCTCCTCCTCCTGTTCTTCCACAGGTCTGTCAGACATCCCAGGAGAGGCCATGGTGAAGCTGTACTGTCCTAAATGTATGGATGTCTACACACCCAAGTCCTCCAGGCACCACCACACAGATGGAGCCTATTTTGGTACTGGCTTCCCCCACATGCTCTTCATGGTTCACCCCGAGTACAGGCCCAAGAGGCCCGCCAACCAGTTTGTCCCAAGGTTAGTACGACAGGTTGAACTCAAGGTGTGCTCCCATAGACTATCACTGTGATGCACTGTTAGCAGTAATCTATTTACACGGGTTGCTGTAATAAGGGTGGAGAGGGAAATTATATAATTGCGTATGATTGCAGTCATAGTTAATCAAACTATCAAGCAGAAGTAAGTACAAATATTTTCACTGCTTCACTGCACTTAAGTTGTTTTTTTCAGGTATTTGTACATCTTTATACTTTTACCCGCTACATTTTACACAGATATCTGTACTTTTTACTTTATATATTTTCAGAACAGGCTCATTACTTTAATTTTAATTAGTGCTGTCAGTTAAACGCGTAATTAACAGCGTTAACGCAAACCCATATTAACGGCGTCAATCTTTTTATCGCGAGATTAACATTCTGTTTGGCCTAGCACACTTTGTAGTTTTTTTCACATGCTGTTGCAACAACTAGTAATGTTAGAAAAACTATAACACCACACCGGATCTAGCTAGACAAGAAACAAAACAACAGACACACACACTTGTATCGGAGTAGTAGACGTTACGTTTTGAGTGGATGGCGAGCGCGAGACGCCGAAATGGATGCCAACAATATTCTGAATGGAAAGTTTACTTTTAAAAAGTTGCCAAATGGTTCCATTGACAAGACCAAAGTGATCTGGGTGTTTTGTCGTTGTGAACTGAGCTATCATCGCAGCACGTCCAGTCTGAAATACCACTTGATGGCCAAACACACAGCTGATGCCAATTCTCCGCCCCCTCGTCAATTGAACACTACAGTATATGCCAATGTTGTTTTCAATAAGAACATTTGCACAAAGCAAGCCGATCCACTTTTCCATGTTGATGAGAGCATTAAAATGAGAAAAAATAATCGGACAAAAAGAAATCAAGGGACATTTAGAATAGATAAAAATGTGTGATTAATTGCGATTAAATATTTTAATCGTTTGACAGCACTAGTTTTAATGCATTTGAGAGGAATTCACGCCTTTCCAACATCAAGAACTGTGAGTATCACACATGTCAGACGTAACAAGACATAACAGAAGAGAGAGAGACTCAACTGCATTTGAAGTTTCAGCTTTGTGCAGAAACAGCCGGTAAAAATTTCCTTCAGAGAAGCCAAGAGAGTACTTTTTACTTTTATACTTTGAGTAAAGAAATTAAAAAGTATTTGTACTTCTGAAGTTCCTTTGAGTAAAGACTGTGCACTTTTGCCACCTCTGCTATCAAGTGTGACGTGGTTGCTTCACATTCATTTTGAATACATATTCTGATGTACTGCACTGTGTCTACCACTCTCACCATGAAAGAAACTTTGGAAGCCTGAATTGTCGATTGATTAATTGATTATTGTTTCAGGTCTGGGGAGTTTGCAATACTTGATTCCCACATTAATTTGACTAAATTTGGTAAATCTACAGTGTTTTTGTTACCAGGGATTACATACTCAAGAACCGATGCAGTAAAAATGACTATGAGCGCTTAATGGGATACAACAATAGAGTGATGACATTTTTATCCAGAAGGTTAAAGTTCAAATTCACTGACACATAATGTCCAGGAAAATCTTTTTTTGGCCATTATTCAGTTGCGGTAACTCAGGAATAGAGTCATTGTGGCCTAAAAATAGGGTTTTAGCCATAATCTAAGAATGAATTAGACAACTTCAGATTTCTCACACACGTTGACTGGGACGACACAATGAGTAAACAATAACTAGCACAGTGCGGGCTTTCATCTTTCCATCTCATCCTCTCACCTCTTGCCTCATTCTCAATTATGAAGCGTCATCGGAATCATGTGAGTGCAAACAACGTATGTGAGTTACACCCGCAGCTCATAGAGAGGCTTCGCATCGGAAAAATACCAAGAGAAAACAGAAAAAAAGAAGAGAAAAAAAGCTCTACTTCTAGTATAGATATACTCCTATAAGAATCCATCTTTACATAGTAATCAAGTACATTATTAGCCAATACATCTATCATAATCCTTAAATAATCAGTTCAAAAATGTAGATTCACTGAAATCATATTTACCATAAATATAGTGATATCTTCCATTTAGCCAAAAATACTTGTAAGTCATCAATACATATATTATGAGTCTGGACAGACATGGATATAAACTTCTACTGGACTGGTTGGCCGAGATTTTCATCCACAGGGCGCAAATTCTACTTTTTTCTCACATCCGTGTCCTTTTCCTGCATCCCATATCGTTCTTTTGTGATGTCTGTTTACAGAAAATGTCTCCATGAGTAGACAGTACAAACAGCTTAAACTTATACATCCCTGTTCTCTCCCTAAAAGCAAATACATCACTGATCACAAATGTAAACAATCCCATCAATTTCAGTGTGCTTGTCTTTACTGTGTAATAATATATCAATATTTGTATTGTATTGGCCAGAAGAAATGCTCACGCAACTTTCTTCTTTCTCCAGGCTGTACGGCTTCAAGATCCACCCCATGGCCTACCAGCTGCAGCTGCAAGCAGCCTCCAGCTTCAAGAGCCCCGTCAAGGCCATCCGCTAGAGCGTCGAGGAGGAGGAGGAGGAGGAGGAGGAGGAGGAGGATTCGCAGACAGAAGACAGGAAAGAATTATCATCAGAAGGGGGGGGGTCACCTGCATTCTAGAAAGCTTTTCAGATGCCCCCTCCCCACCCTGAAGACTGTATTATTTTGGTTTAGTTTAGGGCAAATGAAAAAGTGTAAAGATTTTTGAGTGTGAGCGAGACAGAAAAACGCACAGCCATGATCTTAATCACACACACACACACACGCACGCACTCATACACTCATACATTAAAAAATGAATAAATAAATGCATCCACACACTTGGGATTCCATGCACGTACGTTACCAAACTCATCAGTGCCAAAAAAACAGGAGGTGAGGTAAGAGGAAGGAGTCCATGCTGCTTATGCTGTTCACTCACATTACGAGCACACTGATGAGAGAATGATATGACGGGTGGGTGACGGTACAGGGAACTTCTCCCTGTAGAGAGGGTTTTATGTCCAGGGACGGAAAGCTGAAAGTACAATGACTGGGTCAGTTTCCAACTCTGGCTCTGTGTTTGTTCTGTATTTGGCTCAGTTTGGTAAAGGGTGGTGGTAAACCCTCTCCGTCATTGGAACCTCTCCCTATTAGCCCCCCCCAATGCATGTACACTCAGGCTGGCATTCGCAGAGACAGTTTGGACGGTGGCGACGGGTGTTTTTCTGCATCACTCGTTTTGTTTCTTACATTTGCTTACTGGTTTGTCTGATGTTTCGATGTGTTGTTACACAAAGCATTCTGTAGAATTTGCCTTAAGATTCAGAAGAAGAAAAAGATTCAGAAGAAGAAAAACACCCAGATTGTTGTTTTTTTTTCCCTTGAAGAGGCACAAGCAAAATTAGTTGATTTTCTTCTTTGTGCTGTTAGAAGACGTAAAGTAGAAATAGATTAAACTAACATGAATTTCTGAATCGTTCAGACAATTGTAATCAGCCTGTGTCATTTGTCCAGCTGTCTGTGCGTGTGTCAAACAAATGTCTGTATTGGTACCTAAGTGAAAATATAACCTGTGCTACATTTTTTTGCGAGACGTGTGCCCCTCTGCTGTAGCGGGCTTAGCTGAGTTTGTATTGTCACCGCCCTTCCCTCGTAGCTCCATCTCCTTTTTTATAAATAGGTTGACATCTTGGGAAATACGCTTTGCTTTCTGGCAGAGAGTAGATGAGAGGATTGATACGGCTATATGGTAATATGAAGCTACCACGAGCAACCAGTTAGCTTCACTTAACGTAAAGATCGCCTGGCTCTGTCCGAAAGGTTGCAAAATCTTCCTACCAGCACCTCTAAAGCTCACTAATCACCACAATATATCTCCTCAGTTAATTCCTATAAAGTGTGAGCATAAAATCAATAAATTGCCTTTTTTTTTTATAGGGGTTATCCGCTGGTTAGCAGTTGGTAGGCAACCAGTGTTAACTCATGGAAGTTACTGGTCCTCACCAAGACCGGCACATAACCACCTGTAACACCACTATGTCAAGTTTTAGCTCCTACCAGCAGTTCTAAACCTCACTAATTAACACATATCTCATTTCTGTACAAGTCTTTTTGTAATTTATAAAAGCCTTTTTTTTTTTTTTTTTTTTTTTGCCATTTTACAGGGGCTGTGTGCTAGTTAGCAGTTGCTAGGCAACCAGTATTGACTCCAGGAAGTTACCAGTCCCAACCAAGAAGTAGTCCGGCACAAACGTACCCCTGAGAAAATGGCAAATTGATGTTTTTAGGCTTTTTGTGCGTATTAAACAAACAAGAAATGCGTTCGTTAGTGAGCAGTGGAGATGTTGGTCAGGCTGTCTCCCTCCCTGGTTCCAGTTAAGCTAACCGTCTGCTGGTAGTGGCTTAATATTTGAGAGTGGTGTCACTCTTAATATTGCCCTAAATATCAAACTATTCCTGTAAAGATCAAGGAGGAGACTCAGAGAAAGAGGAATTTAGACAATCTGAATCCTTCAGCTCACTCCACCATTGCACTGATCCTACTGGGGTGTCTCCACAGCACAGTCTCATTATTTATGTTCAGGTTTAGAGACAGTCAGACCACCAGCCGCTTTTTCTTTCTTTTTTTTGGTTTGTTTTTGAAACAGCGGGGCAGACACTCAGTTGCCCCTCCCTTCACTCTCCACTTTATTTTTGTGTGACTGGAACAGATTGTTTTTTTGGATTTCATGATACAAGAGAAGCGGTATTTATGTGTCCAGATTTTAACAAATATTTGTCTGTGTTGTTGTCTTTCTGCTACTGTGGAAGGGTGAGCAGGATTCAGAATTCTCAATAAACTTCTATTTTCTTTTCATACTCTTTTGTGCTTTGTTTTCTTTAAGACAGCAGTTCTGCCTCCCTGCCACAGAGTGTCAGCGGAGAGCTTTGAAAAGCTTTATATTTCCACATTTCAATACTTTGGAGGCACTGCTTGTTGCAGTTGAGATATAAATCTGAAATAAGAAAATATAATGTAGCACAGAAGAAGTGTGAGGCTGTATCTGCATTCTTAGTCTATATGTTTGTTTATGAGCTTTGTAGGAAGATTTCCTGTGGTGACCGAGGGAGAATGATGGTTGTCTGGCTTCTGGGTGTGGTTGCAGTGGCATTTCACATGACTCTGAGTAACGGCATTGGTGGGGAAACACGCACAAACACACACAAAACAAAGAAACACCATCTAACTTCACTGACCCGATCATAAGATCTCAGTCAGGCTTATGTAATTATTTTTAAATTAGCTCTTGGATGTCATTTGGGCTTTCTTTATGTACATGAAAAAAAGTCAGTGGAGAAAAAAAAAAGAAGCAAAATACAAATTTAATTTTAAAATATCCAGTTTAAGCCATAGATACACAAACAGCAAGAAAACACTATAGTAGGGCTTTTTTACATATGACTCATGAACTGTTTTTCCCCTCTGCACAGCAGCTGTCTTTGGCAAAATGACTGGCAGGGCTGAGTTGTCTTTATGTGGCTGTACCCTGTCAGTTTTTCCAGAGGGAGAGGAGGAGGAGGTTCCTTCATGACTCAGGATAACCTCAAACCACAGCTCGGGACCTGCCCTTCTTCTTCTCCACCTCCTCCCCGTATTTCAGCAACTCCTTTCAACTTAGTGCAGAGGAATCCCTGGTTTTTGTAGTCGTGTCTATTAGGACTTTGTGGGAGAGCAGACTGTCTTCCTCTAATGGCCTGCTGAATAATGAGAGGTGTCTGTGTGTTGGGGGCTGGAAACAAAAGCCCTTACTGAGACTGCAGAGAAATAATCATACTTTATCCTGTGAAATGTTCTGTCTCTGCTTTGCCACACCCAGAAGCCATATTGCACCATTTTCCTCTCAGACATTTCTTTTGGGATGCCTCTCTACAGCGGATACAACTATTAAGGAAATATGCCAGCCACAGAGACTGAGACCACACGCAATAAAAATATGTATTGCTGATAGAAAATATGCCTTTTTAGAGGCTCCACTCTCCACATGTGATGCTTCATGTGTGCTGAGGTTGGCAAGAATGTTTTCTGGCAGAGATTTATGAAGCTCTAACTTGACAAGACAAGTTAAAGCTGATAGATAGCAGCCAGTTTGGCTCCTGCGCAGCACAGAAAATGATTCACCCCTCTTTGAAGCAATGTCGATTGAATATGGCTTCTTTTTTTTTTTTCCACCGATCATCAGAAAAAGACCCTTCAATGTAAAAAGTGAACAGATATAAAATACTATACCCCAAAAATATAAATTCCCAAAGTCTGTATTTAGTAGAGGCATCCTTTGGCAGCAGTGAGTCTGTGTGGATAGGTCTCAGTCAGCTTTGCACATCTGGATGCTGCAGTTTTTTCTTTGCTCCAGCTCTGTCAGGTTGCCACAAATTCTTGATTCGAGTGAGATTTGGACTCCGCGACATTAACTATTCTCTTTTTTTCCCTTTTTTTTAAAAACTGTTCTTGTGTAGCTTATACTGAGGCTCATTGTCTTGCCTTCTTCCAACTAGCAGGTTTCTTGCATCTGTGTCAGTTTTTTCAGTATTTTCCCGTCACAAGGCTTCCAGGAGCTCTTGCAGAACATCATCCCCACAGCACGATGCTGCCACCAGAACGCTAACACTGGGGGTGCTACATTTGGATTATGTGCAGTGTTTGGTCAAAAAAAAAAGCTCAATGTTGGTCTTAGACCCCCCATAAAAGGTGACATGGAGTCTCTCACTCTAATGTCAAACTGTAGGCCAGTGATCCTGTGACTTTTTAGCCATGCTAGTAGTGGGACGTCAGTCAACTCGGTCGGTCCACCACTTTGGTCCAGACTGAAATATCTCAACAACCATTAATTTGGATTGTTATGTAATTTAGATATTAATTCATTAATTAAACCTTAATTACCATCGCTGGTAACGCCTGTGTTTACTCTGTTTAATGTCATGCTGCTGTGGAAAAGGTCTGTTCTAACAACTTCCCCTGACTTTTCCTCTAGAATCACCATGTGGTTTGCATGCGGTTCTGATAGAAATATCTCAACAACTAATGGATGGAAAGTCATGAAATTTAGTGCACACATTCACATCCCCCTCGTGATTAATTCTGATAACTCAGGTGACCTCTGAAGAATTTAAAATATTTGTGCAGCACTTTGGTTTATGACAAAATTGGGGCTAAATTAACAGCTGTACTTTGTGTTTAGTGCTAATTGGCAAATGTTAGAATGCTAACACGCTAAACTAAGATAGTAAATAAATTATATTATATACATAAAAAACATTAAACCTGCTTTACATCAGCATTTTACCATTGTCATTGTGAGCATGTTAGCATGCTGACATGAGGTTTTGCCACAATACTGACCCCCCAAAACCTGCATCTTCCAGACACAGGTGCTCTTATACAACTGAACTTCTTTGACTACGCACAGGTGATCTCCATTTAACTAATGACATGACTCCTGAATGCAGTAGACTGGTTGCACAGAAATAACAGTGACATTGAAAACCGCATGCACAAATAGCACAATAAGACCTCCACTAAGTGGAATGCAGGACTCGTTAATACACCTGTGAGTTTCCTGCTATGACATGCCAAAATGTCGGCTGTGCAACCAGTCTATAGTTAATATTTAAAGGTCCCTGCTTTTGTTCCTTCTCGTCTACTTTCCCACAGTTTAGATTTTCCTATTGACTCTGCTGTTGCTGCTGTGACTGATGGAACAAGGATTAGTTTCTGGCCGGCTTCTCCCACACTCCCTCTTTCCAAGTGACGGGTTGAGAAACTTGAAGGATCTGTGGGCAAAACAATAGAGGCTTTTTCACCGGGCCCAAGCAGCCTCCCTCACAGCAAAGTATTTCAAAACCATGACTCTGAAGATGTCATTTCATAACTGCGTCCCCCCCGCCCCCCCCATCCAGCAGGAAAACAAACCATGCCCCCTCTTTAAAGTCACGTGCAGAGATGATCATTTAACGGCTCACATAGAGTCAGCAAACAGGCCCCCCACCCTGAAAACATCTGTCATTTTGTGACTGATGTGGACAAACAATCATCTTAGTAATTGTACTTTCATGACTCTATACTTGTCACCCATTCACTAAATGCTTGTGTCGCCTCCCCAAACATGTTCGCAAACACTTGGAGACAAACACGCAGGAAAAAATGCTTGGGGGACAAGACCAGACTTGGTTATGTAAATAATTTCGTGTCATCCAAAGTCTCCTCTTGAAATAAAGTCAAGAGAGGAGGTTTGATTGCTGTGTCATTTATCAAGTACAGAATGGGAGGGACAGTTGTGAAGAAACCTCCCTTCCTCTATCAGCACTGTTTTAATGTTTGATTCTTCTGGTAATCAATAGTAACACATCAGTTGTTATCTGGAAGACATGCAGTATTTGCATTAGAGACAAAATCTATGTCTGTGTTCTAAAGGTTAAAAGTACAAGATAAAAACATGTCACTGTTAACCCTTTTCTAACTAGAGCCAAAACCATGTTTAATTTAAACTTGTTTTTTTCATATTTTACCTTTCAGATTCCTCAACTAGGAGACCTGGTTTTACTGGAAAAATATACACAGTTAAATCCACTGTAACAGGATCCCACAGTTAGCATGACACAGAAGTTAAACAAGCACACACACGCATGTAAATTAATTCTGGACCCTCTTTTACAGCCGAAAGCAGAACTAAAGTTCATACTTCACCTTTATGGAAATATATGTGTGTGTGTGTGTGTAATTTAAATATCACGCAGTGTGGGAACCTTGCAAAAGCAGTCATTTTTTCTCTTTATGTAACATGATTTTATTAACATGACTTTTATTTTGACGTCTTTTCCTGCAACTACAAATCTCTTCTTTACATTCAGGAACTTGAATTTCTCAGTTTTTATTCATAGGATTACAGAACATAATTTCACAGGCTCTCACCAACCTTTATTTGAGCCCATATTATTCTTGTAGCACATATATTATAAGGTGGGAGTTAATTGTTCTTTTGCATGTTGGGTAGAAAACAAAGAATCCTGAAAAGTACTGAAACATTGTTAATAAAGTGAGTACAGTGATGGACCTTTACTCACTCTATTAACATTTCAGTCCTCAGACTTTCATCAGGCGAAGTTCATATAAACATCTTCCATATACAAGCTATTGGCACTTTCCGGTATGCTTACAAAAAAAAGGTGTTCAAATACACAGTAAATGCACCAATATAAGCGTAGGTTCACGTCAAAATAAAGGCCCTCTAGTGAGACTAAATACGAATTTTCTCTACAAATCAGTCCCATATTACACAGTGTGATACAGTCTTGGAATAAAGGCCTAAAATCATATATGAACAAGAGAAATGTATCTTAAAGGACCAGCGTGTAGGATTTAGGACCACTTACTGAAACTAAGGTAACTAAGTTTACTAAGGTAACAAAAACACAACAATTCCTAAATTCAGGTGATTAAACACTAATGAAAACATAGATCCTCCTAAATGTTACACACTGGACCTTTTTAAATATTGCTTTGATACAATCTCCACAGATAATTGAGCATCATTAGTTAGACACAGATAATATTTATTGGCTGCATTATACTGTTCAGGTATGTGTCATGTGTTGTTTTGTATGGTGGAATCAGATACACGCACTGCCTGAAGAATTTGATCTGAGAGCTGAAACAAAGCCAGCACTGTTACTTCCTTGTTTCATTATAAGTCATACGTACTTGTTTGTCAGGTGAAGTTAAATCATTCAGATGTTTACACAAGAGTAGACATTTATGTGTAGCAATCGAGCCGTTATGATTATATTCTGCAACCATCAATCCCGAATTTAGCTCTTTTTATATCAAGTATATATTGCAGTTTTCTTTAAATTGTGCTTTTTTTCTGTTCTTCTTTTTTAAACTTTCCTTTAAATAACGGACTCAGAGTCTCAAACAATAATAAATGGAGTGAACTGGAACTGAAGAAAGGACTCAATAATGACATGTTTATTCATAAAACAAGAGAAATATGAAGAAAAAAAAAGTGTGTCATATCTGAAATGACCTTTTGGATGTCCATCCAGTGTGTACTTATCCTTTTTGAGGAAGCATGTTTCTATGCACGGTGAACGGCAGCACCAACATAACAGCCTTAATACTTTTTTTTTTTTAAATATACAGTAAGTGCCGAGAAGAGGTGTGGTTCACAGGAACACTGTCAAAACCCACTATGAAATAGGCATGGATTGAAGACCTATGCATAGAAACATGCTTCCTGCCGCACTGTATGTGAAGACCACCCTGTTGAAGTCTGTCCAGCAGCTCTGTAGGAGACAAACAGCACATCCTCTACAGCAGGGCTGCCCAAGGTGGGGCTTGCGGGCCAAAGTGGGGCCTGTCATAAGGTTTGATTGGGCCTGCCAGATTAGAAATTTTTTTTTTTAAATAATATATATAATATAATAATATATTAAAGTTAATATATTAATATATATATAATATTATGTTTTAAAAGCATTTTAGTTTTTGTGAGGTGAAATTTGATTCTTTAAAAATGTAGGCTTTCCTAATTATTAATTATTTTTCATAATCTCACAGGACACTTTACACAAGTCAATCAATTAAGGGATCTTAACAATACAAAAGGTTTTGGCGTTCCGCACACCATTACGTTTTTAGCTTTGGCCCTCCACAGGGAATAAGTGTGGGCACCTCTGCTCTATAGAATAATAGATAACTCATGTTAGTGTGTGTTGAAACACAGCTTCAGGTCATGTTAGACTGTTAACTGAATCACCTAGAGCTAAAGGTGTGGTGGGTAACTGCACCAGATAGTAATTATTTGGTCTGTTACGTCAATTTAGTTTCTCATTTCTAAAACAAAAGGACACTTCTAATCCATATTTATTTCTCACTTAGAAGTTCTTTGTCCATTAATGAACTTCCTGAATCTGGTGTACTGATTGGTTTAGTTCACACTGATGTAATTTGAGATTCAGGAATTTGATATTATGTTGCATGTTTTGCATTTCGACCAGGATGAAGAGAGGTGTTTTTGCATGTATATTTTGTGCCCAAACCCATTCAAAGTAGGTGGACAGTGTTTCTTTTATTAGGAAATAAAACCACACTACCATCACTATGTGGTTGCTGCTTTTTACTTTCCCCAAGATATCTTTTTCTATGTGTGTAGCATGAGAGAACTGCAAACTTTTTATTTGGTTTTTTGGTTGTATAATGATAAATACATTTTCTTGATTTATTATTTAAAATTGAATATTAATGTTCAAACCATAAAGAAAAGCACACTTCTTAAATATCTTTGTTTAATGATTTATTTGATCTAGGAGATAACATACATAAAGGAGCCTTTAATCTACTTGTTTATCTTAAGGGACTCATGTTCAACAGCAGGGTTGGTATGCAAGCATTACTAGTTCTTATCAGATTTATAAAGTCACATTCAAGTCTCACAGAAACACAAAACAAAGCTGTGTATTACTTGAGTAGCATGGACACTACTTTGGATTTAAATCAGAAGTTCATACATGTTTGGTGGGTAAAATCTTACATATAATAAGCTGTGGCAAAAAGTGGAAATAAAAAGTTGAAGTATTGGTAGCATAAAATGGAAATAAAATGATAAAACCCCCTATAAATGTCACCTATAACTTTCCACCACTGATTTTAAGTGGCTTAAAAGGTAATAAAACAACATCTAAAGTCACTTTTGAGCCCCCAATAAATCCATACAGCAATCACCAGTTTCCTAAATGCCCACAATTTACCTTTTCTGCTGGGATACAACCCCACCCTCTTACCTGTGGATCACACAGGTGGGAGAGCTTTAAAACACAAACTGGGTGGACGTCCCTGAAGGCGTCCTCTGATTGGATAACGGTGACGTTTGGATGGGAGGTGGAAGATTATAAATGGAGCGATGTCCGCAGGCAGGAAAAAAAAAGCAGTTTGATCCCATTTATAACGGACTGAGTCCTCACAAAGCGGGCAGCTTCTCCATAAAGTCGAGTTTTGTAAGCTCATTCCTCTCCTTCCAAGATGAACAGAATTATTCTCCAGCTTTTTGCAGTCGGATTCTGCTTTGCAATCGGTGAGAAACTCCTCTAAATAATGATTTATTTGTTTAAAATGCTGTAAAGATTTCTCCTAATTTTAAAGCGGATTACTTGTTACTGGCCTCTAAAACATAAGTGGTGTAATATCTGACTCATGTTTAGAAATGAATGTTTAAAATGTGTTCCTCACTAAATCTAAGTTTTTCTAAATGGAGTTTGGCGTGTCTGTGTTTTCTTGAGGCTTAAAAATGTCCTAGAAATATCATAGTAGCGTTGCTGTGTTCAGGTTGACATTTCCTTCTTGCAGGTTTTAGATGATTAGATTGTGTTACATTTCTACATTTTGCTTCTTCATGGAGGTTTTTTTAAAAAATATATATTTTCCATGATCTAATTTGGAAAATTAGAGAAAAAGGACTCAACTTTGTTCCCTCGAGTACAAACTGTAATATTGTACTTTGTTTGGGTGGGATTTGGTTAGTGTTGTGTATTTTCAGGTTCACAGTGTGTGCTCAGTGTTGAAGTGTCCAGAGCTTGGGGCTGTTTGACTGGGTGTGTTCACACTTCAGCACAGTTGTGATAATTTAGGCACCAGTCAAAAAAAAAAAAAAAATAAATTCAGATTACTTTTCGATTAACTAGCCCATAGTCCTGTGTTTTGGTTACTGGATAAAACTCATTTGACTGTTTCAGATAATTACTCTATCCAAACATCTAGTATGTCCTTCATTTTCATCTGAATGAGCTCATTTACTTATCCCAAAGGACTCAGGACAGATGAAATAGTTAGCTTAAAGTAAGCAAATACAAAAAATGCAGAAGTTGCAAACATAATAGACAAATAGTTGAAATAGTTGAATTAACAGTTGAAATAGTTTGCTAACGTTAAAAGTAACTAATTAACAGTCGAAATAGTTAGCTAAAAGTAAGCGAATACAAAAATGCGGACAAAGTAAACGTAATACACAAATAGTTGAAATGGTTAGCTAAAAGTAATGAATAAACAGTTGAAGGACTCAGCTAATGGATGAATAGTTGGCTAACGTTGGGTTAAAAGTATTGAATTAACAGCAGAAATAGTTAGCTAACATAAAGTAACTAAGTAACAGTTGAAATAGTTATGTAAAAGTACGAACAGTTGAAATTGTGCTACTGTTTTTTTATCATTTGATTAATCACTTACTCAGTTTTTAAGCATAAATTTAGACATTATATCAGCTGTGAGAATTTGCTGATTTCTCTACATATTTTTGGATAACACAAGAAATTTGAAGACGCTGTCGTGGGAATTTAAAACTCTCTACTTACTGGAGCAAATGATGTACAGATTATTTGCTAATGACTTCTGGATTGTAAGACTGAACAGAACACAGGATGAGTTGTTACTTCCCACCAGGTGAAACAAAGTAGCTGCAGAGTTTGTGCTGTGGTTATTCGATGTGCACATCCCAGGGCTTTACTCTAAAGCCGTTATTACAGGTTGGGGTGAGGCAGCCTGTTTGTGGTACGAGGCTGTACCTTCTTTTTTGGTTTTTTTTTTTCCAGGCCTTATTAAATGACTGAATCATGTTCCAACCTGCAAGCCCTTTGCATGAGAAATTCCTCACCCTGAAACAGTTGAGGCTTTGCCCAAGGTCTCAAATTCCTCTTCAACAGTGGGTCCACAGACCAAGACGCACCATAAGGACCATTTGTTCCTCTACTATTGTCTTTTGAGGCCATTGTAGTCCGTTTTTGTCTCGGGATCCCCTCTTTACTGTTGTTGCTGGCTCCTGTTTCAAGCCACACCCTAACTAGGGGGAACTGTATTCCTATCCTGGTTTAGCTTTTTATCCTCTCAGGTGACTGCGAGACATTTACTTTAAATAGTTGTTTGTGACACGATTCACAAATGCAGATAATTACATACCGAGATTTCACATCTCCCGTCTGTCTGTCTGTCTGTCTGTCTGTCTGTCTGTCTGTCTGTCTGTCTGTCTACTCTGGGGAAAAGTTGATGATTTCAGATAGCGGTCTGGTTGGTTTTTGAAGTCAACATCTTACAGGCTACTGAGAGAACCAGCTGCCAGAAAAATAGACAAAAATACACACCTCTGTAATCCAGATGTCTGTAAATTTCTTAAGCTGGGAGGAGAAAGTCTAGAGAGGCTGTGGAAGATAAGATATGGACGTCATGTTGTAATGTGTACTCTGCATTTTTGAATTAACCTATTGCGTTTTCTTTTAAAAAAAACAACAAATAATGTAATCATTGTAATAAAAGCATTGGCTGTCTGTGCTTGTTTTAAACCTTTGGTTCCCAACATGTGGTGTTGGGACCCCCACTAGGGGTCGCCAAAGCTTCAGGGAGGGGTCATAAGGCCTTTTTGATTTTAAGGCGTCTTTAGAAAACTAAATGAAAATATACACAGAGTAGGCCTAAATTGTTAAATAGAACATATAACATAGCATCAGGGACAAGAAAGCACTAAATTTGCCCAAAAGATTATAATAAAAAGACAGAACTGTATAAAAAGTTCCCTAAACAGGAAATCATTTTCTTAAAATTCATCCTTTCCGTTACTGCAGTATTTGGGTTCATTGTACAGTTTTGAATATAATATGAAATATCCACAAAATATGTCACTTTGTCAGGAGTCATCAGTTTCCTAAACAATAGAAAAAGGGGGAAAAGTTAGTTCTTCTTCTCAAACATGCTTTTAGTTGTCTTTTTATTAGAAGGGGATAAAAATGATCTCTCTGGCTACTCCTCCCATCCTTTTAAGGATAAGATTTGGATGCCATTATATCCAAATGCAAACCGAGAGTATTTATACAACACAGCAGACCCGCCCGGGTGCATTTATCTTCACCTTTTGAGAGGTTGTACGCTCTGCTTGGCCAGTGTTTGCATGTTTACCCTCCATCAGACTTTTCCATGGACTTGTTTTTCATATTAATCTTACGACATGGCGTCTTAATTTAACTTTCCGTGCACAGTGTTGGGTTTGGTGTTGTAGCACATGAATCACACAGGGAGTTTTATATCGGCTTGTGTTATTCACTGTTTTCTTCCCAGTTCATAGGACCGAAACATGTGACCTTGCTGTGGTAATGTTGACACTAGAGACAACGCACATTTCAACACTCCTATCTAACATAGATGCCCTCGGGTGGAAATCTCGGGTACTGACTTCTCCCAAAGCCCTGATTAGAGGGGGAGATACCTCAAACGGGACACATGCCACCACATCAGATTCCTCTGTAATTGCTTTTCTTGTTTTTCTTTGGTGTTGCATTAGTCTTATACAGAGTCAACCATTGATACATTCTGTTTTTTGTCTCCCTCTTTGTTTTGGGCTCCTTAATAAGCTGATGCACCATGATCTGCAGTGTCAGAGACAGACCAGTAGAGGACAGTATAGGACTGACTCCACACATTGAGAGGGTGATTTAGTAAAGTGCCACGCCTCGGAGCTCAAACAGGTTCCTTGCTTTCCAAATAGATTTATTACAGTTGTATTAATTTGAATTACTTGTGTTATTTATACATATTTAAGCCTGTAAATCCTTTTTGAATTAGTTCAGATACACCCAGCAGTCCTACAAAGCCACAACCCACTTGAACTTATCCAACACAATTTGATTTTAGGTACATTTTCCACTCTCATTCCCCTCTGCTTGTTCAGGTATTATGTATTGTCGGTTTTTTATTAATAAGTAAAATAGTAAACCTAAAAAAGCAGAATATGAAAAGTAGAACTGTAGATGAACTCTTTTAAACTTGAGTTTCTGTAGTTGCTGCTCTCTGCCTTACATACTGTAGTGTAGTGAATTCTGAGCTACATGTGCTTTACATAATTTATTTTTTACTACTTTGCACTTCTAGTTCAACTACATGTTAGCGATAATTGTTGTAATATTCACTCCACTACATTTATTTGACAGCTGTCATTACTTACAGCTTTGCAAGTTAAGATTTTATATATAAAATGTTAATCTTATAAATTATTACACATTATTATTGAACCACCAATACAAAACTACTATAAAACAATGTCTAAATGGTATATAGATTTTTTAAAATTTTTTTTTGGGGGGGTTTTTTTTTTTTATAAAAATAAAAATTTTTTTTTTTTTTTTACAAAAAAAATTTTTTTTTTTTTTTTTTTTTTTTTTTTTTTTAATTAAAGGGTTTTTTTTTTTTTGGGTTGTTTTTTTATAAGGGGGGGGGGGGAAGGGGGGAAAAAAATTGGGGCCGGGGGGCTTTTTTTCCCCCCCCTCCTTTCTCCCTCCGGGGTTTAAAAAGAAGTAAACATTATTATATAATCCAGCCTGCAGGATTATTATTGTTTCAAATAAAATTTTCTAGTTGTTTCATTTAAACTACTAACTTGATATACAATCAAAATAAAAACACACTTCTGTTTTTAAGAAGTTTGTTGGGTGCAAAATAATGACAATAATTGGTTGATAAGAAATGAGGAAGAAGGTTTCAGGCCTTTATTTGTTGTTTGGCTGCGAACAACAAAGATGATGTAAAAAATATAAAATTGTGTAGAAATATTGGAAATATTTTCATAATATTGCTCTTTCTTGTGCTTGAAGTGGCCCTACTATGAGATGACGACACAGTTTGAAACGCCTGTTTTAAGACATTTCTCAGGACTTCAACAAGTCGTCCTCATTCAAAAAAAAAGCTTTGGCTGCTTTATTTTTTTCTTTCAGGCGAGTGTCTCACTCATGTACCTGTGAGGAGGCTGTTTATGGTTGTGAGAGCTAAATGACGTAAGAGCAAACTGCGTGAGAGGGAACATTTTTTTTCATTTTGTACGTAGTGTGTAGAAGGACGTGTTTTGAAGTGCACCAACGATAAACACTTCACCTCCACTCAAGCATCTGTTTCGTAATTAGCCTTTCAAGTACAGCTCACATGCCAATGTCCTCTGGTCTGCCTATTGTGTCTTGTTGTTTCTCGCTGAACATCGTACCCAGAGCCCGTTCTCACTGGAATGTGCTGTTGTGTAGAAAATCTGTTGCAATCAACGGGAGGTGAAGACACAACCAGTTACAGGTTGAGACACTTCTGCTGCAGTGAACAAACAGTCTGCTGTAATTGAACATAATTGGCTTCTTTTTTTTTTTCTTAATTAGCTTTATTGTTCCCATGTGACCTCGCCTCAGACGCCCCTCGACAATTTATATTTCTGCTGTTGTGTGCGTGTGCGTGTGTGATGGATGAGATGACTCAATAGGTAGGAGGATCTGGTTAGACTGGATTTCAGATGCCTCCCAGACAGCAGCAGGGAAAAGGTGATGTGCGTAACATGTCAGTCAGCATTGCAGAGCGGTGAGGTATTGCTAGGTGTGGCAACACTTAGGTCACATGATGCCTGAATTGGCAGTGATTTACCTTGTCTAATTGTTCAATTGTGTGCAGAGAATTGACTTTATTTTTGTACACATATTTAAAATTTATATTTTGCTATTTTAGTACACAGGATTGTAAAAGCAAGTCAGTCAGATATTTGTAGATACTTTTTCTGGAGGTTTGTTGTCAGATGAGACATTTTGTGCTTCCCAGATGAGGAAATTTTTGTTTTACACCAGAGAACATTTTAATTATATGTGTGAGATTATATATTAGTGAGAGCAATAAGAGAGGACATGAGGATTGTCCAAAGTGTTTAAATTGTTGAGTCTGCTTGAACTCGGGTGTAACCGAAACCAGCGTGACAGGGTGTGGTGTCTTTAGGTACAAAGGTGTGGGTGTGTTCAGTTTATCCCAACATATTGTAATTGAAGTCCCACAGGATTGTATGGCTTTTATTTTATAACCTGCTGACACATTTTGTTTGTTTTGTCAGCATTTTTGTCAGCATTTCTTCATTTCTTTCCTGTTTGTGGTGGAGTTGAAGTGACCTTTGGTCGTCTTTCCCAGTATGAACAAATTAGTAAATGGTAAAGTATAACCAAAGATATCAATATAGTGCATGTGATTTGTGTGACGTAATGGGCAGTGTTGTCCCACAACATAATGCACACCTAAAATGGAGGAGCTACTCAACTAGAAAAAGTGGTGAATGGTAGATGAGTCAGCTCTCCAAACATCTCAACAATACAGCAGTAAATCTTTCTCCAAGCCAAATACTGGAGTTAAATATTTAACCTACTTGAGTAATTGCTTTTATATATCGATGATATGAGCTGATTCTTACCTCACATTAACCTTGTGAGACTGTTCACTATTCTTGAGAAAAAGCACATTGTTCTTCTTACAAATATTATATTCTCAGCTTGCTGTCTTCCCATCGTTGTCCCAGATAAGAAATATTTGGAAGTTAAACAGGAAAGATGGAGGAAACTGAATGGGAGGAAAGGAAATAAGCATGCTAAATTTGAAATTTTAAAAGATCTTGAGTTTTTAAATTAACTACATTATAGTCTTACCCTTTAGTTATTTTGTTGTTCAGCTTACAGAGACACTGGTTCAAATTTTCAGTATGATGCATTATAAGCAACATAAATACATTTTATTTTAGTTGGGATTCATCACTCAGCCCGCGTTAAAGGACCAGTGTGTAGGATTTAGTGGCATCTAGCGGTGTAGATTGCAAACTCACTCGCTTCACCCATTCCAAGCGCAAGGGAGAAACTACAATAGTCGTGAAACATGCAAAAAAAAAACACGAATCTAGAGCCAGTTTTTGGTTTGTCCATTCTGGGCTACTGTAGAAAAAGGGCGGTTCAACATGGTGGCATATTCTTATATTCAGGTGATTATACGCTAATGAAAACAGACCTATGAATAATATATTCCATTTCTGCCAATAGATCCCCTTAAATGTTACACACTGGACCTTTTTTTAATGAATGCACTGTGACACCACAAAGAAAAACACAGTAAGGTCAAATACAACAAAAATCAGAGGCTTTACTGAAACTCTGAAAAAGTGAAAGTTTAAAACTTTTAGAAACTTCGTGTAAGACTAATGAAAGCAACAAGAAGAAAATGGAACTTTCCAGACATGTTTGTTTGTGTGCGTATAATGACTCCAATGTGTACTTTCCGTAACAACTCTGGTCATGGGGCACTGAGTCTGAAACAGGAGTGACAGGTTTCCAACAATGGCTTGGCAATTGACAGTAGCTGCTGAGTATCTCCTCCCAGATCTGTGTCACACACAGTTTCTGTCTCACAATTTGGCAGGATGTCTTTCAGGCTTGGCAACACACGGCATTGAATTGTCTTAAATCTGTAAAAACAACAACCAGTATTTTTACGTACAGATGGCTGCTTAAGTAGCAGTGACATTTATACTGTTTTTTTTCTGTCACCTCAGCTGACTCAGGGCAGAGGTTTTGAGCTTCAGCGTGACTTCATGAATGTCTGCTGCACCTAGGCCTCACCAGGCAATCACAACACTGTTGAATTAGCATTTCCAGCAACAGTCATTTTATCTCCAGTAACCCTCTCAAGCCACAGCCCCCACTAGGTTGCTGTTTACATTCAACCGGACGCAAATGCAAACGATGCACTGCAGAATTATTTCCTGTATATAAATAACTATATATTGTTTTATTTTATTCTATTTTGTTTATCTTTTGTGTCCTTACCTTTTTTCTGTGTGTAGCATGAAGGAAAAACACTAAACATCGGCTCTTACTCTCCCATAAGGCAACTAAATGACGTCTCTTTGTTAAAAACTCAATTGCTGGTAAAAGCCTATAGAGCTATCCCAATTACAGACTAGTAATTTTAACCAGGTCTGCTGTTGATGGACACAATCAGACGCACAAACGGAGCAGCTATTCACAGCTCCAATAAAACAAAATGTGGATGGTGGAGAGAAAGTTCCAGGAAGACCTGAAAAAGATCTCGCTCTTTGATGGAAGCATCATATCAAAACTTCTGTATGCACATCTGCAACTCATAAATCACCTGCCGTCAGCACCTGTATCTTAAATCACAACTGCTTCAAATTCCACCTAAATGAAGTTAGACAAATATATTATCAACGATCCACTATTACAGCTGATCAACCCACACTACAATTCATCAGTCCACCATATAGTACACCAAAGTACACTGATTGTACTTCAAAAACATCAGCCTCTACTATGAATTTCGTATACAGTGCATACTGTATACAATGAGTATGTCCTCAGTTTTTAAACATACACTCTATGGTCAAAATTGAAGCCCAAGCAGAGATAACTCAGATTTTTACAACAAGCACCTCCAGCACCATGAAAGACAGCTGTTTACACAGGCTCTGGTGCTCTCCATTGCAGGCAAACAGACCTTTTTTAGGTGTGAAATCGATGGAGGTCCTCATTTTTTAAATGTAGTCGTGTTTATTGCCTATTTGATATCCATGATTTTTATTTATTACATTTTATTTCCTGCTCACCTTTTTGTAATTCCTCATGTGCTGCGTATTTATGTGCTGCTCTCACTTTGTTCACACTTTGTTCACACTGCGTACGTTGCACATATGTTGCAATCTACAGGTGAGCTCATTCTCTGAGCTGGAAGTGAAAACCCCTTAGCTGACAAACACCCTTGTTCAGAGTTAATGACCTCCTTTTTAGACCTGTTATCATTGAAGCAAGCTTTTGTCAACATATCTTGACTCTAAAGCAACTTCAGAGTTCCCATACCAATAGTCTGCAGTCGTTTTTCTGTCTGGAGACTAATCGCAGCTTTTAAATGAAACTCGTAAAAGGGCTCAGATTCTATTTTAAATAGGTCAAAATGTGTAATTTGTCTGAGGGCTTTACATGTTTCTACACATACAAGGCCCTATATCCTTAGACCTTTTTATTTGTATAAACAAAAACTCCACAATGAAACTTTAATTGGTGAAACAATTATTGACTAATCAACAGAACAAAAAACTAATGGGTGGGAAAAATAGGAGAAACCTCATGAAAACAAACTTAGGAGGGATAGAAATCAGATTGGTGTCAAAGAGTAGAGATGGCAGCAGTATAATTACAATATCAAATAAATGAAGTGCACAATATAATTCTAAGTGAATATTAAGGGTTTATAAGTTAAACAATTGAAAGCAAAGCATGTTTTGAGTTGAGGCTGAATCAGATAAGACAACACTCATGTGCTACCAAGAGCTTGTATGACCTCGACCAATAAACCCCTGTGTTCAAAGGTTGAAGGTCAAAATTGTCTCGTCCATGATAACTGACTTTGACATTTAAAAAGGGTCCCACTTGGTTGACTCTAATGACACAAACTGCATCGTCTGAGTGGACGGTAAACACCGAAACGGTCTTAGTTATCAGCGAAGGCCTCCATTTCAGACAAACATGAAAAGATGTTTATTGTGTACGTAACCTCCTAATTATAGCCTGTTGCAAACTCATTTAAACTAATTCTACTCTTCTTCCTCTTTCCTTGTTTCCATTCCTCTCTATCCCCGTCCCCATTTCTCCCTCTGATACCAGGCCAGGCCCTGCAGTGCTATGAGTGCAAAATTGGCTTCTGGAACTTGTGCCTAACCACTAAAACCACATGCAAAAGTGGAGAACAGTGCTTCAGTGGTGTCGGGAAAGCAGGTAAGGAGCCCGGGGGCCAAAAATCTCATCGGATGACATTCTCACAAAGTTGTCATCAGTTCTCACATGACACCTCACCACTTACATTCTCAAATATCTCTGTAACAGCAACAGGCGACAACTTGGCGCTAATGAAAGCTTTTTTTACATTTTTTTTATCAACGGTTCAATCCGATCCAAGTAATTTAATATAGATATATCGATACCGAGTCACGATCCAAAAACTTTGTTTTGGTGGCACACTGCACTCTTCAAGTACATTTAAAGTTACCAAAATCAATCCTATGCTTTACAATTGAGAAGCTCTGCATTGCGTTAATGGACAGTTTATTTTATAAAATGTATAAAATACCAAACTGTGATCTGTTTGGTCTTGTTGCTGTCTGAAGGGAGTTTCTCTCTCTAGTGTTTGGTGCTTTGGTGCTTTGGTGCAGCCTTTGCCTGAGTTACCTGAATGAACTGTTCGTATTCTTCGAGTGTTATCTCTGCCCTTTCTACATCTTTTGAGTGGATTTAATTAATTACTCTTATTGGCTTTTTGTCCACAGGACTTTGTTGCACATGCAGTGGCGTGTTGAGTGTGATTGTATCAGCTCTCTACTGCTATTCTCCTCCGAGCAGGAGCAGCCCCGCCCGCAGTGAAACTCAACAACGGGTGGTGCTGCTCCTGCTCTCTCTCACAGAGACACACACACACACACACACACACACACACACACACACACACACACACACACACACAGAGTTGACAATGGCTGCACTTTACATGAAAGCTTTGTTAGTAAAAAAAAAAGATCCGATCAGATCATAAAGCTCAACATAGCCGATACCGATCAGTTTAAGAAATGCCTTCATCAGTGCCGATGCGGATCGTTGACGAAGGTTTTTCTAGAATGATTACTTGATTATTCAACTGGGGGCAGTGATTCAAACCAGTGATTCCCAACCAAATTGATAATTAATCCATTAGACTATGACTGTAATTAATTAACTTTAGTATAAAGTAGTATTTGTAGATGTGTGAATGCCACTGCTCCTCATGATGGGTATGATTAATAAGGAAGATTCATTAATATCAGTTGCAGCTCTATCAGGTGTTGGAGATCACAGATCTGCCTCTTACCATTCTGAGATATTTATTCAAGTGTTTTTGAAATGGTGATTGTGATCGCTAATGTCTGTCTTCAGTCACTATAGAAAACTACAGGCTTGTTCAGTCTCTTTTTTTTTTTTTACTTGTTTGCATCAGATCATTCTTCCGATCTGACAGCTTAGGTAGCACATAAAACATAAATTCATAATATCTTCATGGCCTATTTACAGAATAGATATTAAGATTTGGGAGGCTAATGCACAGTGACTATATTATACTGTTGCATGAACTTAAAATAACAAGAAAAATACCGGTTTTTGTTGAATTTAGCTTAAAAAACACATTTTTTACATCAAAGCGAAACATTTGCCGTTAATTTTTAGTTTTTGTTGTGTTTTGTCCTTCCATTCCAGACAGCCATCGGTTTTCTTTCATTTCAGCGATAATATAACTTCATATAGCGCAACAAGTTTTATATCCAATGGAAATGAATGGAAACCAATTAGATTTTTAAGAGTAATCATTTGATGTTTCTAACAAACTGCAAATTCGTAAAAAGCATAAATATTGCTCAAGCATTAGCACACACACGTATGCTAAAGCGGTGCTGCAACCCCCCCTAGATATGGTAGGTATGCATCCACTGACTCAGACTCTGACCGTTATTGTGTGTGTTTGCTGTCGCTCCACAGCCGGCTTCGTGGACATCAAGACGAAGGGCTGTCTGGCAGTGGCCGATTGCAACCAGACCAAAGAGGTGAACTTCCCCACCAGCGGCTCCAACACAACCGTTTACTCCATGACCAAGACGTGCTGCAACAACGACCTGTGTAACGCTGCGCCTGGACTGCCTGGCACCTCCGGGCTGAGCCTTGCCCTCGCCACCATCGCAGCTCTGTTTGTGGCCAACATGGTTTGATCGAAAATAAAGTGAATGCATAAATGCATAAAACACAAACACATGGGTCTTGTGTTTTCTATCCTAGAAGTGTAATACACACACTGATATAAACACTTACAGTGTTTAACACTTTAAGTGATCTAAACACTTGAACTGTTTATATCAGTTAAATTTAAATTCTCTTTTCTTTTTTTTTCTTTTTAGACTCATCAGTAACCTGTCCCAGTTCTCATTTCATTATAAACGATATTAAAATGTTAGTTGACTGACCATTTAAATTGTAAAACAAGTGTGTACCACTGACATTAAAGATGATTAAAGAAGTCCACCACAACTAAAGTGCCCTGCAATTAACTTTCTCCACTTGAATGAGCAGTATAACATTTAGGCACAGGTCCATGGGTGCCAGGAGGCGAATTACATGTTAGGCATTTCACTGTGTGATTTTAAATTGTTTTTGTAGGTTGACTTGTGGGAATAAAGGAACTGTCCAACATTTTGTGAAATACTTATTTGCTTTTTTTTTGCCCAGAGTTTGATTTAAAAAAAGATCAATACCACTTTCATATCTGTCCGTTAAATCCTAAGCTTCAACCAGTAGCCTCTTAGCTTAGCATAAAGACTGGAAACAAGGGGAAACAGCTAACCCTGCTCTGTCGAAACAAATATGCCTACAAGCGCCTCTAAAGCTCACTAATTAGTTGTTCTAGTTTGTTTTGTCCTTAGGTGTAAAACAAGTTGATTTCACAACTCAATTAGTGAGCTTTAAAGGTGTTAGTGAGTGTATTCTTTTACCATTGGACAGAGCCGGGTCATCTGTTTCCCTCTGTTTCCAGTCTTAATGCTAAGCTAAGCTAACCGTCTCCTGGCAGTAGCTTCGTGTTTGCCGTACACACATAAAAGTGGTATCGTTCTTCCCATCTAGCTCTATGCAAGAAGGGGAACAAGTATATTTCTCAAACTATTCCTTTAATTTATTGCCTTTGACCCGCTGTATTGTCTGATTTAGAGTTATAAAAATGCCAATATATATATATAGATTTCAAAGCTTCTGTTTCATTTATTGCCGTTTGCTTTGTGTTCACTTTATTAAAGTGTAGCTAACATAATTGTCTCTTGGCTTATGTCTGGTACTGTCTGTGAAAACATTTCTTATTTTGCTGGTTTTCTTTTTTTTTCTTCTCCTTTTACAGATATAGCTCAATCAATTCTGTGTGTAATCTGTTTTATTTTTTATATTTGAGTCAAATGTACACTGCACATCACTTATAAACCGTGGGGGTAAAAGCTTTAGTTTATCTTGCTAGTTTTGAATGTATATAATATATATATCTATCTAAATAGATATATATATATTATATGTGGAGAATGTGATATTATCGCAGATATTAAAAAATAATTGACATTGCAGCGATTGAAAATTTGTCATCTTAAGATCTCCTCTAATTAAATCAATAAATATGAGTTAGACATTCCTGGCATTATTTACCAAAAGTATATGTGTAGGCCTGTCTGAATGTTTTTTGTAAAATTGGATATGTAAACAATTCGAAGAATGCAATAAAATCCAAACTGGGTGAAAACAAACTTCCCTCTGTGTGGTGTTACTCATAAGATTTGGTGTCCTCTTTCTCAATGTCTGTTAGCTTGTTGCCACCCTGCAGGACCGACTGGTTCTTCAGGTTTGTGTCCAACAGTAAATACTGTATGCTACCTCCGGTATGCGAGCGCTGCCCTGATTTTGGCACCGAACTGAAATTTTTGTTGTATGAGAAAATTGCCCATCTACAAGCATAAAACATCAGTAAATAATACTAAATAAAGTGAGATTTGTGTGTAAGTGTACTCTGGTCTTTGTGATCTGGAGGCTTTGATGATGTAATTATGTTTACAGATACTCATTCAATTCAATTCAATTCAATTTTATTTGTATAGCCCCAATTCATAACAGAAATTATCTTAGGACACTTTTCAAATAGAGCAGGTCTAGACCGAACTCTTTATAACATTTACAGAGACCCAACAGTACCACCATGAGCAAGCACTTGGCGACAAGGGCAAGGAAAAACTGCCTGTTAAAAGGCAGAAACCTAGGACAGATCCTTTGGCTCTTGGTGGGTGGTCGTCTGTCTCGACCAGTTATGAGCACCTCTACCTCTACTCATGAGAAAACTGTTTTAATTATAAACCAACGTCTTTAGTTTTATAACACAAATTGATGCCAAATCAACTTGTCAACTGATTGCTGATGGTTGAACGTCAGAAATGAATCCCTTTTCAAGCTAAAACAGCAAATATTCTCTGGTTTCGGCCTCTGAAACTGGAACTGTTTTTCTGTGTCATATATGACAATAAACTCAATATTTGTTGGTCAAATGAAACAATCACTATGAATGTATTAGCCCTGGGTTGTATCATTTTTGGACACAACAATGAAGATTAAATTAAATTTAAAATACACTATAATTTATAAATCTAATTTTAAAATTAAATCTGTGATTCATGCAAATTATTCTTAAAATTGAAGACAGGTTTCTCAATTCAGTCTTCTTCAGTGCAACGTCAGTCATCCCTGACATTCCTTCACTCTCAGTGACTCTTCCCCCGAAGCAGAAATGAAAACAATAGGCTTGAAACCCCCCTCTTTTGTCCCCTCCCATCACTTCTGTGAGTATAAATCTGGGGCCAATCTTCAGTCTGTACTACACAGAGCATCAGATCCCCTGAGTGGAAGGATTTTTTTTTGTCATCAAGCCAAAACCAAGAACCAACACAACAAGATGGGAAGGATCGTACTCGCAGTCGTTGCAGTTATTGCATCTTTCATGCTGGGTAAGAATAAACAAAATGATTACAGATTTATTAAGTATGGATAAGAAACTTTCTGGCAGTGGTTGACCTGATTAAGATATTGTGGAAATGTTATGTTTAGTTTTAGAGATTTTATTGACAAAAAATATGTGTATGTGCAATTTAAAGTCTCCTGTTTAAGAAATGAAGAAGGCAGGTGTGTAGAGTAATTTGTTTTGGTGAATGTGGTGTTAAAAGTAATAGAAACTGAGTCTCTGAGAAAGACTTTCTAAAGGTTTCAGTTCAAATAAAAGATTTTTTAAAAAACTTTCTTGTGTATTTCCAGAAACAATTACTTTAAAAGTGGAAATTATTTCTTTAGATTACCCAGATTGTTTCTATAAAGACACTGTTTATTTAATCATAAGTCGATGCTTTGAACACCACAACTGAAATTCCATTCACATCCACTGAAATAGGGCAACAATCTTAGAGGCAAATCTAACAAGTTGAGCAAGTGAAACAAATACAATGTACAATACAGTATGTTTTCACTGTCATTTGGGTGAATTGAGGTTAAAAGGAGCTAAAAACCAACTTTAAGTCCCCATTCACCATTCATTAGCATCCATTCACACCTGATCATTTCCCTTACAATGAGGATTCGAATCAAACAGATCGTTGAAACTGGCATGATGTTTCTTGTGATGATTTAGTTTGAGTGTTAATCTAACCCGGGCGGGTTTTAATGACGTTTGTTTGCATCACAGTGCAGGGTGTGGTGGATCACAAACTCAAAATAATCTTATTATAAAAAGAAAGATACATCACTGTATCTGGTGGTCGAAAAAGCATTTATTTCCAAAACAACATGAGGGTAAACTCTTATCTCTGCCATACAATTAAAAAGTACATTATGGGTTAGTAAAGTTTTAGAAAGGTCTACAAATATCTGCCTACAAAATGTTTACACCAAGAATAATATGGTATTATTTCAGCTCTAGATGCAAATAAATGTGGTGTTAACTCCTTCAACCACACAAACATTTGAAGACTACTGTGCGATTTCTCAACATAAAGTTGTTTGATTCTAAATTTTGTGTTTTCCTTTATCTGTTTCAGTGGATTCCCTGACCTGTAACAAATGCAGCTACGGTCTGCTGGGCTTCTGCATTAGCAGCTCTGACGTTACCTGCTCGACCAACACAAGCGTCTGCTTTACCGGAAAAGCAAGTATGTCACCTCTAATTACCTAAAAGCTCACACCCTTTCCCTTCAATCATTACCTAACAGCACAGGCACTATTCAGTTAAAATCACTCCCAAATACTGTGACACCCAGTCACACACACATAGATCAACAAGCACACCTCAGTGTTTCCAGCCACCAAACGCAGTATCCTTATCTGACCAGATACTCACATTTTTATCTTCATACTGATTCAATGTAGTAATTTAATACAATTAGCCCACAGCCCAGCTACACTACAGTAGAAAATGACTCATTTACAAGGCCTGCGTGCTAATTTAGAAATAGCTGTAGTCAAAATAGGTTCAAGTAATAAGTACTCATTTTAAGTTTAACCATTATTTCCAGTTTTGGGCATTTTAATGTTTTTAGATCAATGAAGAAGGAAAGGAAGGAACAAAATTAGGAAGTGAAGCAAAGAACGTGTTATTGTTATTAGTGATTTTATGAGCTTCTCTCAATGTAAAACACGATTCTGCAACATACGGAAAGTATTTAACTATAGCAACGTAGGTAAAATGTAAAATAGTAAAAATAGAAACACTTAAAATGAAGTACAAGTACCTCCAACCTGTTTCAATGCACCAAGTTACTTTCCACTTTCTAACACAAACCCTTTCTCCTCAGCTTTCTCATCCATCTCTGTGGGCTTCAACACTCAGGGCTGCCGTGAGCCTGCAGGCTGCAACTCAACCGTCAACGGCACCCTGCTGAGTGTCAACTACCAGACTAAAATTGACTGCTGCTCATCAGACAAGTGCAACCCCGTCCAGGTTAGTGGGGCTCCCTCCAGCAAGATGACCCTCACCGCCGCCCTTGGTGTAGCTGTCCTGGCCTCCCTGTGGGGAAGCATGCTGTAATGTGTCCAATGCAGAATCGAAAGAAAAAAACAGCTGCTGAAACTCATTTGTACTACGATTATTATACCAAGCAGGGTCCAAAATGAATATTCAAAATGAACTTTTGGGACCATATGAGTGTATAAGTATGATTATTTATATGCTCGTATGCTGTGACACTCTTTATTTTCCATAACTCAGGTATTGTCATGATAGAGTTCAGTTTTATGATGAAGTTACATGAAACCCCGAACTAAAACATGGAAGTTGATCAATGGAATGTTTCAGGGAAACGTTGAGTTCGTAAATCTTCCAGGCTGTTTTCTTGCTTTTTTTTAAATCACATTTTATTTATCCTTTTAACTACTTTGTATCTAAACAAAACATTGATGTGAAAATAAAGAAAAACTCAAAAACATCCACCGCCTCTGCTACTTACTCTTTTTTAATGACTGTATTTTTTCATTTAGCAGGTACAGTGAAATACAACGAGCATTAAAGACCAGTCATTTCTGCAAGTACAGACTGATAAACAATCAATCCATCCTTCTTAAATTAGTTGTTAAGTGAGTGATAAAACAGAATAACATACAAAATGACAGCACTGATTTAAAATGTACTGACATGTATTGAGAGAGCCTTCATCAAGCTGGGCTGGAGCCAGTCTCAGCTGACACTCCCAGTCACTCACAGGACTCTCACAGAGACAGACAACCACTCATGCTCACATTTGCACATATTTTAATCGTACAACACAGTATTATTTTAGTCCCCCAACACACTCGATATAGTGCAAAGCTGTATTTATATATTAAACTAGATAACTACAGTGTTAACAGGCAACACCAACCATTAGTATTATCAGCCAAAGCCATCAGTCTCCCCCAGCATCAAACTGATCACCAAAGCATTGATCAAAGAGTCTGACACATGTTTGCACAATTCATTAAACAGTCATAAGACACATTAACAGATTGAGCTGTCTTATGTTGTAATGAATCCAGGGCTGACGGATTCTAACAGCTAACTACGCACTCTGAGCTAACCAGGATGATTCTCTCTTGAGATGATGAACATACATCACTGTATCACATCACAAATAACTTTTTATGTTGATAAGCTGTCAGTCTGTTCAGATGTGTTTTATACGCCACTGATGACATTGCTGCCATCCACAGTTGATAAGAACTGGATTAAAACAGGTAGCCACACATAACAGTTGACATAGTTAGCAGACAGTAATTAATAAACAGGTTTAAAGGATTGGTTTAAAGTTTAAACCAACACATATGGACCATGCCGGGTGGCGCCAATGAGCGGTAGCTGGCTGTAGGAGTACAACATGTTGGGAACAACATCTATTGTTAAGGACTTTTTGCTAATAGTTTCAATCAATGTCACAGGAATGCCTCACCCCTTACAAACTTTCTTATCACTACAGTTGATGTGCATTACTGATATAACTCGGCCACGTATAAAAATGCTGACCAAGACTCATTGATCCTCAAAACTTTCTCCCGCAGCTTCTGAAACAGTAAGATCTTAAAAAAGAAGTAGACCTCTAATTTCCCCTGTAGGTACAGCCAAGAACATCACAATGAAGAAATATCTGTGGAGCTGTGCAGCAGTATTGACTCTGTTTGTTACAGGTAGGAGGTTTTTACTGTATTTTGTAGATGGAAAGCAGAGTCTTTGTGAGACAGAGGGTTCACGTGGTGTATTGACTCAAATAAGGATCAATAAGATTTTGAGTTTGGCAATTATTTTGACAAAACTGCATGAGAAATTAACAAAAAACATTGTTTTTCATAAAAGTCTTATCATACTTTTTGGAGCTTATACACTGTGCAGAAATAGGGCATCCAGTTCTTAAAGTGTGGTTTATTTGTGTGGTCAGAGCAGGACTGTGCTGTAGTTAATTAAAATGTGTTATGTTATTTGATGTGCACAGTGCAGGATATGTGACTTCAAATCAAGCTGCATCTATATTTGAGGCACAAATTACATGCATTTAAAGGGTCAGTTTACCCAAATAAAAAAACCCCACATATACACATTTTTGAGTGGTAACCAGCAAATATTGATGGTTTTATTAGTTTTTATGGTTTATCTGGAAGGATGAGTTGCTGTTAAATGATATTTTTCAATGTTCTGAGCGTCACAAACAAACTTCCATTAATCTCTAATGTATTGAGTAGGAAGCAGAATCTTAAGATATCTCAGAACTTATAAATATACAGTCTGTATGTAGCCCAAAAATAGGTGTGTCGTTTCGTACAGCTTTCTTCAAAGTCACATCCTGGACTTTCAGATAATACATCCTTGAACCTTGAAAAGGTTATGAAACAATCTCTTAATGTGTACTTTGGGATTACGGCATTGTTTGATTAAGGTGGAACAGAGGAGTCAGATATTTGTTGCTGCTGATTTAACTTATTTTCCTTCTGTATGACAAAAAAAAGGTCCAAAAGCTTCTTTACAATTCTTGATTTTCTTGTTGTCTCCTCTCCCACAGTTGAGTCCCTAACCTGTAACACCTGTGATCTGTCCGTTCTCGGCTCCTGCTTCTTCGATTCTCCAGTAAATTGCAACAAAAATCAGACCAGATGCTATATCGCAGTTGCCAGTAAGTTGAACAGCTGAATGAATCATTTTTACATAACTAAATAATAACTTGTCCTCCTCTGAGATTGCTTCATGACCGGCTACTAAACTGTATTTCAATGTAGCCATTCCTTGTCAAAAAACTGTTAAATAGCAGGGAATTTAAATTATTTTAGTCTTTTGTTTGTTTGTTTGTTTGCAAGAACATCTAATTTAAAGTTACTGCACATCACCATAAACCTGAATCATGTATCAGGAACCTGCATCTAAAAATAAAGTATAGTAAGACTTGAAAAAGCTATGTTAGTTAGTATAAGTTCTTTTAACTGCATGACAGGCATTTATGGGGTTACAAAACCAAATTCCTACCCTTGAAACTTTTCCTTTTAATCATTAATTTAAAAAATATAATGGAACAACATTATATTTTCAGTGAATATTAGCCAGTGCCTGAATTGGACCAAAAAAAGGTGTCCATACCCCGAAACAACATAACCCTAATGCTTATTCTTTTGGCAGTTTTTATCCTTTTTAACAAGGACATTTCAGTGCTGTTTTATTAGCATTAGTTAGCTAGAGATGTAGTTATTTAGGAGTACTTCACCAGCATTGCTGTACGCAGGCTTTTGGAAATGCTGAGGTCCAAAAACTGAACTTGCTAGTGGGGTTTGGGGCATCAAAGCATCAAAGTAGTTATTTTTATACAGTTATTTCATGACTTTCATTGTATACCCATACTGGGGACCTCAATAGTGGGTATGTGGCCATGCTCATATCTCATCTACACTTCCTCTAGATATTCAAGGCCTGTTGAATGTTCACGCACGAGGCTGCACGGTAGAATCCGACTGCAAAAACCAGACGGGCCTGTCCATCCTGACTTATAAGTACAACATCACCAGGAGCTGCTGCAGCACCAACCTGTGTAACGGAGCTGCCTCCATCCAGCTGCCTCTGACTGCGGCTCTCGGTGCTGCTCTGGTGGCACTTTGGAGCCAATGGGGCCTTTAAAGAAGGAAGAGGAGGACGAGAACGGGTTGCTATATACATAGTTTAATTGTTGTTGTCTTTAATTGCTTTAAATAACATTTGTAGTACGTCAGTGACCCCATGTTACTCATTATATGACTTGTATGAGCAACTTATGTATCAGGGTTTGATATCTTGACTTTCCTTTGCATTTTAACACCTCATTACTCTAATAATGTTTTTCAAAACCTTTAAGACATCCATCAGCCCACAGTGTATTTTGTTTGGAGTCATTCAGTAATAAAAGGCAACTAAATCCTAATGCGGATTATTGCTAAAATAAATTGTGTATTATATAATTATTTCCATTATTTCCACCTTGGAGTTGAGATTTCTTGTCATACTTTTTACTTTTTTCAACATCCAGTTTCATTGGTTATTACATAATACGCCATATTATTACATTTTCAACATAAAAAAGTGCAACTCTTTTGCAACAACTTTTTTGTAATAACCACCACAACAGACAAAAAGTACCTGTATCTGGAAAGATCCAGTGGTGTCCATGTTAGATCTGTACATCATATCATATTTTATAAAAATAGATCCATGTCTGTATTGTGTGGCTATATGTATTAATTCAATTCAGTTACATTTTGTTTGTATGTATGTATGAAATTAATTACATCAAAAACACAAAGTCAGTTTTTTAGGATTAAATAAGATTCTTGATTAAGCTGATTTTACTTGCAATTCTAAGTGGCACTAACTTAGTTTTGTAAGTTAAAGAAACATGCCTCATTAATAACATTTTATTAGTATTATTTTTTTGTTTTCAAAGCACAAATAAACTTACAAAACTTAGTTTTACTTGTTGTTTGAGTTATATGAACTCATCTGGTTTTACAGTGTACTAGTAAAAATGACTAATAATGATGACAATGACAATAACCACAACGATGGGGAATGATGATGATGATAATATTACTAATAATAACAATAATACATGATGAGGTGAACATGTATTACATTTTGTTAAGTTATTACATAATGAGGTTTAAGGTCACCAGCAGGAATCAAACCAGCGAAGGTTGTGACCTTGTGGCCACACTGTGACCGTTCAGCTACCAATCTGCTTCATATTGTCATACTTCCCTAAAGTAAAGAATAAACATCTCTGATAATTGTTGTAGCTCGATACTAGGAGTGTCTCGTCATTGGTTTAACAAACAATCCTATGTTTGTGGAGGACATTCTGTTATTGACTGAGGCTGTGGTCGCCATTGCAACGTGAAGCTTTTGAAAACGATTATGATGTCGCTTTATAATAAGCCACAGGTTCACAAAGGTTCAAACACACAAACACAAGTGCATACAAACACAGGAATGAGAGTCATCAATCATCCCTTTTTCTCTTTGTGTGGCTTTTTTAATAGAGTTCACTCTTCAAACGAACCTCAGTTTGTGTCTTTAAACGACGTCAACATGTTATGGAATATATGAGGGGCTGACAAATAAAAACCAGTGTTCACATTATTCTCCTGGTGGCACACCTTTTACATAAAAACAGATGTTCACAGCCCATTAAGCTCATTGGAAACCCACTTCAGCATTTACCTGTTGGATTATCTCTTTGACTGCCTCTGCTGCATCGAGATCTTCTTCTCTGTGCTGATAATTTCTCGGTTAAGACACAAATCTGTGTAAGAGCAAGATGGAGAAGTTTATCCTGGTCTGTGCGGCACTGATGGCAGTGTTTGTTACAGGTAAGAGCTCCAGACAGGGAGCACGCTTGTATATTTAAGGAGGAACTTTATCTACCTGAAGATGATCACTAAAACAGCCTTTTACATGGATACAAATCAAAAAAATCTGATTCACATATGAGCTTATATGCAGATCTTCATCATGATGCAGTTTATTATTATTATTTTATTATTTTTTAATGTTTTATTAATACATTTTTCTTTTGATTGTTTTTTTTTATCTGGTTAACATTTTAATATGTTTTATTACTTCCTTTCTTTTATACATTTGAATAATAATAATAATAATAATTTTATGATTTGGTATATCCTTTTCTTATTTGTAGTTTTTATCTTTTTGCCTGATGCGGCCTCCAGTGTTTCTTCACTGCACTGTTTTATTGATTGTGTGGAGTTGGGGTATTTTAATGTGTGAAACAATATTTTGTTTGTATAAAAATTGCTCTGATTGATAAGTCTGCTGTATTGATTGATTGATTTAAATGTGTTAATACTTTCTGTACTGAGAAGAACTGTTCAATTATAAATCCAGTTTCTCACTGTATATCCACAAAGCTTAACAAAGCTGTATAGCTTTTTTGACCAGTCACTATTATTAGTTTCTAATTTCTTTCATGGATGTTTTTTTGCTGACTCATGACCTCAGTGTTTCTAAAATCGTGGCCCTGAGGCTTAAAATCCTAGTCATAAATAACTGGAATTTTCTGTAATAGACAGAAATCTGTCTTTCTTTAATCCCTTTCCTTTGAGGTTGTTGTTAAATGGTCATATATCTGGCATTCTCAAAATCAGAACTATCAGAATCAGAAATACTTGTTACACTTATTCAAGTTGTTAAATAAAGAGAATTACAATCAAATAGAAGTATGTTAAATATGTGCATTGTACTACAATATTTAACAACAATATAAATATAGAAAATAGGAAAATATAAAAGTGTGTTAGAGTATGTATATTATACTACAGTGTACAACAATAATATATAAGAAAATTAATAAAATAAGAGATGTAAAAATATGTACACTATGATATATAACAGCAGTGTAAAGAATAAATACTAATAATCGCTTTGTTATTCTAACAATGAAAACAGGTTTTAACCTTTGAAGATTGTAAGGAAGTACTGAACTATATCAAGCTTGAGAAACCACAACAGCTCTATCAATACTTCTGCCTAATGGATGTCTAACTTCCTCCTTTTTCCTACATTTTTGTTGATGTTTTATGTCCAGGAGCTCGGATCGGGTGAGAAGGTTATACGTGAGGCTTTTTGTAAAAGGTGTAACAAATAGAAAACCATAGAAAGCAATAAAGAAAATACTATTTTAAGTATATTTATAACATTCTAGCATGTCTAAATGCTGTTTCTGATTATGATGACGACTTCTGCGATGACTATGATGAGCCGTGATATTCTGTGGTGATTTCTTGTATCATGGAATTTCGTCACTGTGGCTATCCGACTAATTATCCTCCTTTGCCTAAGTAAGTATAAAGACTTTTCTTTCTTTCTTAGCCTTTTTCTCTCTTCTCCTAAATCTCTCCTTCCCTCTGGATCACAGGTGAGTCCCTGACCTGTAACACCTGCAGAGTGGGGCTCGCAGGTAAATGTCTGTTCAGCTCCACAATGACTTGCAGTGACTCTCAGCCCAACTGCTACTGGGGAAAACTAGGTGAGTAACATTGCAGTGATCACAACCTCAATAAATACTGTATGTCTGACACCAGATGTTGTTCCTCAACCCTGCTGAGTTTGGATTTGAATTTAATTTTCTGACCACAATCTATTTGACACTGTAGAAGATGAAAACCTGCCAACAGGTTGAGGTGTGGCTGGCATTGATATGGTTGATCAGAGGTTGCTTTATTTATTAGAAAACACTTTACAGAGCAGCCTCAGAACTGATCTTCAGGGCAATGTTTTTGATCACAATAGAAAGAGAACTATTAAGTAAAAGCTTTTATTTTTATGTTTGATGCAGCCATGTCAAAAAATGTATGTGACTGAAAATATGCCAACCAGCAGGCTGACTCTCTGATTTATTGTATCTCATTTGTTTAATCTGAACACAAACAGGGAGTTACTGCACCAGGCTGTTGCCTAGAAACAGTTGTAGTTACAGCATGAAAATCCTCGTAAAATCGCAACGTGTGATTTATACATTTCTGTTTGTGTTCAGATTAAACAAATGAGATAATGTGTGAGCTTTAGAGAGTTGCTAGATGGATTTATTTTTTGTTTTATGTGGATTGTGGACGGAGCCAGGCTAGCTGCTTTGCCCTGTTTCCAGTCTTTCCAGTTCCGAGTTGTTAGCAGTTACACCAAGGAGACATGTATTTTAATTTAATTTTATAACTGTTTGACTCTTACGTTGGGAACCACTGGACTACATTTCCTAACTGTAGTAGCCCCACAGTGAGCAGCTACAACAGTATAATGCTACCTACACACTGATTAATCTGTATCTTTTTTTAATGATACTTCAGTGACACTGCTAATAGTTTAATATATTTAATAAGATCCCACTCTGAAAGTCTGAATACTTTTGACACTTAAAAATAATTTTGTTGAGTAGAATTTTGAATGCAGGACTTTCAGGTGTACTTTTAACTCAATACAGGATCTTAATACTCTTACTACATAAATGACACACTGAATCAGACACAGAGTGATAATGTGCACTTTTTATAGTCTATATAAAGAGTTTAACAAAGGCTGCTGATCTGCGTGTCCCTCCTTTAAGCCTTCAACGTCAGTAGGCTGATGAGCCTGGAGACTCAAGGCTGCCTGGCCTCTTCTCTCTGCAACCAAACTGAATCCGGAGCCCTCCTCATTGCCGGATACACCGTCACCAGGACCTGCTGCAGCACCGACTGCTGTAATGGAGCCACATCCATCCAACTGCCTCTCACTGCTGCTTTGGGCGCCGCCATACTGGCCATTTGGAGCACCAAAGGCATTTAAAACAAGCAAGAAAATGATCAAATTCATGTTGTTCACTTAATAAACCTTGAACACATGCCTATATTGTGATACTCTCATTATTGTAACTTCTATGCATTTGGGGTTTTAATACACAGTTTAAAACATTTACCACAAATGGAATCCTTTACTACATGTAGGTGAACAAATAATAAAGGTTCCTTGAACTTAATGACTGTGAGTTTTTCTCCTGGCTGTAAATTAAATAGCTGAGGGGGGGTTTCCAATAGAGACTGAAGAACTTCCTCTTCATGCTACTGTAACAAAATACCTGATGAACCTCATTCTTGCACAGAACCCCTTCCTTGAGTCGTACCTTAAATACTGTCATTGCCTTTTCAGAAGCTCAATAGACCGAAACAGGTGTTTAGACCTTTACGTTCATTTTCTAAGAAAGAATCTGTTAACCTTGTAACCCCAGGAAGGATGAATAACTTCTTCAAAGCAGTGATTGTCCTGAGTGCCTGTATCGCAGCGGGTAAGCTTAGAATAATATTGAACTCCTGAGGTTTAAATGAGAGACTCAATAGACCTAAATTCAAACAGAATCAGAATCGGGTTTATTGCCAAGTAAGTTTGCGCATACGAGGAATTTGCCTTGGTGCATTGGTGCATAAGAATCACAGTCAAGGGATTTTTAAATATAAATAAAGATAGAAAGATCTAAGAGTTGTACAGGAATGTGCAAAATTGACCAGCATGATATTTGCAATGTGCAAGATAGAGAACCAACAGAATGGAGGATTAACGTGCATTCACTATGATTTCACTTTAATACTTATTTTTGTGCAATAAAAATGTCTTTTATGTCATAACTTTTCATATTTAATTTTTTTTTTCCTGTATCAACTGAGCGCTATGACCATCTAACACTATAATTTGAGGAGGAATGTATTTGCATGAAATGTCTGCACCCAGTACAACAGGCTCATTACTTGAGACAAACAAAAATAAAGATGAGTGGTTATATTTACTGCCAGTCATGATTAAGTCTCAGGTGATTTTACTGCTGCAGCTTAATGACATTCAGTCTGGTACAAGTATCTGGTCTAATTACCGCACGTCTGACACAGAGAATTCATGTTCAAATAAACTATACAATAATATATATATACACACTACTCACAAAAAGTTAGGGATATTCCACTTCCGGGTGAAATTTATGGAAAATGTAAAAAATTGATGCTACAGTGATATTATATCATGAAAATAGGACATTTAAGTAGAAGGTCAAATTAAGATCACCTGGAAAGCTTATAGTGCATTTTATGTACATTCTGAAATTTCATCCGAAAGCCGAATATCCCTAACTTTTTGTGAGTAGTGTATATGTTTGTCTGTGTGAACGTGTGTATATGCTGTATAGTAAAATTTTCTTTACACATTTATTCATTTACTTGAAATACAACAATTCATAAAATCTCTAGAAATTAAGTGTATAAAGAAGAGAATTAAAATAAATTATTGATTTACCTTATCTTAATTAATCATTAATATTCCAGAGTTTATGAGCTCCATCACTCTGGTACAAGTATCTGGTCTAATTACTGCACGTCTAACACAGAGCATTCATGTTCAAATAAACTGTACAATATTATATATATATATATATATATATATGTTTGTCTGTGTGCATGTGTGTATATACTGTATAGTAAAATTATATATTTACATTTATTTACCTAAAATACAACAATTTGTAAAATCTCTAGAAATTACAGGAAGTGTATAAAGAAGAAGAAGTTATTAATTTGCGTAATCTAAATTAATCATTTATTTTCCACAGTTTATGAGCTACATCACTCTACTAGTCGTCAGCTGTGTCCAACAGATAAAGACTGTTTTAAGAAATAAGACCAGATATAGATAATAATATTGATTATATCTATATATATACACAGTATATAAACTGTGGTTTGTAGTAAAACAATACAATATGCCAAAATAATTGTATTATTTTATTATTTATTATTTTTATTTTATAAATTAGAGTGAGGAATAAAATACTACAAAATTCAATTTTAGTAGCATCTTGTCTGTCTGGTTGAACAAAGAGGAAATCTGGAAGAGCCGGAGGGTTTTGTGTAAGAAATTTTTGCACAAATGTTTCCTGGTACTTAAGGATGATGTAATCTGTGTTGATTTACACAATGTGGGTATACTATAATTGTATCACAACAATTTATTAAGAAAAATAAATATTACTGCACACTAAGTAAAACACATGAGTGAAGATGCATGCCATCCTCATAAAAATAAATAAAATGTTGTATATGCATAATACATATGCAGTATATGATCCAGACCATGTATGTGCCATATTGTATGGCAGGGGTCCCCTATAAGTTGTTTCATATGAATTTAAACAAACATCTATTTCCATTTAAGAAATGTGTTTTGTTTTGCACAAAATAATGGCAACGGTCAAATAGAATTATTTGTTAAATATGAAGTTAGTAGTGGTAATTCTTCAGAATATTACACTTTCTTGTAGTACTTTAATGTTGAAGTGGCCCTTCCTATGAGAACTAGCAGTGGCCCCAAGATAATTTGAGTTTGAGACCTTTGGTGCATAAAGTACGTAAGTTAAAGGTGCCTCAAAATTACAAATAACAACTGACCACAACATCCACACCCAGTCCAATAATAAAAAGATCAACAAAACTCAGATCTGAAAGAACTTAATTGTGCAAACAAAATATGCTGTTGAGTGAGTTACTGTTAATGTGATAATGTTTCTCTCTCTTTCGTCGAACAGCACAATGCCTGACCTGTCGTCAGTGTCCTATTGGTATATTTGGGACGTGTCTGTTTGGAAGCGATGTCACATGTAACAATGCGACTGAGAGCTGCTACACCGGAGAAGCACGTAAGGAAACTTCTACAACACTCTGAATACTGTGAATACAATACAAATGCTGCACTACCACATATCGATTCAACAATCTCACATAAAGGTTCTTTGGACTTTATCACGTGGTACAATTGCCCAGTTGTCGTGGAACTTTAAATGTTCAGAGTTTCCACACTAATAAGAAAAGTATAAACAAATTCTGGGAAGAACCAGAAGTAAACAATTTTCTACTAATGTTGTAATGTTTTAATGTTTTAACAAAAATGACAGAAACCATCTGTGGGAAAGATGTAGGCTATCTGACGTGTTCTAATATTTTTTTGTTTGTCCTATCTGCTAACATGGAGACAGCGGACTTTATGACCCATACTGCAGTCACCCACTAGAGGGCGATCGAGATGTTTTGGCTTGACTTTTGTAGAGCTGTCATGTCGTCCATCTTTATATATGTTGATGGTTCAGATCTGTTTGTTTAAATGTAATATAAGATGGGCAATTTAGCAAATTTAGTTAAAATAATGAGCAAATTAATTGTTGTTAAACTGTAGGGGTTGCTATAGTTGCTATAGTTGCTGTTGCTCAACTGCTTCAAACGAGTTCCCCTTAAATTTTTTACATTTGCATTACTTTCCTCCCAGAGTTCAACGCTACAGGGACTCTCACCCTGCACACCCGCGGATGCCTAGACTCAGACCTGTGTGGGAAGACGCTGACTGGTAGCATCGTCGGCGCTGGTTACACCAGCAGTTTCCAGTGTTGTACCACAGAACTGTGTAATGGAGCCACTTCTGTCCAGCTCCCTCTCACTGTGGCCCTCTGTGTTGCCATCCTGTCCTCTCTGTGGGGCATGTGGGAGCTGTAGTTTCGCACTCTGATTCGTCTGTTTCCAAAATTTCTTAAGTGGATCTATATAACTCAGAATACTTTACTCTTTACTCTCATGATTTGTTGTATTAACACGTATTGATGAAATCATCATAAAATAAATGAAGGATTATTAAAAAGAATCTTCTGCCTTGTGTCATCATTATAAAATACAGATTCAGGGCCATAGCTAGCATCAAAGGCATTGAGGTCATGTCCTTTATGTATGTTTTCTTTTTATGTTGTTTATTATATGTAACCAGGAGGGATTTTACATTATGCAGAGCCATTTTTAAGGTTTATTCCAGCATTCTGGTACATTTAAATGAAACTTTTAGGCCAAAAAAATTAAATAAACCCTTCAGTATTTCACCACCAGAATTTAAAGGAACGGTAGGAACATTTTACACACATTTTTATACCCTTTTAGCTGATAGAATAAAAAAACAAGGTAAAACCACTTTCTTGCATAAATAAAAGTGTGTACTAAAAAAACAACATGTACATTGTACATTTTATGCATTTTTATGAACTAACTAATGAACCAACAGTCACAGCGAAATGTATCAAATGTCCCTGCGGTGGAATATGATGTGAGAGAAAGTCTGACCCCAGACCTTTTTCTGTCCTTTACTGTCTTTTTTGTGCTTGTAGGCCACTAAATGCTTTCCTTTAAAAAAAAAAATTCCCTAAAAAAAAGAAACCTTCACTGACACCGAGCATAAATTCATAGTCATAAAATCTTCCACAAAACAAAAACTACAGTATATAAACAAACATCCGACACTGATTTAACTCAGCATCCTGAGAGGCAAAAAGAAAATATTTCTTGGAAAGATTAATAGATGATATCTAAAATCTAATTACAGCTCCATATCAACATCCCCCCCAGATTACTAAATTAAATGGTAAATGGCTGCAATGATACTGTTCCACAAAGGCATAAAATAAACAAGAAATGTCTCTACTGTGGCACATGTACAGTAGTCTCGAGCTATGGACCCCAATAATTAGTAAAAATTAACTGAGAATATGATGCTAAAACTGCTACAAATTTAGGTTTTTGAGAAAAAGAAAACTTCAGGGAGCCCTCTAGTGTACCTTCCTGTTTATCTAAGGCTTCTTCTTGTCCAAGGGGGTTTTTCAGGGCAGCTGTGGCTCCGGCTCAGGCTCCCCCAATCCAGGTGAAGTGTCCATGGGCAAGGCTGCTCACTATGGTTGTGTAGTGTGGGTGTGTGTGCTTTGTATCATATCATATCGTTGTGGAAGCTGATGAGTAGTCTGGCAGCCTCAGCGATCAGTGTATGAGTGTATAGTGTTGTAAA